CTAAGGGTCCCACTCTCTCTACCTACTGCATGCTTATCACAGCGAGGGGAAAGAGGGTTAAGAGGGTTAAGAGACCAGGGTGATGGAATTGGAGATCTCCTATTGGCGCAGCAAACTCCGGTGAAAGGGATTGATGGGATTGATGGGCAAACAGCCCACCACGGTACAGGCCAGTCAAGCAGACAGACCCAGGCCAGACAATTTCGAGGCCTGGTCCTTGAAAGGAAATGATGAATAAGATCGCGGGACCTTTTTCCTCCTGCCGTCAGATGGATGCATTGCAGGATCTGACTTCACTAACCCAGCAAGCCCAGCAGCAGCCCAGCAACCTATCCTAATGTCGCTGCCTACACCACGACATCTAGGGTCCCAAAGACGAAGCGAGACTGGCCAAACAATAGTCCTATCTTTTTGTCTGCCGTATGATCTCTAGCACTCTTTTCTCAAGCGAACACTCTACATACATACATACCTACCTACATTAGTACCACTCCTACTCCCCGGAACATGCCTTCATACATGGTACAATACAATACAATATTACCTAGCATATCTACTACATATTACCGCATACCTATTAGCTACCTACCTAGTTACCAACTTACATACCCAGGTCCCAATATACCCATCCATACCCTTACCTATCCCCACATCTACACGCTCCCAGTTCCAATATGTTCTGGGGTTAGGGGGGGCTGGCTGACTGGCTCTAACGTCCTGCACTCTAGCCGAAGGGTCCTACGGCGGAGATTTGTTACCTGTCACTTCCCACGAAATTGAGAGGTTCGAGAGCGAGGGAACGGCGTGTGTTGTCAACTGGTCCGGGACCTCCTGCAAATCACTTCTATTATTTTCAGGAACTATATGTGGTACAAGACCACTTATTAGAGATGGGTGCTACCACACAGTTCCGCATGTCGGGTTGTACGGTTCGACTTAGTAAAAGATACTAGTGGACTGGCAGAATAGTCCTAGAAGCTGGTCGCCGATGATGTTCTTTTCTCAGCTTCATGGGTAGCTGGTTGCTGGTTGCCGTTGCTGTAGGGTTATCTTCCTTCAGTCCAAGAGTAGGTATAGTAGATACGTATTATCGAACGCTTCCCAATATCGACAAAACCTAGCAATCTTTGCATCTGCTACGCTTAAGATGTAATCATGGTTGCCCCTTTAATGGTACACCGGCTATCCGGGACCAGGTAGGGAGGATGTAGAGGGTACAAACACACGTATGTAAATGACCCCAGGCCAATATAATAATATATCCATACTTCCCAGTCCCCTAGATCATCCAAGATCACGATCTTATGCATCGTGATAACTTTGCCCGGCTCTGGGTCCCCGTCCTACTCCAATCAGTGCAACCACCCGAGGTAATTATGTAAGATATTGACAACACTGTATCGCGCACAGTCGTTTCAGCCTTATTGAGAGGTTCGGCGGCTTTAAAAACGCCTTCTAGCAGCAGAGCCCCCTGCAAAGAGAAAAAGAAAGGAAAAAAGAGAGAATTTCCTCCAATAATTCTGCATCTTTTTACTTGACATTAAATAGAAGATATAGGTACTTGTAGTTACAGTAACTCTCTACTAGATAAAAATACTTTATTGCATCTACATCGCATAGGTATAGCCTAGGACCTAGGTAAACGCAGTAGTTTTTCCATGTGACGCCTCATCGACGGCTGATCCCGCTTAGTGCCCGCCGGGATATCCACGCAGCATAGTACGTACGAGAGAGTATAATAGTCGCATTTTACGTCGACGGCTTTCGTCACGTTCGTGAGCATCTGCGTTTCCGTAGGCCCGTAGTCCAGAATATGATCCTCGGTGATGCTGTTACTAGCTTTGTGGATTGCTTGCATGCTACGGGACTCCCTTGAGTCGTCCTGCTTGTGTCTCGAAGCGAGCTGCTAAGCAAGGGAGACACGGCAAGATGCAGCCAACCGAATGGGCCCCGAGACAATCAGCCAACGAACCCCGAGATCACTATACGCAATCGCGACGAGCTACACAAGATAATATCTTTCCATATGATATAACTTAGATATTCATGATCACACAAATTGTTACTGATATCACCCGTTAACAGTCATGTAGGTATAAAAACCCCGTCATCTAAAAAGCGGTGGCGTTGACGAAGCGAGCTGGTTGTTCTAACTCTACTACTAGGTACTCGTCACGAGCATCGCCGAGGGAAGAGAGCGAGAGTGAGACCAAAAAACAGACCTGTCGTTTCATTTAACTTTTTTTCCCTTTATTTCTCGGCCTGAGCAACTCGACCCGATCTCTGATTTCTCCATGCAATCTTGCAGGAGGGGGCGCCTTTTTCTGATCTGATTCCTCCCCCCCATCTTCCCCCCCTTTCGTCTTTAATTTTCGCCGAGTCTCGCGGCCAATCCCAGCCTACCACATCCTACCACCGTAAGCGGATGATGCGTGTTTCCTCGGGTGGTCGCATGGCCCGGCGTGAGATCTCGAATCATCTTACCCTGTTTTTCCCTCTCTGGTTGGAGGATGCCCGCCAATCTACCCATCCCACTCTGACGCTACATACTTGTACCTACCTAGCTGCCTAGGTACGTTAGATGCTACATAGATGGTAGGTAGACAGACATATAAGAGAATGACGCGGTGTCCCCCCTTCGCATAGTCTTGCGCTGACTGCTGTGCAATGACTATCATCATCTATTAATTACCTATCTCCTTTCCTTCTTATTCCCATCCTTCGCCGTGTGCGTACTTGACGTGTGGATGTGGCGAAGGGAAATTTGTGCCGCAGGCCGTTTGCGGCATCGTTCTAGGCATGCTCGGATATCTCGTCCCATCTTTCTAGAATTGTCCTTTTGCATGTGCCGAATAACAGCCTCTACGTAGCGTTCCGCTTAGTAGTGATCTGCTCAAGGGGCCCCTCCCCTTTTCACCGGTCTCAATCTGAGAGGACGCCACACGTAGCTGATATATGACATGTCTGCTCGTTTGCCTCGGCTGGATTCGGGGCTGGGCAGGTGGGAAAAAAAGTTGAATTATCATGAATAACTTACCTGTGGTAATCAGGTTTATTAGAAACAACACGCACGCAGGACCACCTTTAGACGACGTGGCTAACGGGGAACTGCAAGATTTACCTAACCCTTTCCCCTCCCTTCTCTCTATTTTCTTCCTGTTCTTCATGTGCGTGCGCATCTGCTTCCACACGCGATATCTAGGGCATCGCTACGACCTAGCTACCACGACCTCCAACCGCTCGGGACTAGTAGGTGACATCATGCAAGATACATGTTCCCTTGGCACATCGTAGATTCGGCACTTGGATGTTGCCTCGTTGAAACCTTGCGAGACCGAGAAAGCTGGTCGAATTGATCGTGCCCAGCTGATCCGCGGGCGCTTCAGATTGATTACGCCCTGCATTCTCTCTCGCTGTGGCGCCGTAGCGACGGTGGCTGCATCTCTGGCTGACCCTGACTCATCCGCTACCTCTGTCCCGTTTTCGTCTCTGCGTAACCCAGAAGGATGCCCCCAGATTTTTTTTGCCTAGCGCGATGGTGCTGCATGGAAAGCTACCAGAAGGATGTAGAGGATGGCCTAGGGGACGGTTATCGAGATTAGGTTATTGGCGAGGGTAAACTGTCCAGTGCTATGTATATCGTTGGATGACGGGATAGGGGTAATTCTACTGGCTATTTTCCATAGGGGTCTACTACCCGATCTAGCATAATGCACTAGTCTAAGCCGACTCCCTGGTGCGGGAAATAACTTTCTAGGAGGATGAGTGCCCAGTATCATCTATAACGTTTTTTTCTTTTTGCTAGCCCTATACCTACCTATCTGGGTAGGTGCTGTGTAGTGGCTTCAAGGTTAGCTGCAGCTTCTTGCGATTGGTATGTAACTCAGTGAGGGTCGGTGGCTTGGGTATAACCAGCTGAAACTTTATGGCTGGATTTTATTGTCCTTGGAAATGTATTTCAGGGCATCTATATGCGAAAGAATTGACACTTTTATCGTCTACCAGCTGCTAGTGATGGAGTTTGCGCACCAATGGGGACGTATCATAGCGGGAATCAGTCAAGAGTAGGACCAAAAATTCCGGAGTTTCTTAGTAGCAAGCAACGGGTTTTAAGTATATTTGCAACTCGTATTTCACAAGTACAAAGCCAGAATGGTGAAGGTACTCTCCTTACCTAGGTCAAGCAAAGTCGGGACCTATCAGCATCTTCGGTTTATTAATACCAGCCGGCTGTACATACCTACTCGGTAAGTAGGTACGCAACTCACGCAAGCATCCCTTTTCAATTAATGATATGATATGAAGGAATACATATTCGCCAAGAATATCAATAGATCTAGATGATACGTAGGCATGATACGCGTCAAGCACGTCTATCTACCAATGGACCGGAGCTCCCTTACTTCTACCAACAGTTCAAGAACTCAAATCCCGAGATAGAATGAAGGTGAAAACCTGTATCGGTTCACTGGTCTCCCTGAAGTTGCCTGACTTTCCAAGTCAGCTTCACCTAACATAGGCAAGAGGTGAATTTCTATACGAACCCGAACACGATCCAGCTGCCGTTTATGTCAGGGGCGGCTGATGAGGCGTTCATCGCTGCAGCGTAGTTCCTGCGTCCTAATTCTTCCCCTGGGAAAAACTAAGGCTATGTGATTAGGACTAGGGATAGATATCTACCTAGGTACCTGGTAGATCTCCGATATACCTTGGCCGTACATCCATAGCAAGTCGTTAGGTATGTCATGAGTACCAATCAGTACCTATTGCTTACACTTACCCACACTTAGGTACTTACATAGGTACTTACAATTAAACGCTTGTAAATTATTACAGGTATGTTACCTAGTAACCTGCATGTTACGCACCGTTTTATTTATGAAAATATTTGTACTAATTATGATTCGGTGTCTTGTGGAGTTTCCAAAACTAATGCCAAAGAGATCTTGACCTCTATACCAAAGCCACAACCAGCAAAAAGTATTAGAAGACTCAATTATCTCCCCCGGACAGGCTTGAACTGTCAACCTCCTGATTAACAGTCACTATACGAATATGGTTAGTATACACCGACAACCCTCACGATGGTGTCAAGGGATGGGGGAAGAACTCACGACGCGCTAGCCAATTGCGCCACGGAGGACCGATATTCTCAGTCTATAGTAGGCTGGACGGACGAATCCGAACTTGACACATAAAATTTGCTTAGGGTTATGTAGGAATATTAAGCTAGGCGAGATGTGCGTTCTCGACTAGTTCTGCGGTCCTCGGATCTCTGCAGGAGGCTAGACTCAAGAGACCCACCGATCTACTCCTATAGGAGAACCATCGTGGGGCTCCTAAACCTCAAAATATGAGATTTGACGATGACGTTATGTGAGAGGAATTGATAACTCATATTAGTTATAACTTATCTATTATGAGTTATGGTATAGATATATGATTTATTTGCAGTAGGCACTTTATCTGTCAAGAGGGGTATCTCAAGGAACATGAGTGACCATGTAAGTTTAAAGTATATATTATTAAGGGGTTAGAACATCTAATCGTCGACGACATGATCAATTGAGAAAAAGGGGTTTAGGAAACGTTAACCAACTGGTTGAACTGGTCGATGTTCTTTATTGAGAGTTTCTAAGCCAACTCTCCTCTCCCTGCATCTACATTCTATTCTACAAAACATGGTCCCAATTGACTTAACTGACTACGATGAATGAACTTACGGTGTTTAACCAGCCTTGATAGCCATATATATATCATATACCATCCTTTCCTATTTCCAGGCCTTCCATAACCTAGGTACCTAGACCTAGACACATATCACTATCCATTCCAGGACCGCCCACTATGCCCGTCCTAAACCCATCAGCCTGCTTCGTGAAGACCTCACCCCTAAAATACACCACCCGACTCACCCCCTTTCTCCCCCTAATCCTCCTCCTCAAATTCCTCCTCCTGTCCCCCCTAACAATCTCCTTCATAACCACCACCACCCCTTCCCCTATCCCCAACGCCTCCACTTCATCTCCGCCTCTCCCCCCGGCGGCGGCGACGGCCCCGGCATAATCTCCCTCAACAAATCATTAATATCCTTCCCGGTAGTCCTAACATCCTGCCACTGTTTCGGGTACCCCAAACTACACTCCTCGAACCTAACACCCCCCTTCCAATCCGTGCGCGGCACATGCAAGTGTCCAGAAACCACAACCTTCGCATCAAACCGGGCATGCCACTCCCTCGTCAACGTCGTCCCGCACCAAAGACTAAACCTCGGCACACGGGGAATGAACACCAGATCCTCCCTCAGCGGCCAATGATTCACAAGCACAGTCTTTAACCCCGGATTCCTCACCCTCGCCTCCTCGATCTTCTTCTCAAACCTATCAACGAGAACACGACACCACTCATCCCGGGTAGCATACGGATCCGGATGGAGCAGGAACTCGTCCGTAGCAACGGTATCGCGTTCCTCAGCCCACTTCAGCGCGTCCTTCCTCTCGACGTCTTTCGGGCGGAAACTGTAATCATACAGCGTGAAGACCGGACACACAAGAACCTTTTCCCCCTCCCCCTCATCCCCCCAGACCACAAACTCGTCTTCAGGCGTTAACACACCATGTTCCCTAGCGAGCTCCACGCAGCGGCGGTATTTCGCCTCGCCGCGGAGATGGGGACGCGGGGAGCTGCCGAGGGTGTACAGCTCGTGGTTGCCGGGACACCACCAGACGTCCTTGAAATTGCGTTTTGCGACGCGGAACGCGAGGTTCAGGTGATCGGCCGACTCGCCGACGTCGCCGCACAAGATGAGCCCGTCGTCCAGGTGCGGGGTGAGATCGTCGAGGGCCTTCCTGTTGTACTCGTAGCTGAGGTGGAGATCTCCGATAGCGTAGAGCTTCATGGTAGCGCCTGTGCTGTGGTCGCCTGCGCTAGGTGCGATGATGTGTTGTTGTGGGTGAGTGTCGAGTGAATGTTGATTGCTAGCCCCGATCTAGCAGGTGCGTCAGGTGTATGCATCATAAAGTCCGAAGAGCCAATTATGTGCTGCGTTGCTTACCTTTGTGTAGTGTTGATCGGAATGAGATCGAAGGCCTTGAAATTGGGTCAGAAACGGTACTGTTCAATAGCTTCATTGGTAGATATGCATTTTAACTACATAAGACTACTCTTATATGCGATGTTTATACTCCCTTTGGTCCATATAATCTGCCTACCTGCATATCTTATCACATATATCGTGTAGTCGGGGTATTCCCATAGGATTAACCCAAGATTCAAACGAACTTTGAAATATTTCCTACGAGAGTCCAGCTTCATCTCGCAGCATTTCTAAGTGATGAAATGTTCAAGGTTGAAAATAGGCATCAATTTTAATTGCATGTATAATAGGTACTTTCATTCTCTGCTTTTATTCGGAATTGTCAGTAGCGCTTACAAACCATTTTTAGTCTTGCTTCCTTTTCGAATTTCTGCGACTGGATTTGTCGGTCAAGTCAACATCCTCAAATTCTACCTTTGCCGGCTTCACTTTACTCGCTTCCATGTGAGCGCCATGTTCCCGCGTCAAATTTGCAAATTCCGTGTCGGCCGGTTTGACTTTGTTTGTCATATGCGCACCGTGTTGTTCTCTGTGCTCTGAACCTCTGGGATCTGCAGGCTTCACTTTTGCTTCTGCGTGAGAGGCGTGTTCGCCACGGGCGAGCTCCGTGTCGATCGCATAATCATCTGTGCCAGCCACGGCGCCTCGTAGGCTTGGCTTTCTGAAGCCGGCGTATGGTTGAACCTTGGAAGTCATATGAGAGGAGTGCTCTTGTAAATGACCTGCGTCATAATCATCATCCGACCCGCTGTCCGTGGATGGGGCTTCCTCCGCTTCTTCCGGCAAAGTCTGACCCATGATGCATTCGCGTTCAAAATACACTGTAGGAGGTAATTCGCTGTGGTGGTGTTCAAGGCCGGCCCCTGGTGGCCCCAATGGTCCGATATCTCGAAGTTCGACTCGCGGGATGTTATCCTCATCGCTGTCACGGCTACGCCTGCTTCTCATACTCCTCTTACTCACTTTTCGGACAATTTCCCCGAATCTCTCTACGCCTTGGTTGCCTCGACGCCCAATCTCACCGCGAGCAAGATCAACTACTTGTCTATTTAGATGAGCGCCTTCATCGATTAGACGGTTCTTCTTGCGGATCTCGCTCCATCGCGTTAGAGAGCCCAACTCAAGGATGTTCATACGACGAAATTTCTCCGACGGGTTGCCAAGGATGATGGGCCTCTAGCCTACGTCCTCCTCGGGAATCTCGGAAATATCTTGAAGACCGTTGGCTTTGGCGGTAGCGATCGCGGAAGCACGGCGGCGGATACTGTCTCTCCGTTCCTTCGTCCATTTGTCCATCTCGAAGCTTTTCGAATTGGGAATGATTTGGACGTGTCTAAACCGTGTAAATACACCTAGGAGTAGAATCGAGTGTAAGAACAAGGCGGATGCTACAACTCCCGTTGCAGCTCTCTGTCCTAGACTTCGCGTAGCTATGCCGCCTACCCAAGTCGCCGCCGCAGCCGCGGCGAAACCAACACTGTGAATAAGATTCCATCCGGCGGTTACTCGAGGGAAAGATGAGTAATTGGTCCGTTTCATGGTATCCTTTGACGATCTAGAGCGACCAGTCATTCCTGGTTGGAGATCAGACGTATCCCATGCCTCCATCAGCATACCATTGCACTCAGCTATGGCGAGACATGACAGGAATCCAATCATAGATGCAAAAATGCAAGGGAAGGCCACATGTACCGGAGGGCCAGAGGAGACGATAGTATAGAGAACGCCGGCGATAGGGAGCACAATAACAAAGATTGCCCGCCGGACGAGGTGTGAAGTCCATGTCAACCTTTTATCGAAGGTCATACTGTTCGTTAGCGGACCTGTGGAACGGGCTCGAGAGAAGAGGTTCGCCATCTGGAATGGCACCGCTAACAGGGCACCGATCGCAACAGATGACACCGCGGTGCCTACATATGTGGATTTAAACCGGTAGTATCTGGATGTCAGAGATCCCAGAAGCTAGATATATTAGCAAAGGACGTAAATCCATGAGTCAAGCCAACTTACGACAATGACCAAAACCACCTGAGCATATATATACGCCGAGTATAGTGCCATAATAACGAATCCTGGTTGGCGGAGCATCTCTAGAGACAGAGCTACTCCGTGATACATTTCTTCGCCCCACCACTTGGGGCCGTCCTTGACTCGGTGCATCTTGACCTCCCCCCGAGCTACTCTTCGCGATACTGCTGAGCTAGTTTTCACTTCGGCCACGGAACGTCTCCAAGCTGATCGTCGGACTTCAGGGCAGAGTACATTAAGAAGAAGGACGACCGCAATAAGCATGATGCTTATGTAGAGCCCCCATGAAGGCTGTAGGTTGTCAATGACTATGGCACCAAGCAGAAAGCCGATACCTAACGAGCCGATGAAGCACCATGTCCAAATACCGAGCCATACACCAAGGCCTCCCCCATGTCTTCTCACATCGTAACGATCGACGACCTCCTGATGTGGATTACTGCTCATCAGAGACGCGCCAAAAAGGTCGGTCAATATTGAATGGAAATTCATATTGGCGAAACCCAAAGCACAGCCCATGAGAGCCCTGGGAAGAAGTAGTGCCCATCTCCAAGCGCTCGTGTATGGAGACCGAGGGACACTTACTGCAATCGCTTGGGGGAAAAGTAGCGGCATTGCTACACATAAGCTGCACACGATGTATGGCTTACGGCCGTGTAGCAATGGTAACGGCCAGCACAAGAAATTCGTAAGCGCCATTCCCAGATACATCCCAACATTGCCAAGAATCGTGTAGTGGTTGAAGTCTGCAATGTAATATTGCATCGACGGAACTAGACCAGCATAGATTCCGACCAGGACACCGATCAATGCAGTGCTCAAACACGCGACAGAAGCAACAAATCTCTTGCGGATAGGTGACCAGTCACGGGCGATTGTAGGTTGGCGTTTCACAGACTTGGTAAGACTGAATCGTTGCCCATCTCTGATACTCACGTGAGACCTTCTGTGAAGGCTTATATTGCGTAGTTCGTGATGTTTTCTGGTTGCTGCTTGTTTATGGTGCGCACCAGTTTTCACAGGCGAGGCATCTTGGTTGCGATGACGCCTAGACTTTTTGAATTCTGGGACTGCAATATCTTGTCCTTCCTTGGTGTTGTATTGGGTAGAAAAGTCTACTATCTCGTCGGAACCACCGTCTAAGCTGCACACGTCCACATCTCTGCGACGTACCCCAGGATACGTATCAGCTTTACGAAGTTTATATTCATTTTCCGGCGAGGCCTCGCGAAGATTTCTAGAGCTGTTCCGAGATGTAATTGGAGGGTGATGAAAGACACGGATATACTCTCTAACTTCTCGACTGTTAGGGACATCCCTGGCACGATGCTTTATAACCCCCGTTGGATCATCTTCGTCGTATGCATGAGGTATTGGAGATGGACATCGTCTCTTGATTTTGCTATCGGAAGGTGGCATTGGCAAAACGCTATCGTCAGACGATACATGACGTTTTTCGCGACTTGTGCGCTTTTGCTTGGACTTTCGGCGATTATGCACGCTTCGTTCTCTGGTAACCTCGGTGGGATATGATGATCGACTAATATTGCCATTGCGCATGTCAGGCCTTACCAATCCGCGGGGGTCTGTCCATCTTGATGATAAAGCCTCGCAACCATGACCGAAACCTTCAGGCGCACCCACGAAGACATGTTGCGGTACCTTAGTAACTATGAGCTCGTGCGTATCTTTACTTGGACTTCTGATCTTTTCATGAACATCCGGTTGAATTGATTCAGATGTGTTATGTAAATGGCTAGAGAGGTTCCCATCATCAGTATATCCACAATGATCGTGCTCAGTAGCTTCACCAGCGAGATTCAGTGCTTCGTTAAGTAGCCGTTCAAGGTTATGCATAGTCGCATCCATCGTCCCGGCATCTGCTGCACTCTGCTCCGAGAATGTTGTTACTCTAGATGCGATCTCATCAATTATATCATTGGGATAATCGTAATGTTCTTCGTGGCGAGGATGAGACATCTCCGGTAATTGGGTAAGGTTCGGATCAGTTGACTCGGGATATCCCAGAAACTGGCGAAGCCAGGTACCAGCACGCCACGGGTCATTTTTATCGGGCGACTGGGGCAATATGGTCTGCCCCTGATCGTCATTCTCGCACAAACTCTCTGCATGACGTGGATGAGAGGTAGGGGAAACTGAGCCGGTCGATAAGGCTCTCTCTTCCTCATTATCTTGAAGCGCAATTTCCTCCTGCCGAGGACTAGTGTTGGAAATATTGTCGGGAGATGCTACGCTTCTATTGTCATGGCGGACGTTCTTTCGATTATCAATTGATTCGGCGGCACTCGTGATGTTTCTTGGGACAACATCGAAACTTTTTTGAGAAGTTGAATATTGGCTTGAAGGCCTATTTTCAATGCGAGTCGTGACAACGGATCTGCTTCTTGATTCAGGTGGGGTCATTTGTAGCCCAAGCGGAGAAGCAGGATGGGCTAAGGACTCATCGGCGACACTCGACTTCTCATCCTTCTTGTCGCCAAATTTTGGTAGAAATCCCCAATACGAAGATCCTTTCGATGAGTCCTCATCTCTTCGGTCACTACTTGCGACGGACAACTTTGGCAACGAGTTCTCTTCCGTTTTGAACACAATAACTGATGACTCGTGGTAAGGCTGTACCTTGGGAACCCAGATATGACCTTCGTGGTTTGAAGTATGTTCAGAGCTCAAAGGAGAACTGGGGCCTATTGATGGACTGACTCTCGATGTTAGAACATTCCTGCCTCCAGGATCTTCTGCAGCAGGTTGGACCTTAGAGATGTTTGAATGGCCTTCGTGTGCTGCCACCTTAGGAAGAAGTCCAGCAGCTGGGCGAACTTTGACGGCCGAGCTATGGTGTTTGTGGGTATGAGCGGACACATCTATGACATCTTGATGTATGTTGCCTCCCGAGAGAATGCGGTAGACCGGGGCGGTTGAGATGATATCTGATAGAGGGGAGAGTCTACTTGGCGGTGTTATGATAGGCGAGTCGCGGTCAATTGCAACACCAGCATCACAAAAGTCGGCCTCCGTGACTAAGCCAGGGTGGTGAATTGCCGCGTGCATGTCAAGAGGGTGCATCGTAGGATCAAGACACACTACGTGGGGCCGTTTAGTGTCGTCGATTATAAGGGTTCCTTCGCTTCGTCTCTCAACATTAGCCTTTGATGATTTCCTTGACGGAACCGAGACACTTGAAAACCTGTGTTTCATAGTGATATTTCTTCCTGTCGGTTTTGGGGCGCCTGGAGTCAAAACTGGAGGTGCTGGCAGGTCTTTGGCCGAGTGGTCGATGGAAGAATCTATCTTTAACAACCCATGACGAAATGACGAGGCCTTTGACCTGGTGGATTTGATTGATTCGGGTCGAGTTTCTACATCCTTCAGTGAGGGAGCCGAAGTGCTAGGACGCAGCATGAGTTTTAGTTTGGACTCCATGGCAATGGCTTCTTTGGTGCAACCGAATAGGTGTTGCTAGGAAACACTGCCCTCTCAACACAATTCCCGTCACCGTCACCAGATTCCCTAGCGACGGAATGATTGGTGTACACCAAGAAAAACCATGAGGACGAAAGAGCTGCTCTTTGAAAATGGATAGCTCGTAAGGTGTACGAGCCCAGGAAGGCCTCGAAAAGAGACAGATATGAAAGATAGGATGAAAATAACTATAAAATATGAGTGTTTCTACGGTATTGACGATATTTAGGGATTGGAAAGGATGTGGACAAGAGGTTTCGGTTTATTGACGAAGAGGTTGAAAAGACAAATCTATCATATCAATTGACATTCAATGATTGTTTTTACCTATACTGAATGTATCTACCCTCCTTCCTTCCCTTATACATGCCCCGCTTTCTGGAGGGCAAGTTCTTCATTATGAATAAGAGTACTTACCTTAGAACTTCAAGGTAGGTAGTTGCAGGTTACAAGTATGAAAAACATTGAATGTAGAAGGCGTTGCTCTTTCCTTAACATCGCATCAACAGAAGAAAATGAATTAAAGGGCTCAGTTCCACTGCAACCAACCGGAACTAGAATGACCAATGAGAGTTCAGTTCTGTCCTCCCAGTTACTCTTTATAGACCCCTGGAATACTTTCACAATTTAGGCCAATCATTCAGGGGGGTTGTACCCCAGTTAACTACCACTTTAGGATAGTCAATAAAACACTGAAAGTATGTGAAAGACAAAACATCAGACGTTCCCAATATATAACAATCTAGTTCGACTAGAGAATTGAATAGATACAAGAATACTGCTCGGTACCGAAACACCCCAGCGGATTGTTTGATCTTGTAAATTTAGAAGGTTAAATCCCATTCCCATCCCATCCTAGTTTTAGAATCCTTTCGGCCCTTATAGGAGAAATAATCCCCGAATTTATTTCACCAATGCGGGCGATTCTTGCAACATCACCCCTATCGGGCCGCCAAGAATTTAGTATACACTTTATGCGCAGAGCATATTTAAGCAGAGCTAGTTGGGACAGGGACTATTCACATGTTAGAGACTCAGCTCATGGAGGAGATTAAGGGGAACGTACAGTCGCTGCCGGTAGGGAAACCGCTGGGAACGCCAGTAGGGCGGCCAGTGGGTCGGGGACCACCGGTGGGACGAGGGCCTCCGGTAGGGCGAGGGCCACCAGAGTGGCTAGGACGACCAGTGGGACGAGGTCGGTCTGAGCCACCGGGGAAACCACTTGGGAAACCAGTAGGGCGGGGGACTATTTAGATATCGTTAGTTCATATTTGTACGAACGACAACCGTGTAGCTTCTTACAGTCAGATCCAGAGAGAGTAGGTAGACCAGAAGGTAGACCGGAGGGGAAACCGGATGGGAAACCAGAGGGGAAGTCAGAGGGGACTAGATAGAGATATGTTAGTTTCGTCTTGGAAGGATACCCAGACGTTTGCTAGGTAAACAGCTTCAATATTACATACGGTCTGACTCCTGAGGTTCAGCAACAGGAGCGGCAATGGCGAGGCCGAGGAGGAAGAAAGCGACGATTCCCTTCATTTTGAGAGTTGTAAGATGTGATGTTGAAGAATTAGGTGGTGGCTTGACTCTGATCTGGATGACTGCTGTGGATGTCGAGATGAGGGAAGATGAGGTCCTCGAGCCAGATATATATACACATTTTGGACATTCCTTTTTGGACTTTGACTCTCCTTGAGCCTACGGAGACACCTCCTTCCTTCGAAGAACCGGCCGACGTCGATCCATGCCCGGAATGACTCAGGAGCACTGCTCTCGGCAAATTGACTGGAGATTAGTGCAGGTTTTCCTCAACGCAAGCCCATTACGACTACAACCACGAAGACTTAACACGGCACCGGTATGTTACCTAAGAATGGCGGAGAAGTAGCTTGTGTAAGGCCCGATTTTAAGCTACGTGGATACATCGCGGAACAAGCCTCGCCAAGACTCAAAAGAGTAAAGCCACATGGGAGTATCAGGGTGTTGGTTGGTTAATTGAAGGACGACCACTGCCTCGCCTTCAGCCTGCTCGCTGCCGACGCGTAGTCTAACGTGCTCTAGCTTTAGCTTGAATTGTTTATAGATCGACAAGTGCAATTTATCTCCTGAATTAACCGCCGAAAGGTCCGTGACTGATGCGACACTTGACGCGTCATCCAAAGGGTTGGGATGCGTTATAGGTAAGCTTGATGCCATCTGTCCCTGTCCTGAACGCAATATCTGTGACGTAAAAACAACCTATAATCGCACCTTGATCATGATATCTACAGAATTTCTGTAGTTGAGACGATATGATTAAGCATCTGATTTGAATTTAGCCATTTCATCCCGTTCCTGGACCATGCGGACGGGTACAGATTAAACTCAGATTAAATTGCGACGTTTTAGCGATTAGAGCGCTATCGAGTGCCGTATCTGGGAAATGCGGGGTGCAAATTGTGGAGTTAAAGATGGTAAGATGATCTACACCTAGGTATATACCTAGCTAAAATTCTAAATTATAGCTTAGTCGAATAGATGTGGACATACTGATGTCAACGATATGACGAGCTAGATATGTTTACTTACACAAGTAATGTTCCACTAAAGATAAGTATATCTAAGTGGATATAATGAGAAGAGTAAATACTACTAGGTATATAGTCTGTATGAGGTATTAATAGACTAAGAGGAACGATAGGTGTCGGTGTTATAAGCGAGGTCATACTAGAATCGGATCACGTCTCCAGATGCAGCAGTGCCGGGTAGACGCCATGACATCTAACCGGAGATCGATGAGCCATTGGAGGGAAAACATACCTAGATATCGAATCAGCCGAGTCGGATCTTCCTTGGCAAATGCGGCGAAGGCTGGAACAGAGATCCGTCCTTACCACAACCAACTTCAATATCGGACGAGTTTACATACAACCCTAACCCAAGTACGTAACACACCAACTCATGAAACATCAAAAGTGGAAAGCCGTCTTGTCCAAACGAAACGAAACGAAACAATGTTTATTATTAAGGGTGATAGGAGAATCCGTCGTCTTCTGATATGAATGTATCGTGGCGAACTATCAAACTCATAATTATTGAATTGTCTGAACATGTCGTGCAACTCAATGATGTCAAAAAGCTTGAATATTTCATGGATATCTATGTTTCCGTTAAGTCGGTATCTCGAATTAATTAACAGAGGTTCTAGGTCATAAAGATGGGGATTGATCTGCGGGACTTAGTCCATGACTATATCCATAGACGTTTACTTAGATAGGTACTACCTACAAAGTATTAGGTAGGTAGGGAATTGGTATTTAGGCGAGCCTTATGCAGTCTCACGCAATCGAGCGCGTACTCGGTGGGTCAGCATAACGCTCTGAGTGGCTCGACATTATGCTGAGCTTGTTGAGCTGGCTGAGTTAGTACCATAAGCTTAGCTGAGCATAATAGGTCAGCCGTTGTAGTTGAATAATTCGGTGAAGTCGAGTGAGGGAGGTGTTTGAGCCTCGATTTGCGTGAAGTCGTGACGGCCTACGCGTGAAAATGATAGGATGAATAATATTGAGAGGATCAGAGAATCTCTTTGACCAATGCAAACTTTGTTTCGTTTCAGGTGTGGATTGTGGAACCAGTCATTATGCATAGATTTTGCCCGAGCAAGATGCTCTCAAAAAGAGGGAGAAGGGGTTGCGAAGCTGGAACGTGGCCCTACAATGTACAAGTTACCAAAGTTGGCAAGTGCGTCTAAGCCGCAGACTGTGGCGGTGCAAAGGTGTGGCTGGCTGATATGTGGAACATTTGAAGAGTCCAGGCAGCCAGGAGGATATTGGCGGGGAAGCCCGACCATGAAAAAAAGAAACTCTATCTCATCCATCTGTAGCGGCTAGCGGCAGGTTCCACTTAAGAAGCCGAACGGCCATCTGCCCTGGCATCCATCCTCTAAACTTCTGGAGGCAATTCTAGAACTATTTAGGCCTAGACTCTCCCCTCCGGCTCGTATCTAAAAGAGAGAAATGACGACATTTTCTACCAGCTTGCCAGCCCACCAGCCCTAGGAACCCTAGGTCCCAAAAGCTTATCGAACTAAGTGGTTCGTCTCGTACTTCAAGCTTGGAAAACACGAAGATCGGTGATATTGAATACTCATGTTAAATAACGTCATGACAGTACAAAGTGGTATTATGATGCATTCATGGGTCTTGCGAGATTCGAAATTCATGGAAGGTACCAAAGAGAAGAAGAATATCTCAGAAGGAGCGAGAGAGAATTACACGCCCGATAGTGCTAACTAAGCACCCACGAGATCAAAAGTTGCATGGGTATAGGCTGTAGCTGCGCATTCCATTCTCTCTCACCAATTAAATCGTATCAAACGAGACAGGAAGGCATCACAGCCCCCAGTTCAGACAAATGATCACAAGGTAGAAAAAAAAAGTCTCACTTGTTATCATCATAATCAGCATCGGAAATCACCTGTCTGCCTACATAATTTATTAGAACTATTACACACTACATGTTGCGTATCAATATCTAGGTGGTAGTAAGTCCTACGAGAATGGAATATTTCACTGCTAATTAACTAGAACAGTTTGAGAACGTTTTTCAACTTGTACCAACATCGAAAAGAGCTGACTACCAACTAGGTGGGCTGTGCTATTTTTTTCGATTTCTAGAACCAACCGAACCCATGCAAGCAAGTGATGATATTGGCCGAGTTCAAGGACCCCGCACTAGAAGATCGAAGCTGAAGAGGGTCTCGTCCCTCCCGGGTCTCATACAAACAGAATAACCTTGGAAGTTGGTGGAAATAGAATTGCAAATTTACACAACGTCACGGCGCAGCACAGACAAACAGTCATTTTTTTATTTAGTCATTCTAAAAGAAGAAGAAAGCAGGAATTAGAGACTTCGAAGAACTGGGAAATCCGAAGACTAAATACTTGGACACAGTCTCATTCTGCCCCTCCACAAAAGCTCCGTATGCCAAGTAACGAAATAGGCTGGGCTGACTTATAGAGTCACATTTACGGCGCCCCTCGGCAACCATCATTCTCAGATCCTCCCATCTGCCCATTGCCGGCCTACCCATTGCATTTGTTCATTGCTCAGCGCTCTTTTCGCTCTTCCCGGACATTCCCTCACTGCCCAACTTAAGCACTACAAGTTCAGCGTGACACCATTCATCATCCCACATCATCGTCACCAGCTTCTTTTCTTTTTTCTTTGCCCACACCATATATAATCTTTACTACCACTCAGAAACATTGCCTTTTGTCGCTATAACCCATTTTTATACATATCTATAAGCTTCATCTTTTGAAATCAATCGTCAAGCCTTTGTGACGTCACTGTCGCTTGGCCATCAAGTTATATATAAACATCGCGACGATATCTATGTCTCAAGTTTATCGCGAGCGCGATGTGCGCTATACAAGAGATGAAAGTCCTTCGTCCGATGACGATAAATACAAAAGTACAACTATAAAACGGTACAAGGTTGCTGGTGGAAAGTCTGGTAATAGGGTTGTGGAACGAGATCGTATTGAGCGCTTTGAGGAAGACGACGATCGCAGATCAAGACATTCGCATTCACATTCGCATTCCCACAAAGCTCACTCTCCCGATGATGTCATAGAAGTCGATCGCATCGACCGCCGCATTGAAAGAACTACCTATCCCGACCGACCGAGATCATCTTTCGACCCACCCGACCGATACAGAGACGTAGAATATGAGCGTGAGGTCGATAGGGGAAGAGATCATTATCCAGAGCGACACTCTCACACTAGGGTCGTCGAGGAGATTAAGGAGACATCTACCTCACCCCGTGACAATTATTGGGACCGCCGACAAGGATATCCTTGGGATGACACGGATGTCCGGATCGACAAACGTGTGGTACGTCGGGACGACGACGGCGATGTGAGAATCAAGGAAAAAACTGTAGAAGAACATAGAGATGACTCTCGCGACTACAGAGAACGCAACTGGAAGGTTGAGCGCAGGGTCGTCGAGGAAAGAGAACCGCCGCGTGATGTTGACGTTGAGCGATATAGGAAGGAGGTCGAGTATTACGCGGCACCCTCTCCACCACCTGCCCCTGTTATCATCCGTCAAAAACTTCCTGAGCAGAAGGTTGTTATTCACGAAGCTGCTGCGCCGGCTCCTGTAATCCTTCCACGCCAGGAGCCCACATATATCGTCCTAAGAGATGAGCATCGCGAAGTCGCGCCGCCACGCCGAGAGGAGGAAGAACATCACCGACGACGTCGTGATGAGCGCGAATACGAAAGTGACGGATACGACGAAGATTACTATGTCAAGCGAACTATCATAAGACGAGATCGTAGCTCGAGCTCCGATCACAAAAAACGCCATCTAGCTGAAGGTGCCCTTGCCGGAGCCGGTCTCACTGCCCTATTGTCGCCACGTGGTAATAAGGATAGTGGTTACCGCGAACACCGAGGGCGTAAGGTTCTTGCCGGTGCCGCCCTGGGTGCCTTGGGTACCGAGGCCGTGCGCCGTGCCAAGAGTGCGTACGAGGATAGGCATGACGACAGATACGAAGACGACTATGATGACGGGTATTACCATCATCGTCACCGCAGCAAGTCACGCAGTAGGCTGGCAACTGGCTTAGCAATCGTAAGTTTCCTGGTGTTTTGTCGTGGAAGAAGATGAATACTGACGTGATGACAGGGTGCTGCTGCTCTGGCCGTTGCTGGTGGATGGAAGTACATGCAGAACAACAAGATCGAGAAAGAAGAGGCCCACCGTGGACGTGCGCGACGCCGGCATTCCGTAGACTCTTACTCGAGATCTCCAAGTCAATCATCGCGCCGCTCCCGCACCCGTAGCAAGTCTAATTCGAAAGCGGCCAAGGCAGCCCTGGCGACAGGGTAAGTATTACAGATTTCGTGGTGATGCTCCATTCAACCTATACATCCTTTTCAGTTATACAAGTGCCTAGCGGATTACTGCCTATATTTGTAGATGATAGATCGCTGACTGCTGAATTTACTAGTGCTCTCGCTGGCGTAGTGGAGCATTATAGGTCTAAATCTCGCGGAAAATCTCGTTCGAAGTCCCGCTTAAGAACAGGTGAGCATTTACCAAACGTCATATCATAAAATTAATCTCTAAATTTTTCTAGGCGCTGAAATTGCAGCTGCCGGGTTGACTGGCGCTGCAGCGAGCAAAATATGGGATCATCATAAAGAGAAGAAAGAACATGAACGTGAGAGGGAATTAGATGAAGAGGAGTATTCTGATAGAGATCGTGATCGAGGCCATTCAAGAAGTCGATCCCACTCCAGGTCTCTTAGCCGCCATTCGCGTTCCCGAGACTCTACGGCTGATAGAGAATTAGGCCTGGTTCCTTATCCCGGAGTTGAGTACGGGAGTCAACCTCTCGAGGGATACGAGTCGGCGAGCGAAGAGCCACGACGCCGCACTCGCCATCGTCACCGATCAACCTCCGCGACGTCTGACCGAGAGGCTCGTAAGAAGAGGAGTCGTAGCACGCTTCGTGATATAACTGCCGCCGGGCTTGGCACTGCCGCTGCCGCGATAGGCCTCAAGAAATATCAGGATCGCCAGAAGAGCAAAGAAAGAGGCAAGGATCGAGAAGATAGAGGTAAATCTAGGGATAGGAGTCGGAATCGTTCGCTTGACAGGGAAGACCAGAATCGAGAAAGGCGAAAGGCTAGGCGGTCCCGTGACCGCGAACGAATGCGTATGCACAATACACTTCCTAATGTGAGTTCATGAGACTAACTCAAGGCAGGTTATGAAGAGGAAGCTCCAAACCCGTACTACTACGGCGATGAGGGTCCACCATCTCCGCCTCATGCTTCAGGTGGTGCTTATTATCCTCCTCCGCCCCAAGAGCCTACCGGACCACCGCCAGCCGGTCCTGGTGGGTTTATGCAACATCCTAACCCGTCTACGACGAACTTCAATGCTTACCCCCCTCACCAACCATATAACCCTCAAGACTATATAAACCAACCTCCCATGAACCTCCCTCCGCCACCCCCTGGACCTCCGCAATCTGGACCTCTACCCCCACCCCCAGGCTCGGGTAACCGCCCTGGGCCAGAAAATGTGAGTCGTCCACGCTCTGGTGACATCCAATCTCATCCCGATGCCTCTCGGAGCCCGGCTATCGAGCAGGGTGCGTCTCCTTGAGTATATTCTATTTTAGAATAAGTCTATGCTCGGTTGTCAAGTCTAGCCATACTAACTTCACTCTTAGATGGTCTAAGCTACCGGCAGCGGACGCGTTCTCCTTCTCCTTCTCCTAGCCCTAAGGAAGTTAAATTCGGCCCCCTCTCACCAAAGTCCTCACAAACTCTCCGAAGACATCGCCGAACCCTAAGTAGACCATTAGACGAAGATGCCGTCGACGAAGAGCTTGCTCGTCTGAACCGGCCCCGGGACTCTAGAAGACGGTCGGGCTCCGAACCAAATTACGATCGTCCGCGTGTCAAACGACGAAGAAGACGCGGTGACCAATCGCCGGCCTCTGACGAAGACGATGTCGAATACTTACCTGACCGATTTGATTCCTCCGGCCGACCTCTCGATAATGATAATAGCACACTTTCTAGTATTCCGAGACGCGGCTCTTTCGAATATCTCCCGCGCGACAACAATGACTGGCACGTCCGCGGCGCGTGGCAGACGCTCGGAAATCCGGACCCGGCGCTCGTCAGCGGACTTGCGCAAACTTTTGGTGAATTGTTGCAGCCTAGGGGTGGGTTGATGGGGATGCTGGGACATGCATTGAGGGATATTTAATTTCCGAATTCGGTTTCTACCTGCCTAAGATAATGAACGATACTTAATAACTCGGGGAGGAGAGCGGAAGAGGGTAAGAGGGATGGTGGTGATGAGATACGTTTTGACGTAATGATTCATGTGTGCGTTTTTGTTTTCTTTCCTTACTGACGAGTCGACGAGTTCATGGGCTATAGATTTCGGTGTTTTTTTACGTCTGATGATGAAGATAGCGGTGAGATGGGTTATGACTCATGAATGATTTTCTCTTAATATAGGCTCATTAATGAATTGATTTAATGATTTTATGTTGCTGGGCATTGTTGCTCAGATTGATCATTAGAAGTATTATTCTCTGCAGATGCAAGACCTTGGAACTATGAGTTGTAGGATGCGTATCATCCAAGAAGATAGGCTTGGAAATGACGACATATTAGTATAATTATACTTGAAAGGTGCATGCTTTACGGCGTGTATGCTCTCGGAATTGCTATTATCGGTGAACTTCGATATCGTTGCAATAATCCACAATGATCTCGATCCAACGCTACGAATGGCAGGTATCTTCCCATTACTGACGTTTCCCTATACTTTGGCATCATATACATACCCCTTGACCCGCAGCCAATTGTAAGGTGATTGATACCACACTCGGTCCGGAGCTGAAAGAGAATCGGCTCTTGGAATCAGACAGTATGCACTTCCCAGCCTCCTTCGACACCCCTGTACGAATGCTACCAGGGCCTGTCGTATCTTATGACCAGTATCGTCGATAACTGTTGTCCAAGACACTTAAATGGGAATTCAAGCTACTAAAACGGAATCTTACGAACAACCCGAATGCAACAAATACAGTGCTAGAAAAGATCGGCTAGATGAAATACCTTAAATCGACGCCACACGGCTACATACATCACCGGGAACTACCCGGGCCTCCCCCCCCCGTCGCCTAATGCCTGCAATCGTCTCCAAAAAAGCAGAGATCCGTGATAGCCCCAGATAAATCTCCCGATGTCAAAGCTCCACGAAAGAACTCTTCTGCTTTTCAGCTTCCAACATCTCGCAGATCTCTTTCTCTGCGGAGCTTGGAAAGCAACATCGAAACCAGATATCCAACAAGTTTCGGTAACGATTGCGACCCTGGCCGTCTAGGTCCATCATCCATTGTCCCGCCGAAGCCTTCCGGGACGAGATTGAAGAGGATTGCCTGCCTAGGGTAGTATCAGCGTGATTTCTAACCTATCAGAGTCGTCTCGAACGCCAATATGTCTTAACAATTCGCCCGACAGAGTCACTGCCCCGTCATACAATCTGGCTTTGCATGACGCAGAACCATCTACGGGTACTTGTCTGCTTGTTTGGTATGTTCTTGCTTTTTCAAGCCGTCCTGATTGATAATTCAGCCACTCGTCATTGGCCAGTCACTACCATGTAACCTTTTACGTCGTACTGTGTGCTACATCAATATTGCACGAATTTATAGGTACACATGCCTACCTAGCTTACTGGCGTTTGCACGTCGGGACATCCCCGCGCAGACGGCCCGCCCCGTTCTCTTCCAGCGCCTGCCACCGACGGTCTTGGACCTCTGCCGATCATCGTCTTGAAGGAACTGGGGTTTTTCTTCATAAAGAAAGGAAAACGGGAAAAAACGTGGGCTCTTACACCGCTGGAAGCGAACCGAGCTATAACTTTCAAATACGCGCATATACACATATGACATGTCGAATACCATGTAAGGTCCGGCTGGGGCCTCGGTAGCAAGCTACGTACGAATGAGCGAATGGCATGGTTACAGTGGCCTGGGGAGGGGAGCAGATCGTGGGATCCGGGTGGTGTTTCAATACATGCAGAAGTGAACGACATTGATCTACCACATCCTATGAGGCCATGGTACACACATGCGGGAGTGCTACGCTCCCATGTGCTAGTTCATCTCATTTTTCAGTATATAGATCACTTCTTGCCATCAGAAGATTGGTACCTTCTCTCTTATTCCAGGCAGCCTTACGATGGTAAGCACCGGCTTCATTTAATATACCTTATCTAGATCACATCCTGTTGTGTAACAAGTGCCTTACCCGAGGTTGTGTGAAACCATCAACATGTCGTCAATCGACATCATAGCCGACACCATCGGCTCACTCAGCCTCACAAGCATAAGCCTCGGCCTCCTAGGCATATTCGTAATGTGGTACACAGTCTCAGCCTTCTTCACATGGTACCGACTACGACACATCCCAGGCCCGTTCCTAGCCTCATTCTCGCACATCTGGATCGCGAAGAGCATTCTCCTCGGCACGCTGGAGCAGGACTTCAGCCAGCTGAGGAAATACGGGCCGCTGGCGCGGACGGGGCCGAACTCGATCGTCACGAACGACCCAGCTATCCTGCGCAAGATCGCGTCCGCGCGCACGAAGTACACCAAGAACGACTGGTTCGCCGCGGCTACCTTTGCGCCGGGACACAGGACGATGATTACGATCCTGGATAACTACAGCCATGATAAGCTGAAGGCGAAGACTGCGCAGGGGTACAATGGTCGCGAGAACCCCGACTTGGAAGTCGCGGTTGATTCTGTGATCATGCATTTCGTCGATGTGGTGCGCGCTAAGCATCTAACGACGAAGGAGAAGATACGCACTGTTGATTTCGCTAGGATGTCACGCTATCTGACGCTAGATATTATTACCAGGTTGGCGTACGGCAAGGCATTTGGGTTCCTGGATTCCGAGGAGGATCTGTTTGGGTATACCGGCCAGGTGGACCAGCTGCTCAAAGCGCAGAACTTGTCGCAGGAGATTCCGATCTTTAGGTATATCGTGTTCTCGCACTTTTTCTTCAGTCTGTTCGGTCCGAAGCCGAGTGATGAGAAGGGCGTTGGGAAGATCATGGGGTAAGTTACATTGTCGATGTCTGCTGGTTGGGGGTGGTTCTAATGTTTTGTGTTAGGTATACACAGAAGATTATTAATGAAAGGTTCGATGCTGGGAAGCATACGAAGGACATGATGGTAGGTTATAGTATTAGGTTTGTATCCTCAGAGGGTCGCTAATCGATGAAAATAGGGGTCATTCATTCGCCATGGTATGACCAAAAAAGAATGCGCCGAGGAAGCGCTGCTTCAGATACAAGCTGGATCGGATACGACGGCCGTGGCTATTCGTACCACATTGATGTATATCATGTCCACGCCTCGGGTCTATATTAAGATGAAGGAAATGATCAAGCAATGCGTAGACCGCAACGAAGTTTCAAAGCCTATTACTTTTGAAGAGGCTCAGAGGCTTCCTTACCTACAGGTATGAATCCTCATCACATATGCCTTGGTACTTAATCGGGAACTCCAAGCTTACGGTCGAACAGGCTGTTATCTTTGAAGGCCTTCGCATGCGCATACCGGTAACATACGGACATTGTGAGTGATGACTCCCCAGCCATAGAGGTCTCGTATCTGAGGAGATAGGGGTGTATGCAGCACGTAATATCCAGTAAATTTCATTAACACACAGCAGACAAGCAGACGCCTCCGGAAGGGGATATGATCAATGATATTTTTATCCCCGGAAATACCGCCCTAGGCCACAACTCATTAGCTCTAACACGCACCGAATCCATCTTCGGCGAAGACGTCGACACGTTCCGACCAGAACGTTTCCTTGACTGCGACAAAGACACGAAGGCCGAGAGGGAATTCGCTATAGACATGGTTTTCGGCGGCGGCCGATGGATGTGCGCCGGCAAGCCCATCGCGTTTATGGAGCTTAACAAAATATTTTTCGAGGTTAGTGGTCCCCCTATCCACCTAGATATCTCGTTGGGCGCGGAATGTAGCATAACTTAATATAAGCTGATATGGTACTATAGCTGCTGCGCGTTTTTGATTTTCAACTTATATACCCGACGAAAGGCTGGTCCGAAACGTTTTATTTTATACCTTTTCATAAGGATATGTGGGTGAGAATCACGGAGGCCGAAACGTGACGGAGGGACGTTGGATATCTTAGGGAGAGTTAAAATCGGTAGAATAGGATGTTTGGCCACAATCAAAGCCGTAGACTTGGAATCTTGGATCATCGCTGTCGGTACCGGTCAAGATGACTCACTCAGTCGTCTGTAACCTCTCTAGGCTCTCCTTACCTACGCCCCTTAGCCCATGCATGAATGAAGAATTAATCCTCTGATCTTTCTGCGATGGCTATGATTAATTTAGAGGCACATACCTGGGTGCACTCTCAGCCACCTTTCTCACGGTTCCCGTGAAGTCAAAGAAAATTATGCCATGAGGCCGAACTAATGAACAAGGAAACAACAGTGTTGTTGCACGAGAAGCTCGGGGATACGACCAAATGGTCTGTGCGCGTACAGAGCCACAGAAACATCGATCGCGTTTCCTCGTATCGCCAGTGATACGGTTGCCTTTCGTGAAGGTAAAGTAGATCTTTCCGTCCTCCAGGAAAAGGTACCTACCTAGGTAGGTATTTATAAGTGTTCATTGCAATTTCCTGCATCATGTGGTAGAAATCAAGGTTGAACCTTAACTAACAGTTGAACTTGCCTAGATAAAGTGAGACCTCCCTCCTACTACATTTATACTGATACTATTGTCGAAGGCGCGAGGTAGCATTATAACCCTTGAACAGAATTAAGTTATCATAATTTCATGTACCTGCTATTAAAAATACGTTTAGGGTACTTCCTAGTACTTATTATATCACACGAAATGTCAACCCCTCATCGTTCGTACTGCTGCGGGGGAGGCAGAGGCGCCCAGGACATTCGCACTCGACAACTCAACGTTCCCATACCATTGTTCATCAAGATCAGCAAGCTATGATGTAATAGAAAGAGATAAGATACTTACTACATATGTAAATCATTCCTGAAATCGATATCTAAACATGGGATAATGACGTTGTACATCATCGATTGAAAACGATCGACAGTACCTGCCGGTACGTAACTTTGCCTCATTTGCGGAAATATAATCTCCCCCATAGAGAATTGAAAATACGTAAGTACACCTTAACTCATAATAAATAGATACGAATCGTCCATAAACTCAGATCCCATCCAGATTGGTTATTTTCACGTCTCTTACTTGTTATTATTTTTTTGAAGGTTTTACATACCTTATTTATATTATTGCTGTCGAGACGAAACTTCAAATACCCCCAAACATTTTCTAGCGACATTGCTCATCCTACAAATATTTCTACCCCTTTTCAACTATCTACTTACATTTTAATTGACATGATCTCATTGACAGGGAAGATTAAACCGAGGTAAATTTGTTTAAAAGGAATTAATAGAAAGAAGTTCTCTGGCTTCGTTCCTTGCCTACTAGGTATGCTGGTACGTATATCAACTGCCATTTCTGAAATGTGACCAACACTCAGCAGTTTTAGTGAGATGTTTTAGTTGAATACTGTGAGCTTACCGTAATACCCAAGACATAGTTGAAAAGTGATCCTCAGGGTGCTAACGTTAGGCAGGTACTTGCTGTAATCCTATGCTGGACGGTCAATCAATAGCGCCTGGCAAGATGGCTAGCCAGCTGCCGTCAGTGTGATTTGGGCTTCTTGACAGCACGTAATGCTACCGTACGCTGAGAAGCTACAGGCGCTGTGGTACGAGCGGAGCACATTCCGGGCCAAGGCATGTACTGTACAAACAGTGGGTGAGAATTTATTGCCTGCTCTGAACAGGGGGTCAGCACCCTCTCTCCTCGGCATAGTATGTCGGGGTACACGCTTCCAAAATTATCGCTCCAACGATTGCCTTGTCTGTTATCGACGAAATGGGTATTGCTTTTGGCTCCTTGTGGTTCTGGGCTATCTTTTGGTCATGTGTTTCGAAATTGGGGCGTTCGCACGCCCCAGTCAAAAAGCTCTTCCCAGAATACGCCATATTTCCACAGAAGAACGAGCGGTGATATTTGACGGTTTTTACGGCAATATGCGAAGATTTTCTCATTTGATGAGATAGTACAACAATTCGTTTAATTGGAAGAAAACAACTATTTCCACACGAACTTACCGACATTAACTCTGTGATCGATGGCATGAACGCGCTACGCCGAAGTTAAGGGTGACTGAAGTGAAAAATTCGCATCGATATATCCGGAGAAAATGCTCCGGGTGAGAAAACTTATCTGAATGGACAATATTAATGAAGCCGTTTATGAGGTAGATTGCTGAATCCGAAGATGGCCAAATTCCGCCGAATACGCAGAGACACTAGCTTTGTGCAAGCGATCCCAGTTTGTAACACGCCAATCATATCGAATAAGTAGAACCTACTGAATTCTGATTAGCGATATAGTGACATCAGCATTTACCTAGGGACAACGAGGGATCTGATTTTTCTTCTCTCGTTATCATGAGACCGCGTACTCTCTTCCATATGCCGGTCGAACCGTCAATAGGGGTAACCTCAATATGACCTACGATTGGCTAATCGAGCTTCGGATTTGGGTCCGAAAGGTGAGGTCTTTAATTTGCCACCTGGGCATCGGATCTGATATACTGACCCATATCGATGGAGCCTCCGCGAGGTAGACCCGTATGTTTGTATTAGGATACCAATGGCTCCCAAGCCAAGCCATCCCCCAAAGTGATCCTTGATCGATACTCGAAAACATGGGCGTGCTATATCTAGGCGATGGACCAATCACAGACCTAGATGACTTGCAACTCGAATATCACTGAATTTTGGAGAACAACTACATTTAGACAGTACATCCACTGTTTACGCCATCTTGCATGTCCAGTTGTAGTATGGCTTGCATCAACCCTTGACAAGAAATATCGAAACTTTTACGGGTTACCTCAAATAGAGCTTTCTAGGCGACATTGTACGTTGAATTCTTCCGATTAATCCTTATTTCTGTCGTCTGCCCCAATTTTTACATTCTCTAGTCTTCCACACATCTCTATCAGATACATACCAAGTAATCGATTCCACACAAGCAGAAACAAGTACTTATCCAGGATGAATCATCCATCCGACTCATGTATCCATCCAGGTCTTTTAACTCAAGCCCCAGACGACAAGTCCATCTATTGTACGCTCGAACCACATTTCCAGCCACAACCATTGCCAATGGAGTTTACAGACAGCTCGTTAGAGTACCACCAAGCGGCCAATAATGTCAATCCGTATGATGGCCAAGGTAGCCTTGCAGATCCCGATATATCAAGATACATGACTCTCCTGGGAGATCTCCACTTCCAACAATCCTCCCCAATACATGAATACCGGAACGATGAATCCCAGAAACCAGCGGGGGGCGGCAGCAAGAACCATCACGAGAACGGAATGCCATCCTTAAAACAGGAAGACATCACCATGATGACACACAGTCGGCGATCATCGCGATCCAGCAACAAGCTCACAGGCGACGAGTCATCTCTCGAAAAGCGCGAGCGCAACCGCAAAGCGGCCAACAAATGTCGGAGGAAGCAGAAACAGGCGAACAAGGAGCTGAAGGAAAAAGCACAGATCATGGACGAGCAGCACAATTCCCTAGCCTCGCACAAGGCTCTCCTAGAGTCCGAGGTGATCGAACTCAAGAACGAACTCCTTATCCACGCAGCCTGCGGCTGCGAACCTATCAGCAACTACCTCATGCAGGCAGCCAAGAATTACGCGATGGGTGGTGTGGGGGAGGCTCAGAGCGCGGAAAAACAAACGTCGACTGCGGGTCGCTAGATGTGGGTTATAGGAGGTTTGGGGGTGGCGTTTAAGATGGATGAATTATGACTGTCATGAATTGATACCTGGTTATGTACGGCTTCCGTTTTATAAAGATATTATTGCTAGATTATAGGTTTCTTGTTATAGTTAATTACTACTAGGGACTCAGTACCTAGATTACCTAGTATTTTAGGGTTAATGCGTAGAACTTGAAATTCGAAATTCATCAATCGTTTAGATCGTTCTTACTAGCTATCTCCTAAGAAACGTACAATTAATATATCGTCAAAACTAACAAGTTACTTGCGAATTGGTGTTGACGTTGCTGTAATACGCTATGTATTAACTATCCCCCGTCAGCTTAATCAGCACTCCTTACTCGTCAAAATATGTGCGGGTTTCTTAAATAGGAAGTTTGGGGGTTAATAGTTGCATAATGGGGAATGCTACCTCTTATACGTGCCTCACATATCTGAACGTTACCACCTACCTACCTAGAGTCGCAACATTATTCGGTTACCCCGACCCTTCTGCTAGAATATAGGTAATTTCTGATTGACTTCTTTAAAGTTCTTTTAGATAGGTACTGCCGTAGTTACGGTCAAGCTTGAGACCGGGACGGTTGTCACAACGTGGAACCGCAAAGTTGGACAGGTTGAATAGGGGCAAAATAAGGGTCATACGCCAGTCCCAAATTCGGTTAGTCACCGGTCGCTAGCATCCGGTGTTCAAGAAGGAGGTGATCCAGTACGTGCGAGTAGACCCGTAATACGCCGTCGCCACCACCGATCGAGATCGACTACCATGGGTTATTCCAAATTCCATCGGAGCCGGCTCCGGTCTACCAGCTGCCAGTCAAACCACCTCTTTTATCCCTTGATGTTTTAACTGGCTCCCGAGATCCCGAGTGTCAACCTACGTCAGGTCTACTTAACTCTGGGGTTGGTCAATTACGACACCTATTCTCGATGTAGGTAGCGCGATCGAGCTCTGATCGTCTAAGGCCATCGTGGCGCTCTCTGGGTAGATGCCTAGATGTGTTATGATTTTACGTTCCGAGCCGCGGGGTTTCGTGCGGCTGATGAGGTCCTTGCCAAGACTCGTGGCGATATTCCATCAAGGAACTCCGAATCGCCACATGAAGAATCACCATTTTCCATTCAGTAGTAACCTACTGTACACTGTTATCATTCATGATTCTAAATGAGGTACATACAGTTCCAACGAAATCATTAACCGTTTAACCAAATTGAGCCCACCTCGATGATCTTCACGGTAGACTCGTTCGCTTAAGAATAGTGGGCGGACTTTGCTTTTACGCCCCCAGACAGTCGACCGAAAGTCCGAGACAAGTTAGTTGGGGTAAACGTTTCGTCATTCTATTCTTCCCCGACAGCCTGGACCATAAAGAAATTTACATTCTATTCTCAAAAAAAAATTAGGTCGTGTTCTCGTTCGAAAGTCTTGATGTTGTACCCAATTTTACATTTGACTCTTTAATACCTAAACATACAAATTCTAGATGTCGAACAGTCGAACAGTCGAAACCCACAATATTCATATGGCCGCGAAAACCAAGTCCGTTTTCGGAGTTAACATTCATCAGTATCGGTGATAGCCTCAAAATCTTAAACTTGGTCTTTGCTCGTAGTTTCCGATATGTTTGCCGACTCTTGATGCTTGCCATCCTCGACGTGGATCTGCCTTTCGACAGCTTCCGTCGCGGCGTGGGCTCGGTTTATATCCTCGAACACTGTCCTACCGTTAGCATGTATTCGCATCCAGGGCTTATTGAGGGGGTAATACAGAAGGCAAGTTCTTCCAAAGTGCGATTCGAAGTCTCGGGCCACAGGTACCACATGAGGAAAGCTTCAACTGCGATCCAGCAACAATACACGATCAAGAACTTCCACCCGATACCGGAGACGGGGTCCAGACCAACGGGGTTGACGTTCGTACCGAAAAACTAAATCGGATTAGCAACCCGATAACTCTATGATATGTTCTGAAGGCTCATAAATATTACCTGGGCGGCTTTCCCGAAGAATTGGAAGATGGATATTCCGCGAGCTCTCATAGCGTACGGGAAAATCTCGACGAGGTACGCTAAAAGATTGACCTAGTCAGCTAAGAGCGTTGATGTGTGGTTAGTTTATCCATCGGTACTCACTATACGTCAGGGCGTTGAAGCCGATGTTGTAGGCTGGCTGGTATGCATAGATCCAGAACAAACAGAGCTTTCCGGCAGCTTTCGATCCTCCGACAATGGCCTCGGCCGCGGAGATAGTCCAGGCTACATATATGATGAGGATAGCGGATATGGAAGTCAGGAACATCGTTCTACGCTTAAACCTCATGACCAATAGCGCGGTAAAGACAGCGCATACTAACCCCAAGCACTGGTTTCCGATATTGTACTTGGCCTGGAAACTGGGATCCGTGAAGCCGATCAGGTTAAGAATATCTCCCAGGTAATACGAGATAACCACGTTTCCGGAAAGCTGCGACATGACTCCGAGAAGCGAGCCGATAATCACACGTCGTCGATTTCCGGGGCTGTTGATCATATCCATCCAAGAGCGCTTCGAATGCTCGAGTTCGATAGCGATGGTAGTCTTTATCTCAGCCATTTCCGCCTTTGCGAATTCCGAGTCTTCGTTTCCTTCGGCATGGTAGGTAACTAAAACTTTAAAAGCTTCCTCGTATCGTTCTTTGCTTATCAAGAATCGGGGGCTTTCGGGCAAGAAACTAGGCGTCATGAGCATGGAACTTGGGAATTGGGTAGCGAATCGAGTCTCACAAGATGAGGGCGACTTGTAACAAAGATGGCGACATCTGTAGAAGGGAAGGAACTCTAATATCTCCACGTTAGAAAACTCGAGTCGACGCGATGTTTTGGTATATATTACCTCCAAGACCTACGAAAAGCGGTGTTGTCAGGTCATGAGCAATATTTGATGAATCGATTACATCTGAGGTCAACTTACCAATCCGACGGAATTTGCTGGGTTCCATACGTCACAGCCGAAGCCACGATGGCGCCGATGAAATATGCTGCGTTGAACAAAGACGTCAAGATCGCACGCTCCTTGGGATACGCAAGTTCTCCGATCAAACTAGACCCTGCAACGATAGCATATGGCAGTCCGAAGCCAATGATCAACCGGGAAACGATGTACATCGGGCCTTAGGAGATAATTAGCTTTGGTCTTTGGTGGGGAATTAGCTATAGGGATGGCTCGTTGCTTCATCACGTACCGTTTACCGCGAACCCCTGAATCAGCGATCCAATGACCATTACCACGCTGCCGAACATAACACACCATCTCCGACCCAAGTTATCATTAAGTAGTGGGATAAAGGGGAGACCGATCACGGCGCCGAGCGGCAAGGCGGAGGCCAGGATCCCCTTATAACCGCCTGTTGGATGGCCGAAAACTAGAGTTCATTCGCGTTCAGCTTTCTCCATCTCCAACTCGGAATTTCCCCAGAAGCTTACAATTTGACCACGCGGGAACTATTTGGACGGCGTTGATGATCTGCGAGTCGAACCCGGAAGTCATTTCGATCCCCATCAGACATGGAAACAGCATGAAGTACAAGTAGCGCAAGTTTCTCTTCTGATGCCATGGGACCCTATCCTCCATCGCCATGCGATGGACGATATTGTCCGTTTGAGCGCCGCCGCCAACCATTGTGTCGAGATTTCTTCCGGGTTGCGGTGATAAGGGTTCGAGATTGTATTCGTCGGAGAGATAGAACCTAGCAAAACAGGTTCAAATCTATCTTTGATGCTGTTCTAAGGTATCGGTCATGATGTTGGTTCATATATAACTGAACCAACTTCCTTCGCTCGGACCGACTTTTTCTGGTAGGATTCGGCGGTTAATAAGGCAATATCAGCTTATATCTAAAGGTGCGCGAAAATCATAAGAGGTCGCGGATGTGTATAACCATTTTCCAATTTAGCCGCCATGCGCCTGATTGCGAGCTCCATGTTCGGATACCAACCGTGAGGGCACAGCAAATAGAGAGCCCGGGATTCTAGGACTCTGATCTGATAAGAAGATTCCCATTGGTTTGCGACGTTCCATTTCTCCAAGATCGAGGCCGTTCGAAGACGCCAGCGGAAACAGTAGACGAACCCCCCGCAATATCCCGCAATACCCCCGTTATCCTTCCCCGTGGGATTGTTTCCTGTTCCTTTCGGGTTATATTCTCCCCATGGAACGCTGCGCATGTTGATTTCAGCTTCGCGTGGAGGTGCTCGGCTTGTCACAGCTCAGCTGTTGCCTTGCCGTCAATCCAAAGGACACATAACTCGGGCCAGCGGATGATGACACCCCGAATAACTTCGCTTACTAGTTTCCGCCAAGTTAGAGATGCCTTTGTGTCAATATACTCCCATCCCCGGCGTATAGACATGAGCTTATTAGATGTGATCTCCCGTTATAACAGCTTGCTTGGAGGTTGAGTCTCTCAAGCATACCTACCTATCTAACACGATGGGCACTAGGTCTCGTAACATGTAACTCACCATGTCATTCTTAAGGCCGATCCTGTATGAAATATCGCGATCCAGCTCTTTGATATTGTGGTCTGTAAACTCAAGGAACGGCAGAAGTAGTATTGTGTAACTCGCGATGGTTTAATGATAGTATATTAGTATATCGTTATAAATGATGCTTGCAGTATTAAGATGCTACCTTGATGGGATTATAAACCGGGTTAGTAGAAAAAGGGGTTGCTCATGAGTCCTCGTTCAATTGGAGCAAATATAATTGAATGACTTATTCAAGATGCAGAACAGATAGAATAATTCAAAACTCTCCGGTTATATTTGCTGACTTTTCTAAGAGGAAGTAATCCATGTAGAACCGGAACGTTGCTCATGTTTTGCTTCCTTGAGAATCGCATATCGTCATCTTTGAAGGTTCATCGGCTTTGATCGTACCTTATCACACAGCCAACCGAGTTCCACGAGTATAAAATCATTGATGATACAAGATCTGGGTCATTTCCATCTGGGGACGGGTACGACCTTGTTTAGGTAACTTGCCGCGACGCCTCCAGCGCCTCCCATTTACTCCGGAGCGCGCCAAGCCTAAGATATTAATGGCGGCGCTGGCACCTGTACGATGCGCCCAATCGGGATTAGGTACAGCTGTTGAAATTACCACAGCTCATCCAGGTCTGTCAAATCAGCAGTTCTGTGAATTTCGAGTAAAGTTGATTTGTAGGTCTCTTGGCATCTCGCTGGTGAAGGAGGCGTTGCCATCCGTGCACTTTTACATTAGTTCTAACTTATGTTTCAAAAAAGTCATGATGCAACAGAAGAACATAAGGGCGGTTTCAACAGCTTGATCGGTTCAACGTTCCTTGCTGGACGGCTGCTAGCTTCAAAGTTATCGTTCGGTCCCGGAGCTAGCGGACCTATTTTTTCTCCAAAAATACTCCTAGTGGAGCTATCGTGCCGAAATATTGTGTCGGGTAGCAGCAGAATCCGAAAATGAATAGTCGATGTTTTCATGAGGTTATAAGACAGGACTTGCAATGTTTTCTACAAACGCCTAGGACACTGTTCCATCCCAGGGGGTGCAATGCCTTATCATAGTGAACAGGACATGTCGGTATATAAGCACTTTATAAAAGGATCGCATGAAGAAGACGGGAATTGTTCTACTAGAATCATCCCAAAAGCTTCAATTTCCACGTGGCTTAAGCCTCTTGAATCCTACGCAAGCCACAGGTCGAATGTGGTATTTGTGGCTAGTCTAACGGCTGAAATGAGACAGGCAAGGATCGTTTACGTCGCTTTGGCCGCTGGATGTTGCACACGACGCGCAGAAGGATTGAACCCATCCCTCTGATAGGAACCTTATGAACTTAGAAACTTAGTAAGGATTTATACCGACCCACTGGAGGCGAGATAATCCATATGGCCATACCTGTTATGTATTCGAAGAGATCGCATCGCAGAGTTAGTAATGAGGCTAATGCATCGGAAGCGAAGTTCTGTTTTTAGAAATCGTACTAACGAACAAACAGTGGATTATGATAGACATGCGGCAGCAGAACATGTATCCCTCGTTTAGTGGCTGTGCCTAGTGTTTGGACGGACTTCTCTGAGTGTTGGTTTTGCTTCTTTTGCCTTGCACCTCTCTCGCACGCAACCAGCTGACCCTTGCTGATGTTGATGGGATTTATGACTTATCCTAGTTGTGTATAGGTAAGGCTAAATAAGCAATTTAGATGAACAAGGAGTACGATGTGTGTATGTGGTAGATATTCCTGTTTATGCAGCTACCCGACAGCAAGGGGGACAATATCCAATTTATGATGGCTCCCTGCCAGCGAAACCGAGAGAGAGAACATCGACGCTGCGCCGTTACATAGCAGGTACACGGGTTTTTTATCTGCCGCGAAACACAAACAGCGATCGAATAGTTCAGAGGTATGTCAGCAGAGATCTTGTTAGGTTCACTTCAAGCAATAATAGGCAATCATGTGTAAATATTCGGGCAGTGCCTTAGCTTCCATGTCGTTGGGTCCCGTCTAACCAACCACCAACCGAGCAGTGGAACGACGACCCATTAAGGATAACATGGTACTTATGATATCCATAGCTGTAGGTAACCGTCCGCGAGTTTTAATGCAAGAATAGGTAGGTACTGATCATATACTAATAGTATACGATGTCGATACATATAACTCAGCTGTACATTACATACCACTAGGCTAACATCTATTATCCCCCCAATAAAATATAAGATCGTCAAAGCTTCCACAATTTGCAACGGCATGTCTTTGACACATCTGCGCTGCCACCCTGGTTAGAATCCTATTTTCTCCACTGCGGGCTTCTGTCAATCGCTGATCCATGCGCCCCAGGTCGCATCTGAAAAATAGGTGAACAAAAAGCCAGCCCTGAAGGTCCAAGCTTGCGGGTCTGCGGGTTTGCAGCTCTACCTGCACTGCACTGTATGCTGTATTATATTGTACTGTAATGTTTGTCTGTCCGTCTTCCAAGTTCTTAACTCATCCGGTCACCGTCAAGTTTCCACAACTTAATAATTTCCCTAAAACTGGAGGAAAAAGGGGAATCGAAGAGATTTGGTGAGATTTGCAGAGATTTACAGCGATGGAAAAGGCTACTCGGGCAACGGACGTAGACTCGGTCGAAGAGCAATACGTTCTACCTTCGACATTCTCGCCTTGGACCGGCCATGAGGACGAACCAGACTTTGGGCACTCACGTGCTCAATCATTAACACCATCGCCAACATCATCACCACCACCACCCGAGAGGTCTAAGGAGCACCTATCGTCGTATATCGCGGAAGACGAAGTAGTGAGGCCTCCGCTATCGCGGCGGGCTTCTCCCTTTAGATCTACGCCGACGCCTCACGCTCAAGGGGACGACGAGCAACTGATGCTGAGACCGGATGATCACGGCATGCAACCAGTGACCGAAACTGTCATTTCTGCCGGGGATATTCAGCAAAAACGAGGTACCGTACGGCGCACTAAGTTCACGGAATTACTAAGTCGCTCCCTATCACTGTCGTTACTGGGCAAAAAGGTCCCTTCCTCGCCTAGCATAGGCAGTAATTACAACACGATAGCGGAGGAACCTTCGAGTCACCAGGGCCCTGAGCATTACCCCATGGACTCGGTCAACGCGCCCCGCTTAGCTGTGGAGGATAGATCCCGTCCGTCAAGTTCAAGCGGCTCGGAAGACGATGATGACATCGATATCGACGAGCTTGCTACCAAATATGGTATGTGTAATTCCCATTCCGCCCATTCCATGTTTTTATCATCTAGTAGGTAGATACTAATGAGCTATCAGAGCGACCTCCTCTGGACTGTCACTCGAGACGTGATGTCTACGTTAAACGCTGGAGCTGGACATTCATTATTCTCTTGTCACTATCCCTGTACTCTACCCTACTTAGTGGACTATGGCTTTTTACTTCAATCTACCAGCCACGTTACGGGAGAGGGATATCTGATAGCGAGGGATGGAAAATGGCGCCATCGACTGCAACGCTGCTCTGCACCTTGATAGCCAAGACTATCGAAATGTCATTCGTCACTGTCTTCGTGGCTTTCATCGGCCAGGTTCTGACGCGGAGGGCATTTGTTAAGAAATCTAAGGGCGTGACGCTCGCTGAAATGACGATGCGGAATTGGGTCATTGTGAGTGCTATAGAGGAAACCCGTCTTATGGCTTAATTGAGCTGGCAGTCCGTTACTAACCGTACGATGCTGAATACAGCAACCGGGTTCTTTACTTAGATATTGGGCAGGAGTTCCTTTCGCGGCTACGACGGTTATGGGCGCCTTATCGCTGATTGCAGCTATCTGCACAATGTTCTATACGACGGCATCCGACGCGATGGTCAGCCCCAAGCTCAAGTATGGAGCATGGGAATCACGCAGCTTGGAGGGGTTCGTAAAGGCTTCCTATGCGAATCCGTACTATGTCCAGAAGGCTTGTTCGACACCCATCGACACGCAGATGGATCCGAATAACTCGGCCCCCTCTTGTCTTGACGTGCAATACTCAGGTCAATCCTATCACAACCTACTGACCTTCATGTACGTCCCCACCGAATCCATTCCAACATAGCCCCCGAATTGACTAATACATTCTATTTAGGGGTGAATGGCACACGCTCCACGAGAACAAATCATCAACCGCCGATCATCTGAGCGTGAGACCCGTGGGGAAGCACAATCTATTCGACAACACTACGATGGCGTCGACCTGGATAGAGACCGAGTTTGGAGACCCGAAGACGAGCTTCGCAACATACAACAGGATCGTAAACAACGTCACTCTAGCGATGCCCCACGCAGGCGTGTACTCCGCAGCCACAGATCCCCGAAACAACATCCTGCAGCCGGACGACTTAGCAGGCGTCGGCGAGTACTCCATCCGAGCCAGCGTCGTCTCGCCCGTCGTGAACGTGATGTGCGTGAACATGGCGCGCGCCGAGCTCGCACCACTCGTATACACCGAATGGCCACAAGCGCGAACCGCATCGACCAACGTGCCGGGCCAGCGCGCCGGCGTAGAAGACTGGTTCAACGACGTGCCCGCGCCCTCGGACACCGAATGGCTGAACCGCACCGCCGTCGACGACATCTTCCGGTGGGGACCGAAGTACCACCGACGCCCTCCCGTCTTCCAGCTGTACCCCATCGACTACAACATGATAACCAACACCTCCGTCGCGGTGTCCGCCGACATCTACGTGCTCGCGAAATCCGGGACCATCGACACCTTCGCGCTATGCCAGCTGTCGTCCTGGGTAACCCCCAAATGCTCCACCGAGTTCGACGTGTCCGGTATCTCAGGGGGGTACATGCGCGCGCACTGCGAAGACCCAGCGAACAGCATATCCTACGAAGCCGGGTCAGGGAACACCGACTTCGACATCCACATGCCGGCGCCGAGCCTCGACTGGCGCAACCTCGCCGACCAATGGCGGTTATCCATGGACCTGAACGGCGGGGTGCAGAACAACAACGCGAGCAACGCGCGCATCATGGCGCACCTAATCCTCGAGTCCCCATCTCTCAACCCGAACCTGCCCTCCATGGCCGAAGCGCTCGCGGTCCTCGCTTCCTCGACACTGGTCGCGGGGACTCTGTACTCGACGTACCGCGCGGTGTGGGACTACCCAAGCGTCGACATGTCGCCGGGGGGTGTATACGAATCCTTCCGCGCGTCGATGCGCACGCAGGAATACACGTCGTCGCACGTGATGGCGTGGCAGGCCGTGTTCTACGCCGTGCTGGGGTTCGTGTTTATCCTCAACCTCGCGTGTCTGTGCTATATCGTGTTCGTGCGCTCCGGGCTCGTCAGCGACTACACGGAGCCGCAGAACCTGTTCGCGGTGTCGGTGAACTCGCCCGCCAGCGGCGCGTTGTCGGGGAGCTGTGGACATGGGCCGGATGCACGGGAGATGGTGGTCCCCTGGCGCGTCGGGTATTCTGCTGCTGCGAATCATTATTTCTTTGAGGAGGCGACGGGGGGAGTGAGGGCGAGGGGAGAGAGTGTGGTTAGTGGATCGGATTTGTTGGCGCCGAGGGGGAGGTATAGGAGTCAGAATTGGGATAATTATAAGAGGTTGAGTTCGAGTCGGACTTGGTTGTGAGATTGGGGATTGTGAGTGTAAGGAACCTGTTGAAAGAAATGAGGGTATATAGTTAGGTATTACAGGTATTGTTTGTATATTTTGGGCATTTCAGTGTTACATACGCCTAAGGGGTACATAGTAGCATAGCGAAGGCGTTTTGGATGGGGGAGATTCGGGGATACCATGGGAAACTGGAAAAGAAAAGGGGGAATCACATATACTCTGCATTTACAGGTTCATTTAGTAGTCACCACATATCAGCGTAGGTAGAAAAAATAAGTTCGGATAGAGCCACTGGGTTATGGCATTGATAATTCAATAGCAGCTATATTTTGTATATTCTTCGGGATGTTGAGATCCCAAGTCAAGGAGCGTTGAGCTTTTTTTCCAAAAATTTCAGAAGTGTGGTTGTAACCAACCTTAAGGAGCGACAAGAATGTAAATATTCCAAGATTTCCTCCACTTCTTACCTAGATAGGCACCTATCAGCCAACTAGCCCTGTCCTACAGGCACTTTTTCACATCCGTTCACCAAGCAGACAGCTCATCTAATCTAGAACAGCTTATGCTCAAGCGTCATATCGCTCTCCGGCTCCAAGCCCACACAAGCGCGGAAGATATTCGTAAGCGCACCACGCTGCTTCGCCAGTGCGTTAACGACAGGAGTGCCGGGAGGCGTGAGCGGGGCCTTGAGCATGTAGCTAAGGATGCTAAGAACGCTATGGAAGCCTTTGAACGCGCCCTCAGGCTGGTCGTGTAGCTTCCACTGAACACGCGTCATCATCTCAGCGACGAGCACAAGGTCGATGATCAGCGGGGAGGCGAGCAGCGAGTCCTCGCACACGTTGAACAGGCTGATGGTCTGGTGTCCGCCCATGAAGATCTCGGCGTAGTACTCGTCGAGGGCGCGCTTGTTGTCGCCGACCGCCGGCATGTACTTGATGACGACGGTGTGGTCCGGGTGTTCGCCGGGCTTGTACAGCACGGAGTTGGCCTCGACCATGTCGTCGACCACGTTGCTCTTCGAGATCTCCTTCGATCGGAACTGCTTCTGCGAGCTGAGGTTCTTGCCGTCGTTGTTGCCGAGGTGGTTGTAGCTCGCGATCGACGTCAGCTTGATGCCTGCGTTGATCAGGAAGTCTACGAGCGCGGACTTCATCTTCGTCTGTCCGGACTTGAAGTCGTCGCCGCCGATGAAGGCGGAGTGCTTTTCTGCTAGCTCGATGGCTCCTGGGACGAAAGTGTTCTGCGGCGAGCCGTTGATGAATGGTGTTTTCTCTAGGATGCAGGCTACGGCGAAGACTGTGGACGGGGCAATTTCCTCGTGGCCCTCCTCGATAGCTTTGAGGAGGTTGTCGGCCGTGTCGTTGATGCCGGGGATGATATCGGCGAATCGTTCGGTGTTGGCCGTCCATTGGACGATGACTTTATCTAAGCCATTCTGTTGTTTGAAATTTCTGTTACGGAGTTAGCAGGGGCAAGAATTGAGGTAAGTATGAGAGTTTATCTTACTTGATATCCTGGCGGATCTTCTCTACGTGGGCCGTAGAAGCTTTGCTTCCCGGGATGAGGTTATCAGCGCGGTCCTCCTGGTTCGCTGCAATGAAGTCGGGGTAATAGATACTTGGGAGCGGGACCATCTGGGTCATCTCCTTCTTGATTTGTTGCTTTAAGGTAGGCTCAAGTACGGCAGCCCGATCCATAGCATCAGCGAGGTTCATGCTACTGATATCCCACCCGCCAATAACAAAGTCGTTGGGATGTACCATAGGGAGAACATCGCGGAACGGGATGTTGACTTCCTTCATGGTTCTAGGATCGGTACCGAGCTTCATAGTAGAGCTCATGATGACTGACCCATAGTAATTGGCAGCACGAGGACCCTCGCGAGTCTCCCAGACGAGCCCTCGGCGGTTGGCAATGATACCGGCGGTCACGGTAGATCCGTTGTTTCCGCCCCATCCTACAAGCATCATACCGACCTTAGGAATCTTCCGTTCGACTTTAAAGTCGTACACTAGTTCCTTAGGGGTAGCAACATACTTGCCAGCAGCATCTTGGGTCACGCTAGTGGTGCGATAGGTGTATTTGGACCGGATCTCATTGTCGGTGTAGGCCACGTTAGGTGAGCTAACTACGAAGAGATCGTTGTTGTTCGATGGCGAAGGGGTCGAATTGTCGCCGTGGGAGTGTCCGTTCCCGTACGCGGTGCCCGCGTCTACCTCAGCGTGCGGTGCCATGTTGCACTGCTTTGTGATTTTGGTCGCTATTTTGGGTAGAGGCCTTTATTGGGTAAAGGCCAAGTCCGCTGCGCTCCCCGGAGAAGCAGAACAGCGGCCTCCTGCGTACGGGTGATGGACGCTTCATGGCAAGTCAGAATACAATCTGAATATTTGTTCTAGGGGTTGAGAAATAAGCTTACGAGTTAAGAAGGTTGGAAAACGTTTTGACTATGTGTGGTGATCGCCGCCTAAACGCGCGATCGTCCTGTCAAGTAGTTGAATAAGAGAATAGATTGAGATAGATTGCTGTATAGCAGCTCTACTCAGGACAAGATTGGCTATAGATTTTTTGATTCTGGGTATTTCAAAAGTTTCAATGCTGTTAACTAAGTTAAGTTTTTCAAAAAGCAAACAATAAAGAAATCTACAGGTGCAGTAGCTCTAGCTTTTAAAGGTGGAACGTTGGAATTCGACGGATATGGCGGGATACTAAGTAACCCACTACTATGCTACGTGGTGGACCGAGTCGAACAACACATGCAGATTCAGCTTATAAATGTGGCATGATGAGAAGATGAGAAGCAAGGTGAACAGCTACTAATTGTTTACTTACCTCTTATTAATTACTTGGATAGCCGAACTCACGATATCGGTCGTCACAGTCGTTGGACGAAGTTGTAGTTTAAACGTCGTATGCTGCTCCGTATGCTCCCCGCCGTTGGGGTCTTAAGAATCCCAACGAACCCTTGACGAAGCTGTAGCGGGGTTGATAGGGGTGTGATTGGTCAATTCTGGAATGTCGGTGTCAAGACTTATCTAGTTAGGGCTAAAAGAGGCGTCTCTAGCCTGCACATGTACGAAAGCTTTAGCGATGTCCGGTCCCGGGTCCTTCGGTTGCGCACCTACATACAGCGTATTCTTCTTTGCCTGTTGTCCTTATCGTCCGCTATTCCTCGCATCATCAACTTGTTCACATCTTATTACCTAGCTACCTAGTTTAGATCTCAATTTCCACCCATCGCCGACTTGTTTCCATCACCAACAGTCAAGGCTCAAGAGACGTAAGGGCTACTCCGGGATTCTATCTTTAGAAATCTTTTGATTGTTCTAGAAACATACCTACGCACGTACTATTAGTTTCACATGTGTAAAATGAAAGACCACATGAAGTAGAAGCTAGAGAAGGTGGCTAAGAAATGCATGTCTTACACAATTCCGTGGTGACGGAATTCGCATACCGATTTATACTTGGATTGTGGCACGTGTGCACAATCTCTTGGACCAGATCTACTATGTAAGAATCTACTATGTAAGACGGAACTAGTGAGCTTAAAGGCACACACAGGCGAAACAAATCATGTGAAGCAAAATGTGCGGCCAATTTGTTATGGAAAAAAGGGGGGATGTTTCAAAAACTTCCTATTGGCCAACGACACACAGACTCGGAGATCAGAAGCAAGGGTAGAGCTAAGGGACTGTTCAGAGTCTGTGCAAAAGGAAACCGTCCATATTCTACTATGGTAACTAAATTACTATTGAACCTCGAGCCTCTTCGTAAGACATTGGACTTGTCTATGATATATTATGTGCGCTTCTCCCTCCCTACCTACCTACGTAACTTGCATAGACTCTTAAATTTCTACGTCCTTGAATTAACAAACGTATGTTCAATAAGGCTACATTCCAAGAATTCCTACGATGCACAGATTAAGAGGTCCCACTCTGTACCTACTTTCGCCAACCATCCTGCCAACCAGCTACTTGCTACATTGAGCCTCATTTCCGGGTCCAGGGGGGTTCGGATCGGATAGGCGAACAGACCAAGAGTTCATAAGAGCTTCGAAAAGACTTAATTATCTATCGATAGATATTAGGGATGCTGATAGGTAATAATAGAATAATAGGAGCCCGAGTTATCGCTGTTTTATGCGACGGTTTATAGCGTATAAACACAATCCCTTACGCCGTTTAATAATAATAATCATAATTCTCGGCGATGGTTAGCACACGAGACTTCATTGGACCCGAGTTCGTGGACCTTTACCCCGTACAAGATCAGGGGCTGTATGCAGTGTCAAGAAACGCCAAATGGCCAGGGCAAGACTCGGCCGCGATAATTGGATGGTAGGGAATTTAACAAATTTAACCACATCTGACGTCGGAGGTATTAGAGAGTCTCATTAGTCGCCGGAAATTTCTCACGCGATTAGGCTTGTTTGTGTCGCCGTTGATATCACGATTGACCAAACGACATCGAAGATTAATTTTCCCATTCGTTCAACAGTCATTCCACGTTAATCTTAGCGGCCATGATTTAATCCATGGGTGTAATGTCAAGTGACTTTAGCTAAGGTAGATCATGTTATAACCCCAGGTAACCCGACCTAGGTGCGACAAGGGCTTTCGGGACCAACAGGTGCCGCATAGGGCCGAAAGAACGGCATGAAATGGACGACTATCTTGCCGAGAGGTTGAATGCTTCACTTTCTCGACGGACCAATATGCGAAGTATGCGGAGTGTGTCTGCATATTTCTAATAGTTTGGACCAACGCTATGATAACTGCGTCACCGCGACAGTTAACTAAAGACTTAATACATAGTAGGGTCGAATAGAGAAGGCTAAATTATTGACGGCGTGTCCACTGCGCGTCTTCTTTAGGGCCTTCTTTAGTTAAATTGCTAGATCTGTCATGTTCACATCTGGGGGTTCCTGATCAGTGATAGCGGCGGTTACTTGATCTGCGAGTGATGGAACGTGTTCAGCATGTTCGCTTTAAGAAGCAATGAGATGCAGAGATGACGTCTAATCACAGCAAGCCTATCACGATAATCAGCGTAGAGGCCGTAAGTGGCAAGAAACATGAGGAGGAACAGAGCTAGCAAGGTTCTGGTATCCCCATGACAACCATTACCTAACCCTCCAGACCCCCCAAACCCTCTTCGCCCAGCCTGACCAGCCTGAGCTACTGCTTACCTCCTTAGATTTCAAACCGGTTCAATTGGGGTTGATTGGTTAATTATGGCATTGCCGTCCATGGTCACATCGGCACTATTTAGAATTTCATATTAATGAGAAGACGATGTAAACGAATCTGGTTAAATGTATGACAGTAGTATAGGAAAGCTGAATAGCCGATTAGCAAATGAGAGATGAAGAATCGACGGCTCTAGAATGATGTATGAGAGAGACCCAAGAGCAGCAAGAGTGAAAGAAAAAGAGACCGAGAAGGAATTTAATTCGATTTTTAGAATATCCCCTTTTGGTAGCTCTCCATATTACCCACATGTACCCACACGTACCCATATATGCAGACCAGAACTGATCCATGGTTCCTGGGTACTCCGTATTCGATCCATATTTCTAGCTGCGATTAAGTGGAGACAGGGGTATCTTTGTAGAAATTGTCGAATCACTACCAACTTTAAAGCTGCAAGGTACCCGTTCAGGTCGACTTAGCTCCTGCCAGCCCTGTCTAGTAGAGCAGCGCTATGCTGGATCGGTTTAGCGATTGCTAGTGCTGTAAGGAAGGTCGATCGTACAGCTTTATTAGTGTTACATAGCACCATCACCTAAAGCCACTCTGACCACCAACCAGTGCCAGTCTGACCAACCTACCGCCTACCGACGTGCTATGGCCTTCTTATCCATCGATAACTTTGCTTATTTTGTCCATATCCGGAACAGTGAGATTGTGGCGTTCTTCATTAAATATTGTCGGATTCTTCGGCGGACTAAGCGGCTACTGTGCTAATCGGTTATGTAGGTACTTCCATAAATGCGCAAGTGTGTTGGTGACGGGTGATATACATGCATTTCAGCTGTGGAAATAAATGTCAACGTGGAAGTACGTTCCAATTTAAGGTTAAAGAGGGAGAAGGGAGAAAGGGAAACAGTGCCACAATCCTCTGGAACCGACGAGGAAGGAACCAACGTTTCGAGTAACCACCTACTTCATAGAGTATTAGAAACAAAAGTTAAAAGAGGTGGAATATCTACCTAGATGGAATAGAACCTAGCAACTAACTAAACAAGACCCAAATCCTACCGATTCATGTTAATGAGTGAGTACTAACCTTGGAAGTAAGACGTCGGTGAACGATCAACGGTGACTTCATCGCCGACTCCTTCAGGTGACGGATGGTACCAAATTTACATATTTAGCTTACAGTTGCGAAAACCATCAATGTTTGACTTCAAGTTCCTAATCACATCCTCCTTTCGACGCCTCATGCGCCACCTCTTCCCTTCGTAGATTCGAACCGGCGAGTGTTTGATATAGATAACCATCATAATTCCTACCGTATGCCCTTCTTTCGCATATTATTTAATTCCCTGGAAGTCGTCTAGAATCTGACTTCGACCTCAAGAATTATCCGCGTGCTTTCGGGCTTCATGTACATAGTAATGAGATCCCTATCACATACTCTTTTAAGTTATTACTGCCAAGCCAAGTAAAGACAGGGGACAGGGGACAGGGACAGCCCATGAATGGTCTAAGTGGACTGCCCGTGCATAGTTTAGCCAGGGGTAAGAGGAACAGGGGGTCGTATTAACATCCACTCTTTCGAGACACAGGTCGCAACGTCCAAGACGACTTGGATAACTAACTCACCGACCTTTACACCAAAAGATCTCTTTTGAAACTTCTTCGACCTTGTTTCTTCTCGACCAATTGTTCGTAATTCTTACGGAAATCTTCCCAAGCGAGGGCCCGTATAGCGTCCACTGTCGCACGAACAACTCTGCATACAGCCTATCGCAAGGCATACCTCACCTCCCTAACACCATCAGCATTAACATTAGCGAGAGAGCGCTACGCTTATCTGGAGCCGTCCTATTTGACTGTTGCCATCTGACTGTTACTATCTGTGGAGTTCATGTTTCGACTTTTCTGCACGACATCCAGCACGACGGACCGATCAAAATTCCTTTTTTCTCATCAGCATATCAACCTTTAATTGGTGTTGGTGCTATTAAGACGATCAACCTGGCTTCCATACAGTCAAACGACGCCGTCTTTGATCAACACAACCCTCACGTTTTTAGTAAAAGGGTGGACGAGGCAGAGAGCTGCTGAATGCGCGGAACCGACTTAACCAATCCTTAATGAGGATAGGCAAGGGTAGAGTAAGAGAAGGGAATCGTGAAGCATTTTTCAATCATGGCGGACACATCACGACAATCGGCTTTTATGCCGACGATAAAATGCTCGAACTGCGGGAATCAGGTTGAGATTTCGATGATGGGGGATCATGTCTGTGGTAGCACGCCGGCTCCGCCAGAACGTTCGTGATTTTTCATTCGTCTTTTCGTTATAGATTTTGCCTCTAACTATCGAAGCAGCACCTCCTCCACCAATACCTGATCTTTTAGGTAGCACGTTGAATTCTCTCAAAGTAAATATGTTTGGCGGGTTCGGCCGCTCTGCTCCCCCCGCTGTCGATACAAATGCAGCAAGTAAGCTCACCACTCACTATCGAATGTAATACGCCTGCTAACGCGATAGTAGATCGCGCATTTGCAAAGCAGGACCAACTAACTCCAAGGAGCGCCTCAACCGGATCTCAGGCCATCTCACCGAAGACGCCTAATGGACGGCCTGGTGCCAGTCCTAGCAGAGATGACTTCGGACCAGCAATAGCTAGCTCGCCTAGGCGACCGGGCGGATATGGAGGATTTGGAGACGCAGAATCATATGAAGGCGATTCTACTTATGGCACTAGCCCAAATAAATCAACAAATTTCTTAACCAGGATGAACAGCATCGCGCCTGGTCCATTTGACTCGAACCGACGACCTGGCTCAAAAAATTCCTTCGCACGAAATAATAGTAGGGAAAATCTCACAGTAGATTCGATCGACACGATGGATAGGCCAGGCACATCTGGTTCAACCTCCTCTAAAAATAGTGCCAACCTCGCACCCCCTAGGGCACCACGAGCAAATGGATACGGAGGATTCGGGGCACCGCAAAGAGACAGCGATGAATTCGAGCCTCCACAATTTGGGTTTGGTAAACGTTCCGAGACTTTCCCAGAGAAACTTTTGCAAGCAAATGATGAAATATACGAAGCACCAGCACGTGCGCCCTCCGCACCTGGCCCAAGACCTGATCGATTGCGGAATACGTCAAACCTCGGTGGACAACCCACAAACGGCCAACGCTTACAGCGTCCTTCATTTGGCGCACAAGATGCGCTCAGGCCTCCTCCACGGGGAGGGTTCGCTCGCCCGCCAACGCGAGACGGGAATGGAAGACCTTCGGTGAATCTTGCTGAAGAATTCGGCGTTGGTAATCCATACCACGCATCTACCGTATCGCAATCTTCCAGTAGCTCTGGCTATAGTCACATGTCTCGACCCAGTCAAGCCAGCTCAAGTACGAGTCCAGCTCGATCAGTTGCATCTCGTCCAGAGGTACGGCGGCCTTCAGATACGTCCAACTTCGATTCTTTGATGGACGACCTCCAGGCTTCAATGGATTCAATGCAACCCAAAGGACAACCACCCTCCCCTACTGACCGATTACAATCCGAAAAAAGCGTCGCACCGCTGCGGTCAAACGATCGTCGCGCACCACCTCCAGAGGACCTACCATTAGATCCCGCTAGCCTAGTGGGACGAGACCAGAAGTTAGGTCCTCCATTGAGGTCGCCGGTTTCTCCGGTTTCTCCCGAACACTCAGATCGCAAGGATCCTGCTGTTCAGACTGGTCTAAACCAGTCACCGCCAACTCGGCCATCCCACAACCGCCAACCATCCCGCTCTCGTGGTAACTGCAAGGCTTGCAAATTGCCAATCACCGGGAAATCCATCTCATCGGCAGATGGCCGGTTAACCGGGAGATATCATAAGGCATGCTTCGTGTGTACAACATGCCAAGAACCCTTCTCATCATCGACGTTCTACGTTTTGAACGATCAACCATACTGTGAACAACACTACCACAAGCTTAATGGCAGTCTATGTGGAAAATGCAACAGGGGTATCGAGGGGCAATATCTCGAGGATGAATCTTCGAAGAAATACCATCCTGGTTGCTTCCGATGTGGCGACTGTGGCACCGTCTTACGAGATGGATACTTCGATGTCGATGGCAAGGCCTACTGCGAGCGTGACGCTTGGAAGCGAATGCAATTCGCGGCCCAAGTGCAAAGGCAAGGACCGCCACCGGGTATGCAAATGTACCCGCCGCGACGACCAAGCACCGCTCAAGGACCTCCACCACCGAGAGGACTTCCCTCCGGCCCCGGTTCGATGGGACCCGGTCCTAGAGGGCCTAGTCCACTCAACCGACCGTTCGGATTGCCCACCGGGAACCGCCTGGCTCCTGGTCAGGCATTAGGTCGTGGTGGCCTGGTGAGGATGGAGAAGAGGATGACGAGACTAGGCATGATGTAAACCCGAACTCATCTCCTGAAATTTTTTGTTTTCTGAAACGACGATACGACTCTCTTTTGTCTCGATCGACCGAACCCTATGTCACTACGCATATTTCGTTGGCTGTGTGATTTATCATATATCATCAGCATTGGAGTTCGCGGTTCTGTTCTGGGATAGCATTTATCTTTTTTTCGATCGCATATACCCTTTCACACTTCCATTCGCTACTGCGATTTGTTTATATACCCCTTGACGAGGTCGATAGCCAGCTTCGCCATTCTGGTCCATAATCAGTTCGGATATCACGAACGCATTATATTATCATAATTTGATAATTCTGAGATGCATCTCGAATCACCACCTCGACGTCTCTCGGTTTTACCTGCATTGGGCATTGGCGGGCTTAGTGCGCTTCTGTAACGTCTTTTAATCACTCTACGGTACGTGGGAGAAATGTCCGGGATGGGATGGGACGGGACGGCAGGTGATTACCTAGACACGAGCACGTACCTCAGACGACGCGAATCTAGCCTTAGCTATTCGCGTCGCCTGTTGCTAATAGAAGGTGGAGATAGAGGAATAGAACGGGGACGCGAGCGACATACACAGGGGATGGCGGGGGAGGATCTAGCATGTGCGAGAGAAGGCTAGAATACATCTACTTTAGTCACGCCGTCTACGGCGTTCAAGACTATCGTAGCGGTCCGCTTGGAGAGCGCGGACAGAATAGTAATAGTAAATGACAAATACGTGAAATTATTACGATTCTTGCTTGTTTGTACATTGTGTATAATTGACTCGTATGCTATTGTGATTCTGTTCGCTGTTTTACTGTCGGCAAGTTACCTCGTTCGCTTGTCCGCCCGCTGCTGTGCTATGATGTTGAGATCGGTGCGCCTTGATGAAACGAACGGACGGATACAATGATATGACGAATCTGGAGAAACTGACCTCAACTTAAAATTTCCGGTTTTGATCTTAGCTGCTTAGATAGAGATCCTTGTTAAGGTGTAGGTAGGTATTTATGTAATTAATTACCAAGGTGAAAACCCTTTAACTACCGAAAGGCTAGTACCCGACGGCCAAAACGGGGATTCGCAACTTGGGCTTCTAGGCGGGTTGCAGCCGCAAGGTTGTAATTTATTTTTACTGTGGCCTGAGCTAGGAGGTAGGTTAGGGACTTACAGTAGATGGATGTATACATGGATGGGCTCACTATGCTGTGCTCGGCCGTTATTGCAGCCAGTGGCGTAGGTTGGGTCTAGAACTTATGGGCTATGGGTGGTTGCTGGATGAGACGGGAGATTCTGCAAGTAGGCATGTTGTCTTAGAGTGGGAGAGTAGAGGAGCGAGTAAACGCATAGGTAGGAAGATAGACGTCGGAGGTCTGGAGGGTCCGTGAGATGGGATTGTGGTGTGTTCGCTTGATGCTACGGTAGTGTAAATGCGAGATGTGCTACGGGTTTGCTTGTTTGGGTGGGTAGGTTTGCGTCTTTTAGATGCGTGCTACCTCTCATCGATATCACATCAGAAGTGCACACTGCGTTGCTAATCCCCAACTGTTGGTCATTGATGTACGCGTACGTACGTTATTAGCTAGGTGCTGGCTGGTAAGAGGTAGATGTGCATAGTATTACGAGGAATAGGTTAGGTCTGACGAGAAACCCCGTCCTTTCATCGTGTGAAGAATCTTCTTACAGAGCAAACATACGTACATATATGTACGATTGCGTATCTCAATAATATTGCGGCTTCTCTAGGTATTTCCTATCTGAGTGGACTATTGTGCCGGATAACGGTACACTGCAGCAACTGCACAGTCAGCAAGCCTCTGGGTTATATATAAGCGTTGGAGTGCAACGCATCACAACGGTGGAAACTTCGAAAACGAAGCCAACGCGGACGAATCCGGACCGGAGGGATCTGATACAAACCTTAGCTTACCTTCTCCCCATACGTACGATCAAGACCAAAGATGCCCCAGGCCAAGAGATTGCCGGATCTTCTTCTTTCCTCCCACAATAGGTAACTTATAACTAAGGTTATACCAACTTGGGCGAATTTAAATGAAAAATTAGCGAGTGTGACGCGTGAGTAATAAAGCTACCGAGGAGGCTCCTTGATTGGATGATCCGGGGCGCCTGCACGATGACGATCTTTAACATTGTGACGAGTGACCCCGAGCCGCTTGTGGGATTGCGTTGTACGCTAACTGGTTTTGGGGGTGATGGTGTGCGTATCAGATTCTTGTCCCCCATCTGTGTATCGATTTGATCTTAGTAGCGATAGTCGGTGACGAAACATTCGATGTTGAAGAACCGGATTATTCTATGATCGATCGCTTTTCAAACTTGAATTTCTCCCTATTTTGTTTTCATAGCCACCTTGGTTATCTCATGAGAAACAGATGGCGGATAGTTATTTGTTTGCGATCCTGCGATATGGGCAAGGGAGCGAGAAGTAGCCAAATAAGCTAAATTCGAGCTCCGAAGATGATTGTCGGTGATTTTCAGAATCGGCACTTTTCTGTGTCAGATGCATTTCGATAGAACCATGATTGACGATCGTTCGGATTCGGATCATATTAGTAAGAGAATATTACATAAACTAGGAATTGAGGAGAGTGATATTCATGAATATTGCTCCCTCCATATTTGCCAAACTTGCGAAACTTGTTTATGCGTAACTCTCCACGTGTGCGTTAATGCTACATTTCATTGCCGTCTGTGTCTTGCAGAAACGTCGGGTCGCGGATCGCGGATTGGACGTTGAGAGGTACTAATCATTTCGGCAGGGCTCTTGAAAACCTCCAGGGCTAGCTGCCGAGTCCCATGTCTTATTAATAAGTAACAATGACAAGGTGCTGACAAGGTAAACTAGAGTCTAGACAATCCAATAGGGAGCTGCCTATTGCGTCTTCTGTGAAGTTCTGCCAATCTTTCAATTGACCTTATCTCGCGTCAATTTTAATAATAAGGGAACGTGGGGAAAGGGCAGCATAGAACCTACCCCTTATCAAATTTAGGTATAGTGAAGTTTAAAAGGTAGGACTACTAATGCATGAAGAGTTCAAATTCTTCGATGAGAGCCCAGAGGAATTGTTGAAGAAAAATAGTAAAGAATCTTGAATGTTGGAGATTAAAAATTGAAAGTCGAAATGTCAATTCTAGGTTTCTTTAACTTGGTTGGCTCTTTCACATGTTGGACTTGGACCCTAAAGTCTCACTCCTTCCAACTGTTGTAAAATCCTCCTGGTCACCTTGCAGCAGTTACCCGCGTACGCTGTGCGACTAGACTAAATTCGCACCTCAGTTGGTGCCGGTATTATGACGCTAAACCCCTCTCCGTACATACCTTATATTTTATGTACCTAGGATGTACAGTAGCAGTTGTACAAGCGATTCTAACAGTCAGTTCTATCGATAGTCTTATCATCCGCTTTGTAATAGTTAAAAATATCGACAAAACATCTAGTAAGAATTCTTATGATAAACTTGAGGTTTTATGTGCTAGTTTTATATTCAAACGACAAACTAATCTAGTGCGTTGAAGCTGTCATTGTATTAGACCGCCGATAATTATTTGACCTCTCGTTTCGAATGGGTCCGAAATAGGTCTCGTACGAGGAACTTATTTTCCTAGCCCTGTCACCGAAGACCCCACTAGTCTCATGTAGCTTGCAGTAGGTAAATGTACCACGATATACATCGGAGTTGGTTGATACAATCAACTCTACACTAACATACATGTAATGGGTACTTTATACCCCGGTCGCCTATGCAGGTCCCCTATAGTTACTCCACGTATCGTTTATCGTGCTCTTTCCCGTTCGCAACATTAGGCCAGGTCTAATCTTTTAACCTTCAACTTCTTACCCAAAAAGGGGAGCGAAGGGGGTCCCAATTTCGAATCTCCTTCTATTTTGCTTTGGTGTTGATCACCGCGGCCAAGACATCGCGACATTATTTCCCCAGTCCCTTTTTTTTTCTCTGCTCATTCTCTTCTGTTCGAGTTCCGTCTTCTCTTCTAACGTGGGGATTATTACCTACATGTACTGTACCTCATTTTCCCGTCGACTTGACCAGATTTCAAATTTCAGATTTCAGATTTCATACTTCATACCCCGGCACACGCTGTCGTAATCTTTCTTTATCCGACCGGTTATCCGTCACAGAGTTAACCCCTTACACTCATTTTTTCCTATTGAATTTTTTAGACGAACCCTTCGGACGACATTACGTCTTGTACAGACGATTTCTTGTTTGAGTAGAAGTAGATACGGTCGCGAATTTGACCTGTTACGTATCGCTGATCAAATTCCTAGTTAAGGAATCTGATATAGAATATTGAGTTGAGGGAGTGACTCTGGATCGATATTTCCACCTCGCCCTTTACTAAATTCTCGATATTTGGCTTAGCAAGATAGCTACCGCCACCTCGCCATGTTCCAGGCTATTAATGAACTTCTTTAAATTTCGCGATATCCGACTTATAGCTTCGTCCGCCCATAAGCCGCATATAATCCACCCAATCGGTTCGGTATGATGCTAGCGGTGCAACCGCGTCGGTTATTATCGCGACCGAGAGGTCTATTGCTTTTCGCAGTCCTCGCCGCAACCCTCTACTGGTTCTTGTTACACGGGACTGCTACTCTCCATACTACGAGATGGTATGATGGGCGAGCTGGATCAGTACAAGTTCCCCTAAAGGAAAATACCGAATCCCAACAGGTCCAGCAAGCCCAACAACAAACCCAGCAGCAAGCCCAGCAGCAAGTCCCTCTACCAGCGAACCAACAGAGTAGTAGCGATCAAGGCGAACAGAGTCAACAAAACCAATACACCGAAACTGAGTCACATAAAAAGACAGAAGAGGAGAAAAAGAAGGAAGCAGAGGAACAAAGAGAAGAGAACCTCCGAGAACAGTTTGATAGAGAATATGAGGCACTTGCTAAGTAAGTTCGGCCATTCTTATTGCACGGCAAGTTCTAACGACCATGCAGAGAGCCTGGCGCCGATGCACTATTTGGGCAAACACTCACTACTCTTGAGCCTTCCAAGAAACGGTCGCTACAAATCGAGGAACACCTGACGCCCGCCATATCTAAGACTTATTTCAGTGACCACCAACCATATATCTACAACCCGTATCCTAAATATAATGAGAAAGCCTGGCTTGACGAAAGGGCCAAGTATGTATCTTGTGAAGGCCCAGGCGGCACATCGGGAGGGGATGTAATGGTTTTCAAAGGACAACCCAAGGCATTTCCTGAGCCCGGATTTGGAAGCTACGATGTCCTTGGCATGGATGGAAACTTGTGCTATGAGCGTGAGACGAGATTGGGTGTATACGGTTTCCAGGCGGACAACGACACCTCGAAACCATCGGTTGACTGGGACAAGGTCCGCTGGGGAGACTTGCAGGAAAAATGCGCTCAAAAGAACAAGGCCCGATACAACCTGCAAGGGCATTCCAATCCTTACCTTACGACAGTCTACTCGCGCGACAACTCGAGTTCAAATGGCGAGACTAGCCTTGGTTCGTCGGAATTGCCCCTGTATAGTCTTGGAAAAGCTAGCCCGCCATTGCGTCACAAGAGGGGGCTTCCTGAACAACCTAAGTCTGGCAAATCTAAACCTCTAGCTGGTTCTGAAGCGAGAACCGCTCTCTTGCTACGGACTTATACTGGCAAGGAATACAGTGAGAATGACAAGCAGGTGATTCGATCATTAATCACGGAGCTTTCGATACGCACCGGCGGCCTATACCAGGTGTTCTTGTTTGTCCACGTCAAGGATACGGCGTACGCAATTTGGGATGACGAAGAAACGTATCAATATGTCCTCCAGAGGAATGTTCCCCCGGAGTTCAGGGATATTGCGGTTCTCTGGAATGATGAAGCCACGCAGACAATGTATCCGAAGATCGACCCTAAGAAGGCGACCGTACATGTCTCGCAGTGGTTATCAGTCCAAAAGTTTGCTCAGGAGTTTCCCGAGTTTGATTATATTTGGAATTGGGAAATTGATGCAAGAGTAACTGGTCATCATTATGACTTTGTTGAAAAATTGGCCACTTTCGCCAAGCGGCAGCCTCGCCGAGGATTATGGGAACGTAACGAGCGATACTATATCCCATCTATTCATGGGGATTACGATACACAGTTTCGAAAGGAGGTAGAGCGTGTGTCGGGGAAGGACACGGTCTGGGGTCCTCCGAAGCTACCGTTTGTTACCCCTATTGGACCGAAACCTCCGGTTGCAAGTCCCGAAGATGACAACTACAAATGGGGTGTCGGCGAAGAGGCAGACCTCATTACCGTTGCCCCTATTTTCAACCCGCTCAATAGTTCATGGATCAGTGGTAATGAGTTGTGGGGATTTAATGACTCTACACATGCGACTACAGATCTGCCAAGAAGAGCTACTATTGTCACGCATTCGAGAGTGTCGAAGAAACTTCTCGATATCATGCACGTCGAGAATCTTCGGGGAAACCATATCTCATCAGAAATGGTCACGCAGACCACCGCGCTACTACATGGCCTTAAGGCAGTTTATGTCCCAATGCCTGTCTTCTTTGACCGACCTTGGAAAGGCAAGGACCTCGCCAAGTGGTTCAATGGTGGTCTGAAAGGAGAAAGTGGTGGCATCGGTTGCGCTATGGGCTGGGGGCGTGAGGCGAGATACCGTGGAAGCACTTGGTATTATCGGGCAAACCCACCGCAGCGACTCTACCTCAACATGATGGGTTGGGAAGATACTAATCTGGGCGGCGAAGATTGGGAAGAGACGTACGGACGGCCCTGTTTACCGCCTATGCTACTCCACCCTATAAAAGATATCGAACCCACCGAACCTGGATATAAGAGCGAGTCAAACCTTCCCTACTCCTAAGCGGATAAGAATCTATCGGCATTTAAAAAATTATTACCTTACTACCCGCGCCAGAACTCCGTACTCTACCATCGTTAAGGAATGGGCCTAGCGTTTAGGACCTTTTGACGACTCTTTTGAAACTCAGGATTTCCTATCCGTGCGACGAACTACTATTAGATTCAGTCTAACGACTAAATCGATATGAGATACCCAAGTATTCTTAGCTGGGTTCGGTTATCACATCAATATCAGCGCTTCGCGTGATAGAATTCTAGTCGACTAGCTTGGTCCCAGCCTTTCAAAAGCAAGCGAAGGCCATTTTCTTTAGATCGAGCTTCTAGAAATTCGGCATTTAGAGAGGCGAGTGTGCAAGACGCGACTCGGACAAAAAGGACACGAAAAGAAAGAAGATGCGATCATGGCGAGGGAATTAAACTCATCGCATTGCTTGGCGTTTCGCATACCTGGCGTCAGATTTGATATTTACGCCGAGCTTCGTCTCGGCTACGAAGAGATTCATTGCATGTATGGATTCCAGATCGGTCACGAATCAACTCTTCCAGCTTCCTAGTCCTAGACGGACTAAGGTGCGCTGCGAGTTTTTCAAAGTAGATATGTTATGTTATGTACATACCCATTTGTAAATGAATATATTTAGCCATGACATTATACAATCAAATGTATGTGATGATGGATATGATGGTAGTATGATGATGTCGTTTGGCTTATGCTCTATTTCTAAGTTGCTGTTTTCTTTCAGCTGCTCGACACACCAAGTACTAGAGTGATGGAAGTAATATAGATGTCAGTACCCAATTTTAAGTCTAGTCTGAATGTGAGAGTTCAGACTGAGACTGTTCTAAACTCAGATAGGTACCTGATACCTGATCGAGAGAAAATAGAGGTCATCTAGATCATCAATTTCATACAATCTTCTAATAATGAATCAAGTCTACATATACCAGGTACCTGGATTTATATCAATCCAACAAATAAGCTCGAACCCCAGAAATTAAGAGCTACGCTTTCTAATACAAAACATGCACTCGTCTAAATTGGGATTTCCCCTTTCTCATCTATACCATTAGATTCCGAAGCAGTAGCGGGAGTATGCACTCCTTCCTCGTCTCCGGGAGCACGTCCGATGATGGCTTCGAATTTCTACGAGGTTTCGGTTAGCATGGTAAATAGTGGTAGTGGTGTGTGGATTGTAAAAGATAGGTGGTATAAACTTACGGGTCCTTCAAAGACACTGCCGTTCACGATCCAGTACGTGCCGACTAGGATTAGGAATATACCGATGACGACGACTACGTAGTCTGTAGATGTTGGTAGGTAATTAGTAAGATGGATCGCTACCTAGTAGGAAGGTGGGGGATAGGTAGGCAAGGACTAACTCATATCGTCCCCGGAAACGGGAAGGCCGGTCGGGAAGCAGAAGAACTGGAGTGTTGGTTAGCATGTTTTCCCTTTTGGGAGACGGGCGAGGGGGTGTCATCCTTGGACGGGCCGAGAAAATAACTACATACCACAGAAGTAACAACCACGAAAACCGCCGCAACGATATTCAACGCCCACCCGGCGCGCCCGAGGTCGAAGTACGTCCGCTCCGACCTGTACTGTCGCAAGATACTGCGCCCGCGCACGAGCAGCGTTATGACGGGAAACACGTACGATACGTTGAGGAAGATGGTGGTGCTAGCGGCGTAGGCGCTGAAAGCGACTGAGGGGCCGAGGTAGAGGAGTCCGAAGAGCACGTTGAAGATGAAGGTGAAGACGATCGTGCGCACGGGGACGTCTAGTTTTGGTGTGATGTGGGCGAAGCTAGAGAGGAGGGCTGTTAGTATGGCGTCCAGTCCATAGCTCTACAGGAAAAGGAACTTGCGGATGAGTGATGGGGGGAGAGGAAAGGCTTACTAGCGATGATACACGATCCCCTTATCTCTCGCCATCGCATAAAGCAACCTGCTCGAGCTCGTCACGCAGCCATTCGTGCCGTTGATAAAGCAAACCGCCAACATAAGCGTCAGCACCGTCGCCGCGGCCCTGCTCTTCGTTCCCTGAAGTATCAGCTCCGCGATGGGCATATTCGTCGGCGTGCTCAGCACGGTCGTCGGGTCCGTGATGCAGAACAGGATGACGAGGATAAATGCAACTCCCGTGACGCCTCCCACGATGACCGCGTATATAATCGCGCGCGGCGCATCCTCCGCCGGCCGCGGCATCTCCTCCGTCATATGCAGCGCCGCGTCGAAACCGATCAAACTCAGCGCGCTTTGGAGAAGTCCTAGGATCCACGCCATCCCATCCGACCACCCCGTCTCGTTGCTGAACTCGGCGAACACGTAGTGCGCGTCGTTTTTATCGGATGTCGCGAGAAGTACGATGCTGATGACCACGACGCCGAGGAGCGACCAGTACAGCGCGGCGTCGTTCCATCGTCCGAGGATCCGGTTCCCCCAGATATTGGAGCCGGTCGTGAAGGTGACGACGGCGAGGAAGATTAGGTATGTCCGCCATGCTTCGATTTCGTAGGTGCCGTTCGAGGCGATGACGGCGGCTGCTTGGATGAATTGCGCTGGGGGTTGTGTTAACGGTTTATTTCACTTGTTTGGTATCTCAGGTGTGGATCTTACCAGCGAAGAAACCCTCCGTCGTCACCAGCGTAAGCCAGCCCGCGATATTCGTCCACCCGACCCAGAAACTCTATCACTCAGTCAGCCAACAATTTCCCATAAACATAAACACAAACCCCCCTCCCTCTCCCCTCCCTCCAATCTCCCCATCTTCTTCCACCCACCCCAACCCCCCTCAAAACCCAAACCCAAACCCCAAAAACAAAAACAAAGAAAAATCCCAACCGGGACTCTCACATACCACAACCCTCCTCCACCTCTCCGCGCAAAGCGCATACACGAAATGATACTGGCCGCCCGCGGTAGGCCAAATAGCGGCCATCTCGCCGAGGCTAGCGGCGAGGGCGAGATTGCACAGGACGCAGAAGAGGAAGCCGTAGAGGAAGGAGACGGAGCCGCCTGAGGGCAGGACGAGGCCTATTGAGCCTGCTAGGGCGATCCATGTGCTGGAGATGGGTTGGGTTGCTGTTAGTGGGGGTGGTTTTTGTTGTGGTTTGGTGTTGTGGACGCGGGTAGGTGTGTATATGAGGGGAGGGGAGGGGGGGTGTGACAGGGGAAGGGAAGGGAGCAAGGGAGCGAGTGTGATGTGAGCGCTCACTTAAGGATAGCGAAGGTCAGAGCCACCATGGTTAACCTCGACAGCCGGGGTTGCAATCTGCCCTCGCCCACAGCGGGGGGCTCGGTCGGCGCCATGACGGGAGACTTGTTACCGTGTGTATGTATGTAGGATACCGACGACGTTCCGTTCCGCAGCTCAGCTCAGCTCTGACGCGAGGTTGGGGAGGTCGTGCGACGTTGCTCGGCGTTGGGCATGGGAGAAAAGGGGGAAAGAGCACGGAAGATCGGATGGCGGAAGCAAGCTGAAAAAGTAGGTACCTGTTAGGTAAATAAATTCGATATTCGCGCGCGCGCCCTTAAATAGCGACCCCCGTGAACCGCGCCATCGGACGAACCTTTGGTTATCGTATGGTTAGATACTACCTAGGTAGGTACACAGATAGGCGGATACCTACTTACGTAGGTAGATGGATAGATAGATAGCAAACGCACGTATGTGCCTATATATGTCGGTAGATAGGTACGACTAGGTAGGCTAGTTACATATAAGAGGTTACCTTACTACGTATGGTCGTGCAATAGTATGAAGCACGCAAGGCGGCCAGCCTACAGATGCTGATCGACGGATACGACGCGAGTATCTATATCAGCACCCGCGCTCACGTAATCGATTCTCACATTTCTTTTTTAACGCCGCGCTGTAGCCCAGGGATATACATAAGATAAGATGGCGTTCCAAAACTAAGACACCATACTCCGTACATAGGTAGGTAGATCTGGTATGTAGGTAAGGGGGGCCGTCCCGCTGCCCAATCATCGTCTCAGTCCCCGGCTTATCATTGGGTGGGCGTCGATGCACGGGCGGGCGCGCATTTCTTTTCTACGCGGGAGGGCTGGATGGGCTTGCCTGCCGAAAATTGTGCTGATTGCAGATTGTGATGACTGTTAAATTCACCGCTTATTTCTAGACTAGAACGAGATATTTACGCTCTGAAGACAGCTACGAAGTTGCGGCTTTCAAGAGCTCGCCAAGCCAAGACGTGTGTGTATGGATATGTGTATGTGTATGTGTAAAGGAAATGAACATAAATTCGTGGCCTTCCCCCGATTTCTAGTCCCTTCCTCTTCTTCCTTAATTGCTTTTTCTCTCTCAAGTTTCATGCTTTTTCCCCCGGTACTACTGAGTCGGTTTTTATGTAATTCTCTCTCGTGGCGTTTTTCTGATAAAGATCCCGCCCACCTGGCTACATCCCGGGCTGCGATGCAAGGCAAGGACCTGGGAACCCTAGGAGAACAGGTGAACCCTGCTCAGCATGTCATTGTTCGAATTGGATGGCATGTTTTATGCGTCAAATGTTTTGAGTGCTCTGGTACTGTGCCTGTGTGCCTTTTGCGTACCTGCTGTGCCTCAGTTTCACAGAATGGTATAGAATCATGTTCGTTCTGGTTCGGACCTCGACGTTACATATTCCGCATATGTGTGTCTGGTATGTAATGCGCCCATGGCTCCACATATCCCAGCATCCTGGGAAGGGAGTCTGGGGGACTTTAAGGTCCGAGAGGAAGTCCGGGAACTGCTTTCCGAGAAAGCGATAGCTCATAGCTTGTCAGCACCCATGCTCGAGACCGGGGATTGAATATCGTGCTATTCCCAGCTTCCATCGTTCAACAGATGCCGTTAAAACGAACGCCGGCTACCGTCACCCGATCCCGTGATCGCGGACTGTTGCCAACGGAGAAGCAGTAGGACGTAGGACGTAGGACTTAGCTTGACGACCTGCAAATCGCCCGTAAACTAGGCGAATCTGGGTTAAGTTTAAGGCAAGTTGGTCACGGCTGGGGAAAGCTCCAGCTCTTCCGCCCAGTTTTCGTTCCACTTTAGCCTCGCGACTTTCCTGGATCCGGAACCAGGATCCACGTAGGTTAACTATTTGAAGCCGCGCTAGTTGATCGTATAATAGCCTTTGGAAGGACTCTGCGATCGATCATACGAACGTGACGATCTTCGTACGGCCGTGCCTCAATAATAGAATATTTAGCGACCTTTTTGGTATGTTTGTCGAGAGGATTTTCCTATGAATATATGGGTAGGGATATCACGAGTGCTAAAGATGCAAGGGCTCTTCGAGAGCCTTACCATTGTGCGTTAAAAAAAATGTCGTGGCACTGGTGGATTCTTAAGCTTCTGTTTCTTCTACCCGCAGCTACAGATATGCGGTGCGGTGCTAGCCTATGCAGTACGAGCTCGTGGACCTGCCGCATAAAGTGAGGGAAAGCTGCAAGGACTGCAAGGAAGCGTCGTGCTGTGTAGCATTTTGGACCGCACCACGTACAGAATGCTCCCTGCACGACCAATGGTGGAATTCGGCTACTGCGTGACGCGGCGTCTGGGGTCTATACTATCGCTCGATATAGTAGCAGCCGAGAGGGTAGCAAGCTCGGGATTCGTAGCATAGGACTGAGGTGGCTCTTTGCTGACTGCAGACGCCGTAGCTCCCCGCACCTGTATGTTACTGCAGTGAGACGCTTCTGCCGGCATGGTATAGTATATATAAGGGCAAGCAGCATATGATCGACTATAGCTTTGGGGGTGTTTCCCCTCTTCGTCCCAAGCAAACCACCACCCCTCCTACCAGAATTCGCCTCCCCGCTTTACAATGACTGCCACAGTTCGCGTTGGTGCCGTACAGGCTGAGCCAGTATGGCTTGACCTTGATGGAAGCGTCGACAAAACCATTTCCCTTATCGAGAGCGCCGCTGCAGATGGAGTTCAGGTGCTTGGGTTTCCCGAGGTCTGGATTCCTGGATACCCGTGGTGAGTTCGGTCGAAGATTCGATAGGGCACCAACAGCTAACGTCAACTTGTTTGCCTCAACCTAGGTCTATGTGGACTTCTAGTGTCATCGAGAACTCCCACATCATCCACGACTACATGGCCAACTCGATGCGGAAAGACTCCGATCAGATGAGACGTATCCTCGCTGCAGTGAAGAAGGCGGGCATGTTTGTGGTTCTTGGATACAGCGAAAGAGATGGTGCTAGTCTCTACATGGCACAATCGTTTATCTCTCCAGAGGGCGAGATAGTTCACCACCGCCGAAAGATAAAGCCCACGCACATAGAGCGGACAATATGGGGAGATGGGCAAGCCGAGTCGCTTAAGTGTGTCGTGCCATCCAAGTTTGGCAATATTGGTGGCTTGAATTGTTGGGAGCATTTGCAACCTTTGCTTCGTTACTACGAATACTCGCAGGGAGTTCAAATACATGTTGCAAGGTCAGTCTTGGTCATTCCTTGTTTCTCTTCTTTAATCATAAGCCCCTTCTGACCGGAACTGTGCAGTTGGCCCGCAGAGTTCGAGATGCCAGATCCCGCAAAACTTAAGTGGCTATACCACGAAACAGGAGAAGCAAGCTACCGAGCTAGCCAGTTCATGGCTATTGAAGGACAATGTTTTGTCCTTGTCGCATCACAAATCCTAACCGAGAAGAACCTGGAAAAAAACAACCTTTCCGGCAACCCAGTCACGAAGACGGTGAGGTCTTCCTAACTTCCCGCCACGCCATATAATATGTACTAACATAACTCCTCCCTTTTTTTTTTTAGCCTGGTGGTGGATTTTCCATGATATTTGGACCCGACGGTAAACCGCTTTGCGAGCCCATCGGCGCTGGCGAGGAGCGTATCCTGACAGCGGATGTCAATCTGCGAGACATCGACTACCCTAAGGCGTTTATCGATGTTGTTGGTCATTATGCAAGGCCGGATCTGCTCAGCTTATTGGTGAACCCCACCCAGGATTTACATGTGACGAAAATGGCAAAGTAGGTGTGGACATTATGGCCATGAGATGGTGAGTGGATTATACGTGGTGGTTGGCAGTACGTGGTAGAGGTACGTGGTGATGGTAGTGATGGTTGTAGTGACGGTGATAGTGATGGTGATGGTAGTGGTGGCGATCGTGACGAGGATATACTAGGTATGATTTGGTATGACGGAGATGAAGGCGGTGCGGTGTTGAGGGTGATGACGATTTACATCGTCCTAGATACACCACGGCGCTGTAATATTTAAGTTGACGACATTCCACCACTTGGAATGAGAGATTCGGCCATTGTCGGCCTGGAGATCTTGTTGTTTCCAAAACGATTCGATAATATCTCGTAGAACAAAAACATTACCAATTCGTCTTTCGTCGTCCATTCGATCGAGCGTTTGAAGGATCATAATTCTTTGCTGGTCATTCTCCGTCTCGCACGCGATGACGAAGAGTGGCCATGGGCTTGTACAGACTTCGAGGCTACTCAACGCCTGGAAGGCTTGCTCTAGATACATTGACCTGAGGTCTTGGTTATGGGTGCAGTCGCCCGTTCTTTGCAAGTATAGGAATGCCGCAATTCGATAAAGCTCAGCGGTGGTGAGGATCCTAGTACGCTCCTGCTGTGGTAGGCGATGGGCGTCATGAGGATCCAGATGCTGTTGGAGGCATGTTACTTTACTCTCGAACAAGTGCCACTCATCAGCTCTCCGAGCTCGTTCTTCGGCATTAAAATCTGCAGACTCGCCCCTAAGCTCGATGGCACGTAAGCCGTTGGCGTAACTTATGATCTCCATAACTTCTACAGAACATCCAAGAGATCCTATAATCTGCGAAGTATTAGCTAAAGTTGGGACTATCGAGAAGTTGAAAGGGCGGGATGGAAACCCTTACCAGAGATTTATCAAAAGACACATCGTGTAGGAGCTGTAAGGATGCCGGACCTCGGGTCCCATGAAGGAGTGGCTGGCTAAAGTAACCTAGAATTTCATGATAGAGAAACCATGTATATAAGAATCCGTATTTCAATTGACCGCCGTGGATGGCGGCAAGCTTCTGAAGAATGGTTTGGGCACCGTGAAGATGCAGGTTCCAATTGCCCTCAGTCTCATCAAATACCTGCCCCAGGTTAATATGTCTATGAGTAGAAAAAACTACGCATGCGCTTACATTATAGACGCATAGCATCATTGACGTGGCTAGTTGTGTTTCAGTAATCCCGACCGATTCGCTCGAGAGAGAGGAAGATAGCGACCGAAGCGCGTCGGCCTTGTAAGATAGAGCATGCTCTGGGCCCCATAAGTGAAAAGCCGATACGGCGAGCATGGCATTTCTGAGGCCATCTGAGGCGCTCCCGATGCTTGAGAGCGCCATAGGCAACAAATCGTCGCGGAATCCATTGTTGACGTCAATTGTGGATATCATCTGAGAGAGCTTACGCCGGTCTAAAGCGCCGAGTATTAGCGAATCATTCAAGGCGCGCGGGTCTCGCGGGTCTCGCGAATCTAACATATAACGAAAGGGTTATTCCTCACAGTAATCGATGAGATGAGACTCTCTCTCGTGGATGTTCGAGAATAGAGGGATGATTCGGGCAGGTCTTGGCTGGCCCCTCACGAAGGAGAGGCAAATGGGCGAGATGCCTTTCCTAGCTAATGCTAGATCTGAGTAAGTGACATTCAAAAACTGCTTCCCATAATAGGCCGAATCAATTTCGTGATGGTGGATCGTGTGGTCAGGAAGGCGATTCAATCTGCGACGACCATCCGGCTGATCTGGCCATGCGAGGCGGATCCCATATCCCAGACACTCTCTCCCCGTGCGAAGGCAGTTGTTACAGGCTGGGTAGCCGCGGTCACATCCGATCTTACGTCCTTTCCGACACGTTTAGTAAGTGCTGTGATTGCTGATGTTATACTCGAAAAACTTACGTTTGCAGGTCCAACACCCCTGCGCTCGTCTAACAGTCTCCATCCTTCAGCGCGAGTCAAGAATCAGGAACAGGAATCAGGTTTGTGCACAAGTCTTTCTTAGTATGAGGCCACACCCACGGGGTCTGAGCCTTGCATCTTCGTGCGCGGGTTTTGACTTCTTTACAGTGGCGAGGCTGGGGAAAAGCAGCGAAGCGGCGCAGACGCGGAGGCAGACGGGGTATATTATCCACAGACGGATCGATAACAGAGCAGATGAACAGATATTCTACTTTGGTCATACAATTCTCGAATCTGCCATCATACGACGCATTGTAACGATTCAGCTGTACGGTTTAGGACAAGCTGGGAGACTCTGACGATAGGATGGTCCCCGGTTTGCTTGGTACATTGGATGTACGTTGACTCTTGAAGATGGTCGCAGCGATATCGTACTATTCAAAAATATCAAGATCTCCGCAATTCCCTACTGACCAATTGGATCCCTCCTCGCCGTCGGGGTTGCTAGCAGTCAAATCCCGAGTGACCGGGCGAGACCCCGAGCGTCTGGCACCTGGAATTGGAAATGCAGGAAAGCTGGGTCCTACACACGCATGCCAGCGAAGAAACGTGGTAGAATCAGATGTAGAAAAATTTTCGATTTCGTTAAATTCGAATCGATGTCGGTGATAGAGATTAATAGAATATCGACAACTAGTCGGCGAAGAGACCAGTATTCGGCAGTTCGGCGATTAGGAGCGGGATAATTTTGATGCCACTTCTCAGTTGGACAGTTGCTGCTGACGAAACTTCTGAACTTCTTAGATACAAGAGTCTTCGCCTTTACGTCATCCTCATTCGATTGTAGCACCATAAAAGATGAAGTTCAAATCCCATAAATTTCCTATTCCCCGTGGCTTCGTTTAAGTTGGGTAAATGATGATGGTTGATGGCTTTTTTTGTGCACCTCGAAAAGCTCAACAGAGGTGAGATCTCAGACAAGTAGACAAGGTGTGCTGGGGCAGCTGAGGGGTGTGTGTGGTAGTTGAGCGTATGTATGTAACAAGCACAACAAGCACAACCACAACAACCACTCTAAAACCCTGATGACAACAATGACAGGAATGACAGCGCACCCACAGCACGACTTGGGACTCCTGGGTCCTTGGCGAGTTGCTAGTGACGCTGGCAAAGATGGCAAAGCTCGATCACTATCGACCGGTGAGATGACGGGTAAGGCCGGAAATAGCCCCTCTAGACCAGAGAAGGAAAAGGTCAGAAGAGATCAGGCGATGGCGAGTTAATCGAGTTAATGATGCCAGGGGCTCTCCCGCGGGGGAACGATTGTGGTAAATAAGTTGACCTCTTATTGGATGTTGTTACATTGTGGACAACCGTGGACAGCCATTGCAGCCTTTGCTAACTGTATCCAGAACTCGGTACGGCAAAGTCGTAAGCTTTGCGGAACGCACTTCCATGTAATATGTGCCTGTGTAACATGTGAGTTTAGGTTGAGTCAAGGTTGACCTGGTCTGCCAGCTTAGCCGATCCCTTTTCTTATTTGCCTCTTGGAGAACCTGGGGGACTTTACTAAGTGGCATACGACCCTGTATGTTGCTCATGACTTAAATCCGATATGGTGGAGAAATGGAGATATGGAGAAAAAGGAAATGTGGCTTGGGGAAATGTGGGGGCAAGTGGCTACCTGTTGAAATTGTGGCTTCGGATTGACTCCATTCCGCTTACATAAATCGTAATATTACTACTAAGTACCAAGTACTTCCCCAGTCAACCCCATCTTCGATCACAGTCTGCATCCGTCTACAATAAAGGCTAAGATATATATGTACCCAGGTACTTAGCACCTTCCGTTCGGTTTCGCTTACCGAAAAAGTGCCTGGATCTACCTAGCACATGAACAAATTGGGTAGCGGCCGAGGTTCAATTCACATGTGCAAGGTCCGAGAGAGACATCGTCATCGTTTCTCGCATAGTACATTATGTACGTGTAGCCTTTAGCTTACTCAATCCTGCGATCTTCCGAATCTTTAACTCTCCAACTTTATCTCGCGTGCTTAACGACTAAACGACTAGACGACTACACAACTTCTTACCGCCGGTTTCCCTATATCGTATCAACTCTCGGTTTAACAAAGTTCGCCAAAATGAGCTTCAAAAACGGTATGTCCCTTGTTGCGCGTCCATTCCCATTCCGCAAATTACTAACCAACCTCCTCTTGCTAGACAAATTTCCTTCTTCAGAGGCATTCGATGCTATCAACGCCGCGTTAAACGCAAGCGAAGCCGATAAAAAGGATGCTATCAAGCAGGGAAATGCCATCTTTGCATTCACCATAAAGAACAAGGCCGGCGAAACCGAGAGTTGGCATATCGATCTAAAGGAGAAGGGCGCTGTCGGTACCGGCATTGGGACCAAACCAACAGGTAATACACCACCGCGATTCGATTGTCGAATCCATTCGCGTGAAACTTAGCATACTAATTCGCGATGATAAACAATAGTTACTCTTGCACTTTCCGACGAAGACTTTGCTAAACTCGTAACCGGTCAAGCTAATGCGCAACGATTGTTCATGTCAGGGAAACTCAAGATCAAGGGCGATGTGATGAAGGCGACCAAGCTACAGCCTATCCTAGCAAAGGCGCAGACAAAAGCCAAGTTGTAAGAGATCGTCAGTTGCCTTGGACATCTCGTCCGGGTTGGATTGGGTTCTTAAAAATGTAACAATCCATGTGTATTATATATCATAATTACAAACCAAATTCCTACCACCAAAGCCGGGGTTTAAAGTTTCTCTTTCATCACGTTGCCATCACAGGCATAAACCCTCAACATCGGGACGAGGTTATCATGTCTAGGCACAAGACATGAGGAGTGCGCTACCCCATGCAGAGCAAAATTAACATAATTACCTAGGTACCTACATAGCACTTTACCCAATCCTCATCTCCCAGATTACTTGATAAAAGAATATGGGGGAATCATTCCCATTATGCCACCATCGTTGGTTGAGACCTACAAGTCGTCTTTAAGGACCACCTCAGGTCCAAGCAAGCTTTTTAGAAATCTCAGATATCATGCAATTTTGCGATCTAGGAGTTAAATCTTCCTATTCACCCTCGCAGGTATATCGACGTTGGTCAACATGCCGCGAATAGAGGTAGGTATGTACATATGTACCTACATATATGTAGGAAGATCTGTCGAATAATGTCTAGAGGAATAGAGTCGCACAAATGCTCCTTTAGTTGATCAGGTAGCTATGCTTAGCTTACCACTCTCCTTATATAACATATGATATCATCCATTCGGGGACGGCGCCAGGTCCCGTCGTGATGTAAGTGGTATGAAAAGCTGCATATTATATAGCTCCGATTCCGGCATCCACATATTCGATTTTCTAGAAGAATTATTAGTTCACATGCAAATTTTTGTTAATCCAATTGTTTTCGAGACCACGGTATGTTTAGGCATATTTCATTGTTCATTGTTCATTGTTCGATGTTCATTATTAATGTTGGGATCGATTGTAGAAACCTAAGTACCCATGTACCTAACAGTACGTACTCTGTACATAGGTACAAATACGACGTTGTTGAAATGTGGCCTGTGCTTCCCCTTAGCTCCAGCTGTTCTGTACTCATACTTAAGGTACTTAGCAGGCGCGTCTTTAGTTTTACCCAATGACGTGTGGAATGGTTGCTGGGAGCACGAACTGAAGCGCTAAACTTAGTACCTGATTGAGTTTTTGGTGTTAATTTTATGGGGAAAGGTACAGGAAAGGCCTAAATACGTACCTGCGTACCCTTATTATTTTTTTTTCTTCAATCACAGAACCCCAAAATAATAACATCGCTCCCGGTTCCTTTCATACCTAAAGCAAAAATCTTTTTGCCCTTGCAGTCCATCACAAGGCGTCAAGGATCATCGACCTTCATCAGCCAAACTTTCTATTCTACCCATCTTGATTCATTTCAATTGTTGCATGTCAACATCCTTCCAAGCCCGTTAAGAATTTGCCGCTTAGGCTTTTCTTACCTTACCTTTTTTTTTTCTCTAACGATCATTTAATCCTTTATTCGTCAACAGCTTGCACTCTAACTGGTTGCAGCCTGTCGCCCGAGTGATCATAAGTTGGTCCTCTTTCTCCCCCTCGACGCGTCCATCAACATCAACATACCCTTTTTCTTTCCATAATATCAACCATCACGAATCATCACGCGTAATCGAAAAAGTCTACCATTTCATTTATGCCTGTGTTCACGATGAACGCCACGACACCCCACAAACCCCGTCCTCCCCCGGGCCAGCAGGGCTCGACGCCTTTCCGTTCTGCCTCAGCAAGCCGATTCCGATCATCGCTTGTCCCCATGAATAAACCATCTCCTGCGCGCGCCTCGCGTCTTACAGGAAAACTAGCACCTACAACAAATCCGTCGTACGGTCGCGACCTTTTCCGCACCAATACTCCGCAAACTGTTCGCACTACCAAATTTGCGCCCACCCTACCCAACGATGCAACGAAGATGACACCAAGTGCCCGCAAGTTTACCCAGAAGAGTACGAACGGAGGTATGACTGGTATAGCACCAGCAGAGCTTTTCAAGATGCGAATCCCATCCCCCGACCCTGAGCTATCTGGTGAAGCTCTATCCAAAGAAGTCCCAGACGATCCCCATCGCAAGGGAACCATCTATGCAGACCAGTTCTTAGGCCACAAATGCCCGAAGAACTTTGACGATCTCCAGCGCCGACAGTTCTTCTGCATCCTTGATTTACGAAGACTTAAGTATGCCGCTAATGAGATATTTGCCAAGAAGGATTGGAAGTTGAATATCATGAATTTTGCGAAGGAATATGAGAAGAGCAGAGGTTTGATTATGCTACGGTATGGACTTTACGAATTCAAGAACATCAAGCCCTCGGAGGAGGTTCTGAAGAGATGGAGGGCTACTCACAACTTGCCTGAACCGGAGCCGCAAGCAGAAAGCACAGCCACAGGGGCTTCGGCGCAGAGCAACCGTCGTAATACGGGTGCGAACATTCTATCAACGAAGCGCAAGGCTGAGGAAGACTTGACTCCGAAAGATAATGCCTTGATGGCGTCAACTGCGAATCACAACAAGCGCCGCAATTTAACACAGGAACAGGCCGATCCCGTTCTTACGGGCCCTGCGCCTTTCAAGAAGAGTAAGCGGAAGGCAGACGATACTGAGGAGCCTGACGAAAACCAGCCCAACAAAGTCCAAAAGCCTACTCCTTCAGCTGCTAAGTCCAAGTTCGAGAGTATCCTTAACAGAACACAGAGTGGCAGTACTTCGCCGATCAAGAGAGCTCCATTAACATCCTTCGGGACACCTAAACCCAGCGAATCTCAGAACTTGAGTTCCGTCAACAAAACGAACCCATTCTCATCGTTCACGAACGGATTCAAGCCTGCATCGGTTGAGGCGGTTAAGGGGGACAGCTCCACAAATTCAGTTCTTGCCGAACCAGATGTCGTATCGACGCCAGCGAAGAGTGGCAGCAACATCTTCAGCTATCTGTCTGAAAGTTCTGCGAACAGCAGTGGCAATGAGAATGGTGACGCTGATGACGGCGATACAGAGTCTGAATCGGAAGAAGAAGACGGAAGCCAAGAGGTGCCACCCAGCGACCAGCCTAGCGGTTCTGGGAGCGCTGGCACGAGTACTCCTTCTGCTCAGAGTGACTCAACCCCATTTGCTACTGGTAAACCCTCTGCTACTTCCTTTGGCCTCTTCGGCCAAGCCAAGCAGGACGTTGAAGCTAATGCCGACTCCAAAGGCGGTCTCTTTGGACGAGTTCAGATGGGATCTAACGGACAACCACTTCGAGCTCCGTCTAATGTAGAAGGACAGGCTGCCTTCACTTCTACCGCACAGCCCGCCGCTGAAAGCGAACAAACTAAGACTCCTACTCAGCGCCCAGGCGACTACACATTTAACGCAGCAACGACCCCGATCTCCTTCGGTTCAGTGACAACTCCTAAGCCCCAATCTGGCAACGAGCCCGATAAATCTTTGGACACGTCAACAGCAAAGCCAGCTGTGGGTCTGTTGTTTGGAGCAGGGGCCCCAACGAACAAGGCATTCCAGCCATCAACTGCAAGTGCAAGCTTGTTTAATTCAACTAGCACGCCCACTTTGTCCGAGAAGAAGATATCCCAGACGAAGACGAGCAACAGTATAAGTTCTCTCTTTTCAGCACAGAAGTCTGCACCTGAGCCTGCTGCATTATTTGGTGGTGTCCAGAAAACAGACGAGAAGGACTCCTCGGCTGAGACCAGTAAACCCTCAGCTCCTAAGGAACCTTCCTCTATCTTTAGTGCCTTGTCGTCGAGCACAACTGCCCCTGCACCCACAACCAAATCACTATTTGGCAACCTGACGGCGACTAACTCTCAGTCGAATGGGGGTGCTAGCAGCCAATCGATATTTGTGAATGCTGCTAAGCCGCCTGTGTCTAACCTATTTGGTAGCTCTTCAAGCGAGATGCCATCATTTGGCTCGGATAGTGCAAAAGTTAACGGCTCTAGCACAACGAAGTCCCTATTTGACACACCGGCAAAGCAGCCATCTGCAAGTTTCACCTTCGGTGCATCAAAGTCGGAGATTACAAGTGAGACACCCAAGGCCAGCAATGGTCCTAACCAGACGTCGAGCAGCTTCGACACGACTACACCCAAGCCGCTCTTTGGTTCTGAAGGGCTCAAGCCTGCTGCACCTGCAGCGTCGATATTTAGTAACAGTTCAACTACTCCAGCAGCATTGTTCGGTGCTAAGAATGGCGAAGCGAAGCCTGCTGAACAGAAGCCAGTCCCAGCAACAATGCCCTCCTTGTTTGGCAATAATTCAACCACCTCGACTAATCTATTTGGTTCTAAGAGTGTCAGTACAGCACCTGCGGAGAAGAATGATGAATCCTCTACCACAAAGCCGGCGAGCAGTTTCGCCAGTACTTTCAGTGCTGGGCCTAGTTTCACTTTCGGGAGCCAATCTACAGCACCAACTGTGTCTAGTTCACAGACTTCAACTGCGCCATCGATATTTTTTGGCGCTGGTACTAACGGTACCCAAGCCAGCAGCGGCGAGTCGAAGAAACCTGAGATTCAGTTCGGAGCTTCTACAGCTGGTTCAGGCACGACTCCGTTCGCTTTTAGTCAAGGAGCTTCAAGCTCTGGCTCCGGGTTCACCTTTACCGCTGGTGGCAACGGGCAGTCATTCAACAACCCCTTCGCCTCCCCCACCCCCTCGCCGTCTGTCTCGATGTTCGCTGACAAGCCTTCGACACCCGCACCCGCACCTGCCCCCTCATCCACCTTTAACTTCTCTTTTGGCCAGCAAGCGCCATCAACCCCCAATCCGGCTCCGGCTAGCCAAGGATTTTCGTTCGGAGCGTCTTCGAATGCTACCAACGGTGCGCCTAGTCTCAGTTTTACAACTGCGACGCCGCCCCAGAACAACGCAAACCCATTCTCATTTAAGCCTACTACAGGTTCGATGGGTACCAGTAGTTTCTTACAGGCAGGTGGCGATTCATTTACAGGAGCTAGTAAGACGTCTCTCGACGAGCAAGTCCTTGAAAGATTCACTAACCCCTCTCTAGGCTCCCCGTTCCCGGCGCCCTCGAGCATAGGTACGACTCCAGTGAGTGGTACACCGGAGCCACAGACCCAGAATGAGGACGGCGAAGAGGCACCACAGGAGCAACTTTCGCTCACGACCGGCGGACCAGGCGAAGAGGATGAAATTATTCTGCATGAAGTACGGGCCAAAGCCATAAAGTACGTATCCATCCGCAAGGGCGAGGAAGAAGAGGAGAATAAGTCACCGTGGACGACTCAGGGTGTAGGCCCTCTCCGCGTTCTCAAGAACAAGTCGACCGGGACTGTTCGTATGTTGCTCCGTGCCGAACCGAGAGGTCACATCGCGATGAACAAAGCCCTCCTATCGGATGTCGAATACAAGTCTAAGGAGAAGACAGTTACCATTGTAGCGGCAAGCGACAACGGAAATGAGCTCGAGTCATGGGTGCTACAGGTCAAGAAGCCCGACTTCGCGCAGGAGCTGGTTCGTGTGTTAGAGGCGAACAAGAGTGCGAACAAGAGATAAGATTGACAGATTCGCATTGGTGTACGGCGTAGGGCGGGTATACTAGAGCATTAGCATTGATGCTGGTATTGTTTGATTTCTCATTTTCAGGGTTGAAAAAGCATTCGGAAGCCCAGAGTATGGAAGGCATTGTTTGGTAACGTCGCAACTTGTTATTGGAAGGGTATCGAGCAAAATGAAAGATGCATTCACCACTGTAGCTAATGTGTACCTGAGCTTAATTTCGACAACCTTGAGTTGTAAATTATCGCCTTGTTTTGGCCTTTACTTGAATGTTGCACATGAGCATGAAGACTGTTATAATCGACTATGATAATGATAGGGGGTTAAATAGGTACTTAGTACTAGTATATTCTCGCTAACATTGAAGATTGGTACGATTAGATCGAAACTGGACCTACTAGGAGCTGATGCCCAACGATACGCCTCTTGTTGCCCAACTAAACGGGACAATGGAGGCTAAGGTTGGTTACCGAAGATGTCAAGGATGATTAGCCGCACATGTGTATTTCATGCATTTGGAGTGGAATCTGTTACGTGCATGTACAATGACTGGCCATACTAAATCTACCTATCACGGCCTCTAGAAGTGTACCCTAAATGTATAGATTTGTACCTTCCAAGGTTAGCCGTGTGACTATCGGAAAGAAACTCTAGTTCGGTCCTATCAAACTTACAAGTTTAAGGTTACAGGTTTTTTTTTTAGCTTTTTTTCCCTCACCGCAAAGCAAAATTTTCAGTCGATGCACTGGAGAAGGCAAATATTTTCGCCGTGTCAGAGTAACGTTCGACTACTGAAGTTTTTATCAACCAACTGGAAACGGCCAACTTCGAACTACAGAAACTTGCCTGGACCTATAAATATTTACGAGGCTCGACGTTGCAGTAGTAGCAGTAGTACGCCTTTTTCCATTCCTACCCCGCCGACGGTATCGATATTTACTATTGACAGAACCAAAGATGTCTGGAGAGATCGTCCACGAGACCATCAAGGGTAAGTTGCATTGGTACACCACGTTTGCTTTAATCACAAATGAGGTCATCGCCGACCATTGATTCGAATTGTACAATATGTTTTATATACCTACCTAGGTAGATATATCAAATATTTACAAATTCGTTTCTATCCTTCAAATCTACGTCATAGTTGTTGACTTTTAAGAATCCTTGCACTAACAATATTTCATAGATGGCTGGTTCAGAGAGATCTCTGAGATGTGGCCTGGTGAGCGAGAACGAACTCCTCCCTTTCCCCTTTTGGCAAAATGTCATTCTGTCAAAAGGGAACTTTGAAAGTTTTCTTCTAATGGGAGTTTCGGTTTTTCATTTCAGGCCAGGCCATGACCCTAAAGGTGAAGAAGGTGCTGCACCACGAGAAGAGCCAGTACCAAGATGTCCTCATCTTCGAGTCCACCAACTACGGCACCGTCCTAGTTTTGGACAACGTCATCCAGTGCACTGAGCGGGATGAGTTCTCCTACCAGGAGATGATCACACACTTGGCCCTTAACTCTCACCCTAACCCCAAGAAGGTCCTCGTCATCGGCGGCGGTGATGGAGGTGTCCTACGTGAGGTTGTCAAGCACGAGTGCATTGAGGAGGCTACCCTCTGCGACATCGACGAGGTATTTTTACCCGATATATTGTTTCTGCTGTGAAAAGTGAAATGAAGGTAGCTAACCCTAGATCTAAAATAAAAGGCCGTCATCCGCCTCTCCAAGCAATACCTTCCTGGTATGGCCGAGGGTTTCAAACACCCTAAGGTGAAGGTCCACGTTGGCGATGGCTTCAAGTTCTTGAACGAGTACAAGAACGCCTTTGACGTCATCATCACCGATTCGTCGGATCCGGAAGGCCCCGCCGAGAGCCTGTTCCAGAAGTCTTACTTCCAACTACTACACGATGCCCTACGCCCTGGCGGCGTTATCACCACTCAAGGTTGTACGTCTCCTTTATATCAGGCAAAAGTTCGCAGAGATACCGGGTGAAAGAAAACGGCACTGAACTTTGCGCCTGGTTGTTCTTAAACAACCCCCCGATTTTTTCCTATGAAAGGTCGAATCTTGGGCTTTGATGGGCTGTGTTTCCCTCGTGATATCTCCTTGCTCACTCCTCCCCTCCCTATATACCACTACCTATCTAAGTGTTCCCTTTGTCGAGTATTTCGAGTCTTGGGTCTTCAGCTAAGCCTAAATCTACGTCGATCTTCCGACCCCCATCCCCATCCCCATCTCCTTTACGTCTCATCAGGTCTCCCCACTCTGTTTTAGACTCACCCCCTAGTTTTTCCACCGAACTCCGTTCGCTAACTCTTCGCTTCTGTAGCTGAGAACCAATGGCTTCACCTGCCTCTCATCGCTAAGCTGAAGAAGGACTGCGGTGAGGTGTTCCCCGTGGCTGAGTACGCGTACACAACCATCCCGACCTACCCCTCGGGCCAGATCGGCTTCATGGTCTGCTGCAAGGAGGAAGGCCGCGACGTCAAGAACCCCGTCCGATCCTGGTCCCCCGAGGAGGAGAGCAAGCTCTGCAGATACTACAATGCGGAGATCCACAAGGCCAGCTTCGTCCTGCCGACTTTCGCCGCGAAGGCTCTGCAATAGGTGTGGGGAACGTTGGATGGGTAGAGGGAACAGTCGGCTTGTGAAATGAAGCTTACGGGAAAATCACTGAATGAGTTATACGCATGTAATAGATGTCCTATCTAGACCTAGGGTTAGGACTGGATAGATGGCCGGAAATCAATATATCGGCTTATGGTCAGAATCATCCTCTTGGGAAAGTGGAATGTTAACGCTGCTTTAGGGATGTCATGAATCTGTAGTAGCATGACCTTACACATCTTACGTTTAACTAGATCTAACGATCTCACTACATAGGTACTCAGCAGTACCTACCTAGGTAAGTATTCATTTAAATTATTCATTCATAGGTACCTATCTATATGCCAATTGATATAATCATTCGGAAGATAAATTCGAGTTTCCAATTTAAATCTAGCAGTACCCAAGTTCTCTATCACACCGGCCATCCTACCTCCACATCTTCCCCCATTTCTTCACCAGCTCATCCTCCAGAGTCTGGCCATTCAAGGTTTCCATCGATGTCAATTTCGTGCTTTTTATAGAAATCGTCCTCGCTTGGTTCGAATGCCTTTCCCATAGCCGGGGGATGATGACCGAGCTATCGGAATCGGTGATCCTGATCTCGTTTTGTTTGAGAATACGCTCGAGTGCGTCGGGGTGCAAGGTAAGGTTATCGGGGTCCTGCTTGAGCATGGTGAGGAATCTATCTTGCGATAGATCTGGGGGTCTGACGCTTGAGATGTCGAAGTCTAGGTCGTGCAGCGCGAGGAGGAGTTTCTGGGTGAACGGTTAGTTGGGGGGGTTTCTTGCTGTTGGTGGATAGGGAGTAGTGCTTACGTTTGAGGTATCGATTGTGTCGACTGGGAATACACTCCACGTCCCATCTGGCCTGTTTATTCTCGTCCATTTCTGTTTCTGGTCGGGAACTTCAGCCTCAGGCTTCGGGACTTGAGCTGGAGATGACGGGCTTTCGTTCTCCGAGTTTGTCCGCGCGTTTTCGTTTTCTAGGTCGACTAGCAACCGCCGTACGAGTCTGGAAAACTGCATTTCTACAGAATACGTTTCCACGGTGACGAATTCGATGTCTTCGTCGGATATAGTATCCAGGCTTCCGTCAAGCGCTTCTTCCACTTGCTGGCTGACTTCTTCGGCTTCTTCGACTTCTTCCTCTGAAAAGCTCACGATATTCTTGTCAGATGAGCGGTACCGGACCAAGGCAGTATGGCTGTCCAATGTGTCGGCAGTGGCAGCGGATGTCCTTCTGCCGGTGCATCCTGTTGCATCGTCACCATCCCCTGCAGAAGAAGTACCCCTCGACTCCGGTCTATCTCTACTGGCGTCTCCGCCTGATGGCGGAAGTGGTGAACGAGATGAATATGACGAAACTCGCGGCTGTGGCTGATTGCTAGCGCTGCGTTGTAGGGACGCAGTGCTGTTCTCCAAAATATATTTGACTTGGATGTTTTGCACACTACCTGTCATGTTAGACATCATATAAGGGAAAGGGAGTATGCATGTGCATACTAATAATTGTTCTGCCCTGCACCGCTCCGGTCAATACTCAAGAGCGTCAAAATCGGCGTCAACATCGCGATCTGCTGCTGCAGAGAGCGTCTGCAGCCGATAACCTTCTCCTTGCTCCGAAAATACCATTTAAGGCGAAGACCGAACTGTTCGAGCTTCCTCTCACTATCCCGGAAACGCTCTAGAAGGGGAACGAGACTTTTCTGCAGAACATCGTATATTCTGAAGATCTCGTCGCAGATGCCCATGATGCGTTTGACCACGCCGCTGATCTCGTCGTTGAAGCGCGGTTGCTTGTCCAGAACGCTTTGGATTGTCTTCATTATCTGCGTGGCGGAATCTACGTCTTTGGCGACATATCGCACTTCTTCGCCGGCGGCACCGATGCCGTTTGCGACGGAGTAGAGCGCTGTGGTCACTTGTATGCCGAATGAGAGGAGACCTGCGATGGTCGAAGCTTCCCCGATGCCCGCCATGGCTTTCGAATACTATATGAACCAAGATTAAACCGCTAACTACCTATTTAGAGAGGGATTGTTGTCATTAAAAGTAGAAGCAATTTTGAATGCGTTAATGGGCTATGATACAGTTAAATCGGAGTTTAGGTACGTGAGGCTGAGCGCTGAACCTAGCGACGATAGCATGCATAGAGTACAGCCCCAGGCGTTTTTTCTTCAATAAAATGCTGTCACGTAGAAATCACCATAACTGTATCGCTGCCAGTGGGTCCCACGATTCGTTAGGTATGAATGCTGTTTAGGTACGTCTGGTCCAATTATCTATGAGAAGCACCTGATATATGACACTTCCGTATCATTTTCAATTCATTTGTCAATATTTAGGTAGGTAGGTACCTAGGTAGATACAATGATTAGCTAGAGCATCTTATACTGAGATATACAGCCCGACTTATTGGATCTTAGCTCCAGATACCTAAATGCTAATCGAAGGAATAGGAAGGTGTTGGATGGAACCAAGGTTCTGAACAAGAGAGCTCATCGTCCCTTTAGCAATAAATTCCTGATGTCCATCAATACTGTCGGACTCAATTAGTAGGTACGTAAGATTAATAAAACATGAAACTAGAGCTTAGAAATTGAGGATATAATGAGTATCCACGTAGATGACGAAGGCTTCACTTGAACCTATGTAATGCTGATGGAGTTCAATATAATCTAACCCCAACCCTAACCCTTGCCGCAGCCTTGATCCTAGATAGGTTCTCTGGGGCTTTGCAGCGTAGCAGAAGCCAAGTGGTTTGTTCAGCCTAGCTCTGCCTTACCCCCAAGTACCACCTACCAGGCAATAAAAAAAGAAAAAAAGCAATACCGATTTAAAATTCATCCGTGGACCATCCGCGGACATTACCATCATACCACTATCGGACCCAAACCAGCATCTCCCCCGCGCGTTCAGAGGGAGAGAGAACCGAGAGAGGGGGGGGGTCCAAAAAAGCAAGCGACCAAAAAAACCAAAACCGAAGAAAGAGGTCCTAGAATGTGGCTGTGGCACCGAGTATATAGAAAAACAAGGTAAGAAAAGGAAAGAGAAAGCAACAAAAAAAAGAAACTGCAAGTAACATCGTCTGTGACCGGCTCACTAACCGCCGCTGCAAGAAGATTCTATATATAGGTAGGTGACTAGCTGACTCAACCAGCCGGACCGATGGTGATAATATAATACCTACCGTTTAATATCTATCTACCTACACAGTACGACATCGCGACCACGCTCTCGCATACACGCGCGCTTGTCCCCAACTTAGCCGTCGGGGACTACTATACCAGAAACATAATCACGGTGTATTCGCTCGCCGAGTAGGGATGCTTTACATTGCGATAGACGCAGCGGCATACATACATACATACATAGGTACGGACGGGCTTTGGGGGAAAAAAGAGAGAAAGAGATAAAGTCATGTCATATGATATACGTATCTTACATACCTACCATTCCCCCTCATCTCACCCCCCTGGCTCGGTGCGTTAATCGGCCAGTTACCTACGCAAAAGCCCTCGTATACATAGGATCGTGAAAGAAAGAGAAAACCACCACAAAACGACGACGATGATGATGTCAAGCGGCGCGGCGCGGTGCGAGATTACGAGATGTAGTTATGCAAGAGCTTCTCGATCTCCAGCATCGTCCACGAGCCGTGCCGTTGTGGCTCCCCCGGATTACCAGCCCCGGCATAAGGCATGGATGAGCACTCGATGCGTACTAAGCAGGCAAGGCAAGGCAAGGCAGGCGAAGCGAAGCGAACCGGACAAACGAGCAAGAAAAACCCGTGAAGGGAAGTCCACGGCATGTGGATCCTGGACCAGACGTGCGTTGCATGAAAAAGACAGGCGCTTCGGCGCTTAACTTTAATTTGATATAATGTCGAATAGGTAGCTAGCTAGCTGGCTAGGCATCTATCTTCCCTGCCGTGGGTAGGTAGTAGGTAAGGTAGGGTTTCCTAGATATTTATAATAACCATATGTTTACCAGGTAGGTAAGATGTAGATAGGTAGATATGTGCGCACTGGGTACCGGATATGCTGTCACCAACGCCACCAAAGTAACGTCCGGATCCCTCTTGCGGTGGTAGGTACTGCATGTGGGGTCTGAGCCAAACAAGGCTGTTGGATTATATGGATATCTCCCTGACTCGCATTGTGATACCGTCTTCGGCCTCAAGCAGGGATATCCATCAAAGATATTAAGGACATCGCGTAGCACTAAAGTCTAATACCGCCTCCATAAAGCCAGCGGGCTTGTTTTAATGTCTACCTACCTAGTAGGTAGTCTCTCGCCGACTAGATGACCGGTTCGAAGACTACTAGGTAATCAATCTGTGTCCGATGGCTGTTGGGTCGGAGGGATGAGATCCTCCCGCTGCTGTCGAGCAATCACATACATAATAGATCAATAGTCCAACAAACGTAATTGGGGTCGCTGGGTAGCCCCACAGAAGCGCCGGGCAGGTTAGATCCGTGAATTCGCAGCCCGCTCGAAGTCCATTCAAGGTTTCACGCACAGACGTTGCGGGAGGGAGATCACTTGTAGTGTACTAGTGCTGGCTACACTAAAGTTCGCCTGGCACCCCCTAGGGGGTGCTGCGCTTTAATTAGCAAAAATACCAGTAATTAGCAAAGTACCCCTATAGAAAACTTTCTATACGATTTACATATAAGAATACTTGCCAAGGCTCCCATGTTAATAAAGTACTTACAATTAAGAGAGAATCTCTCGTAATGGAAAGTATTTTGCTAATACCTGGTCTTTTTGCTAATTAAAGCGCAGCACCCCCTAGGGGGTGCCAGGCGAACTTTAGTGTAGCCAGCACTAGTAACGGTATTTCGACGATGGATGCGATTTTCGCTAGTGCGCCATGTTTCTGAACATATTTAAGAATCTTATCACGATTCCTACAATCGCTTTTATACACCGAGCAAGATCTGACGGGCCGAAGAAAAGCCTGTAACTATTCTGGGCTTTTTAGAATTTCAGAGCCGTGCTACCCAAGCCATGAGGATGGTCGTATTTGGAGATGACGGCTGGCATTGCGGAACAATGGCACCATTCGGCATGTCTGGGGGCCACTACAGTAACCTTACTACAAATGTGGCCAATAAAACCATCGATAAACCTGCCTGGTCCGCATGCGGTGGTGCAGAAAAAGCAAGGCTTAAGATCCTTCACGAGTACGTAGTCGTAGTGGTGGTGGGCTGGCCTCCGGGGTGAGACGGGGTGAGACGGCAGTGACTTTTTAATTCGTTAACCAGGCAATGTGGCTTGGAGATCGTAGGTCTTTAGCCATTTTTCGGTGTGAGATGTTGGTATAAAAGTCGTATCGTAGGAATCACCAAGTTGAGCAAGTAAGACAACGTTGATCTCTAGCCGTAAGAAATGGTCGTTGTCGATTCTCATCGCAACCCTAATTGGTAGATCGAAGTAAAGTTAAATCAGGCAACCAGCGCGGGTCCCATTATAAGGCAGATCGTGAGCTCCGTTGCTTAGCTGCTTAGGTACCTTCAAATGCCACTCGTTCTCATGAACTCCAATTATGAAATTTTGGTAGGGCTTAACAGCGATCAATAAGTCGGAGACAACCCCACGATTGGGGGTTTGATATCGGGTCCATATATTTTGCTTGTATGGTTGGATTGAGGAGAATCGGAACGTTTGCGCGACTTGCTGCTGCACGTGTATGTAAGTATGTACATACCTACTACCTAGGTAGATTAGATCCTTCTGGTATGAAATTGTCTCGGCAGCCATGTGTTTATAATTAGTTCGCAAAACCCCCTTAGTTAGTTGACGGACAGAACGTAGTATTTGAAGGCAAGTTAACGGTTCGTGGCATTCAAAGTTAAGCCGAAGCCGCAACAGCGACAAAAATATAGACAAGCTGACAAGGTCCATGATAGCTCCTATGCTCGGGGATAAAGTGTCGATCACTTTCAAAAGATTCCCACTCGCACTGCCGCAACGCGCGGATGGTGTATGTACCTAGGTACCTAAGCTAGCAGGGCTAGTTGAGGTAAGCTTGTGAACTGGTGAACGCTTGAACTGACGATGGCTAGGATACCGGCTACGCTAGTCTCATGCCCTAAATTAAGGGTGACACGAGCCTCGAAGCTAGACCTCATCGGATTGAGAGAAGCACGTTAGTACCCGCTACTCCACCTCTAGCCACGTTTTTTTCCCTTTTTAATATATGCGGGTGTTGGGCTTTAGGTCTAACTTAAAGCTCTCTGGGATTCGCATACCCTAGCTATCTGCTAGGAGGTAGGTTGGGACTAGTCCGAACGAGGAGCTAAAGCAGGCTGGGCGTTGGGATTACTGACTTCGATTAGCATAGGACTCTGTGCCGATTGGTTTATTATTGCTGCAGATAAATTGTCAGCATGGTAGAGCGCAGAAGGACGCTAAAAGGTTACCCTCTCGCCTGTCTGAGGGGTGTACCGGGATTAATCCGCGCCTAGGAAAAAAAAAAAAGACCATTAAATTCGTTGAGGAAGCCTTGCCGGTTTGCCTGCTGCGAACATAGGAGAAAAGGGGGATTATATGAATCGGAATCGGGAGGATGAAATATCCATGTGTCCAGAATCCAGATAAACTTTGAGATATCCAGAAGCCAAGACAACAAGATGTATTGGTAGACTGTAGTATTGTCTTCGACCTCTAGAGAAGACTACTATGTATTATTAAGAATGGCTCTTGAAGTCCCTCGTCATTATTAGTGGGTGCCATAAGGTTGCAGGGTTGCGTGATGGCTGTCCGACCATCTGAGCGAGTAACCCTGAGAGGCTGACAGCACATGGCAGTGGCACTCACACACATCGAGATTGATGACACCGATTGTAGGACGGGCTAATGACAGGGAATGATAAGTTTGCTGAATCCTGATGTTTAGATCGGATGTAGGGTGACACTGCCATAATCAGTACTATGGTACAGTATGTACGCTATGCAGACATGGAGAGGTATGTGCTATGCAGAGTACTCGCATAGGTACTCGTACGCATTACATGCATCCCGAGGAGCCAACCAGGACGAGTTAGCAGTGGAAGATTAGCGTCTCGGGCTGGCGAACCCTACGTGCGGCGCCTGTTCCCCTATCCTTGGTGTCCTTGCAGCAATCCTCACATTGGCGACCTCGAAATGGCAAAATGGCGTGTTCTTAGCGGAGTCTGCTGAAAAGTTCCAGACGCCTACCTAGAAGGAAGTGTTTCGTCTCACTGTCGTTTAATATCAATACCCAATACCCAATACTCAATATTACATCCATACCTAAGCCTTACTAATAACTATTGCTTTTTCATACCGAACACATGTATGATTGTTCTCTAATACTATCGGTGACCGAGTTTATGAAACCAGATATTGAAGAATGTTTGCTTCTAGAGCTTCTTACTATGTAGAAGATGGAAGTTGGAGAGAAGAGAAATGAAAACATTCGGACTAATTATCGAGCCAATGATATGTACCTGCCTAGGCTAGTAGGTAGGTACCTTCTAGGTTAACTGCCAGGTAATATTGTCGCTAATATAGTCGGTTGTCGCTTCTCTAATGACGATTAGCTAAACTTTACATCACCTTATCCCATGTCTTCTGTTACATGGACATGCGTAGTATTTGAAATACGTACATTTATGTACAATTAGGCCATACATATCTGTAGCGATTGATATATACAAAATAAAATTATACGTATCCATATAGCATGTATGTAAATGATGTTATGCATAAAGATCAATAAGAAGAAGGTTCCAGCGTTCTGACACTGATGAATGGTACCTGCTAAGGAGGTGGTGGCTGGTACAACACTAGATGGTACATCAGCATCGTCATGCCGTTAGTCGTAAAATAGTACGCTGTGCGTCGTAGTCGCGTGGTTTTTTATGTTTCATTCCTGCAAAATACCTACATCCGTACATGTGGGCAAGTACTAGGTACTGTATCTCGTTAGCGGAGTTGCTTAGCAGGTAATCAGTCTATTCCCTGGAAGGACTCGTCGAGAGTACTTCTCATCTCCACTCTGCAAGGTACACTCCTATTTGAAACTCTCCAATGCCCAGCAGAACTACAGAAGTAAATGACTTAGACGGAAGTCACTACTAGGCATTACCTTAACTTTAAGTCTCGCCAGTAGCCAGTAACAGCAATTGATGGCAGTACCTAGTGTCAGAGTGGGTAACAATTCTGCCGTGTCTATCAATTAATTACTAGGCTAGTAGGCATGTATCTTTAGTCTCCGGTTCTCCATTTTCTATTCTCCAGTTCAACACCTCCTCAACTTCGCCTTTCGCTACCTGGTCTAGGCGAACCATCTCCTATCCGTTTAAGGAAATCCAATGGAATCTAGCCAATACAACAAAGGAGAAGAAACGAGAAGACAAAAAAGCTTTGATGCTTCACAACTTTTTGATTATCATCTTTACTGCCACCTTCTACTATTACGTTAACGGTTAACGGCTAAGCAGCTCAAGGTGGCTGTTCCATGGATTCTCGATACAAGCTTCTAGCCTTCTAGCCTTTTTTATGCATGGGGCATGGGTTGTGAATCTTTTCCATTATTTTTGCTGTAGCATTCTGATTCATTCCCAACGTAACACTGAACACTGTACCCTTCTGGTCTCTCTGGCCCTACTATTACATACATAGTACATATTAGCACTTTCGCCCTTTTCTGGTTTCTTACCCCCCCTTTTCCCGTTACCTGTCCTGGTCTAGAGAGTTCCGTCTTCCAGTCCTGAGTCTTTTAGTCTTCTAGAGGTGTACAATAATACCTACAGATTCGTACTAGCATTCGAGGTAGCGAGCAAGGGCGCAGATGGTAGATGCTTGTATTATGTAGCTGGCACCTAGGCTTTTCCTCTCTTACTACATACCTATCTACCTACCTACCTACTTACAACCTACCATACCATACATAATACTCTTGCTGACAGGCGGGATTTTATTTATCATTCGAGCCCTACCCGTTCCAACAACCTTATTCAAAGCTTCCCGTCCTTTTTCTTCTTCTCTTCGCTCGAGCCTCCTCCGTACCCCGGTAATTTGACAGGGTTCCTATTATTGGTCTGATCATCCTGGAGACTCGAGGCAACAAAAACTAACCAGACCCATCCAGTCTTACCCAGCCTGGTTGACAATTGATTGTTTTATTTCCTTTTTACCTACTCTTTCTTTCCAGATCATAAGGAAGCACTACAGGCAAGAAAAGGCTTCCTTGAAGTCATACTATCGCCTCGATCATCTCAATCCGAGTGATCTCCCAGCTTGATTGTTGATTGCGCCATCAGCTTTAAGCCCCCAAATAGCTCCATTCCCGAGCTGTTTCGTTTTCAGCCCCGGCTCACCCTTTTCCGCACCACCTCGAAGCTGCGCCTTCTCTGGTCCCCGTCGGCTTTGGATACCTTCTTTTCTTTCATTCTTTGTCACTGCACTCGCCGGGCTTCATTATAATTATCGCCGCGTGGCTATCTTGTATATAAATAAACACAAGGACTAAAGGGGTCTTTGCTTTATTCCTATATTTTCGGACGAACTTACGAATAGCCGAATCACAGTCCTAGAATCTTAGGAACAAGAGATCTTGGCATATACGCGCACGTCGTACGTCGCCCGTCACTCACCACCCATCATGTGTTTTGGCAGCAGGAAAAAGAGCGAAGAGGGCAATGCCCGATCGCGGGAGCTTGATAAGATCATCCGACAAGATGAGAAGAGAATGTCGCGGGAGGTCAAGCTGCTTCTTCTAGGTACGTACCAGGTGTCTCTCCTTGCGAAATCATCAACCATTTAGTACTCCCCTGTGTCTCAACTAGCGGGACACGGCATCTGACTTCGGAACTTTCGCATAGGTGCCGGAGAGTCGGGCAAGTCAACGGTGCTCAAGCAGATGAAATTGATTTACGCGCAAGGCTTCAGTAAAACGGAAAAGTTGGAATGGAAACCTGTCGTGTTTAACAACGTCGTTCAATCAATGCGCGTTATATTCGATGCCATGTCAGATTACTCCATCGAATTCGAAAATAAGGACAACGAGGTATGTGTTTCGAATAGTCATATTTTGCTATGCTTTATTGGATTTGTGAATAGGAGTTTCTATGGGAGTCCGAGACATTGGCTAGTCTGGTCGGGTTTACCCGTAGATTTTGATCACTAACTCCCAGGGCTATTAGAAAAACCAAGCTCTGCTTCTTGTCGACGCCGAAATATCACCACACGACTCTCTTCCTCCAGATTATCTCGCACCTGTGAAAGCCCTCTGGGCCGATGGTGGTGTTCAAAAAGCTATTCTCAAGGGTAACGAATACGCCCTTCACGATAACCTGGGATAGTGCGTAAACTTTGTCTACTTTGACGTCACGGTGACGTGCTAATATCTTCAAAAGCTTCTGCGAAGATGCCGATCGCATATGGGCGAGCGATTATGTTCCCACCGACCAAGATCTCCTACGATCCCGGTTAAGAACGACCGGTATCACCGAGACCATCTTCGACTTAGGCCAATTGACGTATCGGATGTTCGACGTAGGCGGCCAAAGATCTGAGCGAAAGAAGTGGATTCATTGCTTTGAAAATGTCAATTGTCTCCTATTCCTCGTCGCAATTAGCGGTTACGATCAATGCTTGGTTGAAGATAAAGACGGTGTGAGTAAAGCAAAAATTTGGGGATTGACAGTCTGAACGTAGCGACGACGGGTCAAGCTAATTGATTTGGCAGAACCAAATGAACGAAGCCCTCATGCTCTGGGAATCCATCGCAAACTCGCATTGGTTCACCAAGTCCGCCCTCATTCTCTTCCTCAACAAGATGGATCTCTTTAGGGAGAAGATCGCCTCGAGTCCCATAACGTCGCACGGTTTCGTCGATTACCAAGGTCCACCGGACGATTATAAGCAAGCGAGCAAGTACTTTATGGACAAGTTTAGGGCCTTGAACCGAAATCCCGAGAAAGAAATCTATGGACATTTCACGAATGCTACGGATACGAACTTGCTCAAAATTACGATGGGCTCAGTGCAGGACATGATCATTCAGCGCAATCTGAAGCAGCTGATACTGTGAGTCGCCTGCTTCTGCACATGGTTTTTCCGAATCCTGCCCTGCGAAACCGAATCTGGCCATACCGTATTTCCCAATGGGTCTCCAGGTTGGTCAGCGATTTTGCGGCTTTATTTTATACAATAGGATAAGCAAGCAGTGCGGCTGAACATTTCGAAGCATATAGCAATAGTTTCCGCGCTCTCTCTGTAGCCGTGCGATTACTGCTCCTCACGACGACACGAAGCGGGTCTTCGCCCCGGTGCGCATCGTTGCGACCGCAGCAGCCCTACACCATTCGGTGCCGTTTACATCCCTGAAACCCAAATGGACGCACCGGCTAGTCGACAACCAAAGACCAACGTACTCGGACCAACGTATTCGGACCGGCCGATTTATTATGCTCCCCGGAAGCGCAGATTGTGGTAACCTCGGAAATCGGACGTTCCTTGGAGTCCCGGGGGACGAACCTTGACCACGGATGGCTAACTTGGAGTTCTCTTGGGGTTGGCGTTATATGCATTGAACGATTTACAATCTCTCTCCGACACGATACGGTTCTTTAGTTATGATGCTGGATACCATGATGTTTGTTTTTTTCTAATTCGCGTTTGAAGCTTTACGGAGACGAGTTGATGAATGGAGCCGATACGATACCAAACTACTCACAGATCAAGTAGGTATATTAGGTACTAGGTAGATCAGATAGGTGTCGAATATCGAGGCTAACGGCGGAACTTGACTATCGTCTGGGTTGAAGTTCGCCGGAGGCTGTTCATGTAAAAAATAATTGATCGAGAGTAAATATATCTAATGCTCAAAAAGGCGTACAACCATCTTCGCGTACGTGTAGGGGGATAAATGGAGTAGACACGAGTCGACTCGGAATGATGCATTAACACACTCCCGATGGGATGGTTTGTGGGACTTGATTGAACACGGACGGGCTGCGGCAGCGGACTTTATTCTGCTGGAGTCTCCATGATTTGAAGCGGAATGACGCGCATTGGTTTGATCGTGGGGAGTAGCACAGACCGACGGTTAGATACTTACATCCAATGATGGGAGTGATCGTGAACACTTGGTATTTAGTGTATTATAATGTTTATTTTATTATTACTCTATGTCCTCGGTAATAGTCAACTTTTAATATGCACAAGACCTATGTGCTAAGTACCTACCTAGATATAGATTCGAGGCTACATAATACTAGGTGTTCTTGATGAATTCATGAAAGCCTTATTATATGATAACCATGAGGAATCAAAACATTAAACCGCTCTTTATTAGGTTATATCACCACGTTACTGCAATAGTGCTAAAGCATTAAGGTAATAAGGTTAGGTTATGACACGTGGGGATAGATTTAGTAGAATCTCTAGTGCCGAAACCAGCTTAGTCGAGTTAAGCCGTTAACCGACGGGATTTACCTGCCCAATTACCTTGTATGTAATTAGCCATTACCGACTGACCAATGACGGCCGACTTCGATGCCCCTAGATAGCGATCAACCTGGCAACAGGGAAACAACAAGCTCGTTATTGACATCAGCCTGTTAACTGAGATCATCAAATATGTAGGAAACTGCGTTCCCGTATTCACGCCGAGCCTCGCGTTTAGGTGTTTTGAGTTTCTTTTTCCGCTACCTAGTTACTACCTAGTACCTCTTTGACTTACATTCGTTTGTCTAAATACGCGGGATTCGATAATATCTAATAAACAAATCTGCATCACCTTTTCACGAGTGTTGTATTCGCCTGATTCACTGTTCCGTTCCAAAGCACTTCAACATCTTACGACAAAAGCATTCACTATTGTAACCGGGAGTGTTCCCAAGTTGTATCGGTTGCCTGTTTACCATTGTCTACTACATATATATACTGGGAGTACCTAATTTAGAGGTTTCTTTTCCCACCTGGGCAAATTGTGTAACTCGCAAGTTGTTTCAACTTGGATCACAATAAGGACCACAGTTGCGGTCAAGTAATCTTTTGATTTCTTGAAAGAAACTTCGAATCCTCTACGCCACCACCAGATGACAGGCCATTCACGATATATCCAAAATGGCAGAATCAAAGCAATACCACCCCCAAATATCACAGGGCCAAGCGGTACTACCGCCACAGCCACAACCCCCTTCATGGTGGAGTAAGAAGCAGCAACGTTTCCCTATCTTGCGAAAGAAAAGGGGCGTTGCTCTTGTTATTGGCATCATGATCTTACCTCTCTTCGGCCTATTAGGCCTTCTTGCCCTACGAAACCGAGGCGGTAACAGTAGCGAGTCTGCAGGGGGAGCAGGGAATGCGGATCTCGTCACGGATGATACGTATTTCTACGGTCAATCTGAGCCTGTGTATCCTTCGCGTAAGTATCTAATAATTCCCCCGAAATTAACAGCTGGATAAAATCTAATACATGCATCTACAGCGATGATGTCGGGTACCGGAGCATGGGCTGATGCATACACTAAAGCTCTCGACTTTGTGAAGCAGCTTACGACCGAAGAGAAAGTGAGTCTCGCCTCGGGCATATTTTCATCGACCGGCAGTTCCGGGACTGTGAATGGTTGCTCGGGGAACATTGACGCGATCCCGCGAATGAACTTTTCGGGATTCTGTCTCAACGATGCCGGTCAAGGAGTTCGGGGCACGAATTTTGTCAGCGGCTTCCCAAGCGGCCTCCATGTCGCCGCTAGCTGGAACAAGGTTCTAGCTCGAAGCCGTGCTGATAGCATGGGTCTCGAGTTCAGAGTCAAGGGAGTCCAGATTCATCTCGGTCCTGTTGTTGGTCCACTAGGCCGGGTAGTACGCGGCGGCCGTAATTGGGAGGGCTTCTCGCCTGATCCATACCTATCCGGTGTGCTTGTGTCAGAAACCGTGCAGGGTATTCAATCTCAAGGAGTTATCACAAGTACAAAGGTAAGGTCAACCCATGTATGCAAGTGGATTCCCAGCTGACCGAGTGTGTAGCACTACATTGGCAACGAACAAGAGACCAATCGACAGCCTACAGGCGACGTTGAAGCTGTCTCGGCTAACATTGATGATAAGACTCTGCACGAGCTTTATTTATGGTAAGAATGCTGATCTTGATCTGGTTCAAAGATAAAGTAACTAACTTAACTATAGGCCATTCCAAGATGCCGTCAAAGCCGGTACTGCCAACATTATGTGTTCGTACAATCGAGTCAACAATTCGTATGCTTGTGCGAACAGCAAACTTCAAAATGGTATCCTCAAAACGGAGTTAGGCTTCCAAGGAGCCATCACCTCGGATTGGGGCGCTATGCATGCTGGTGTCGCGTCAGCCGAGGCTGGAATGGATATGGTTATGCCGAATTCCGACTTATGGGGAGATAATCTCACGAAAGCAGTCAAGAACGGATCTGTCACAGCGGATCGTATAAACGATATGGCGACACGAATTATGGCCGGCTACTATCAATTAGGACAGGACCAAGGCTTCCCGGATCCTGGTATCGGTATGCCTGCGGATTTGACTAAACCGCACGATATCGTTGACGCAAGAAACATATCGTCTGAAAGTGTCCTACTAGACGGCGCTATTGAGGGTCATGTCTTGCTGAAGAACAAGAATAACACCCTCCCTTTGAAAAAGCCAAAAATGCTCTCAGTATTTGGCTACTCTGCAAAGAACCCCGATCAATGGAACTACAAATCAAACGGTGGTGTTGCTGCGTGGACATTTGGAGGCGAGTCATCTTACCTCGGGCGTGACACGGCAGCCGGGTTCTCAGGACATTATTATGAAGCTTTCTCGGACATCGCTCCGAACGGGACACTATTCTGCGGCGGGGGTTCTGGCGCTGTAACACCCGCTTCCGTCAGCGCACCATTTGATGCTCTGAATGCCCGTGCATTGGACGACCGTACTGCTGTGTCCTGGGATTTCTTTAGTCCAGAGCCAGATGTTGCTGCTGCATCCGACGCTTGCCTTGTCATCGTCAATGCGTTCGCAAGTGAAGGATACGATCGCCCAAGCCTACGAGATGATTATACCGATGGATTGATCCGACACGTAGCGGACCGATGCAACAATACTATCGTGATTTTCCATAATGCCGGCGTTCGACTCGTAGACCAATGGATTGACCATCCCAACGTGACAGCCTTGATATTCGCACATCTACCTGGCGAAGCATCCGGCCGAGCACTTGTATCGCTACTCTACGGAGAATCAACCCCGTCCGGCAAACTACCTTTCACGATTGCCCACAACGAGTCCGACTACGAAGCATTCGCGGGGCCGGACCTTCCATCTGGTCGGTTCGAAAGGTTCCCGCAGTCCAATTTTAGCGTCGAGGGTGTGTACATCGACTACCGCCACTTCGACCTCAAGAATATCACGCCCCGATACGAATTCGGGTTCGGATTAAGCTACACTACATTCGAGTATTCGGATTTAAAGATCACAAAAGAAGATAGTGCAAATACGGACGAGTTTCCCACTGGCGCGATCCGCGAGGGTGGACAGGAAGACCTGTGGGACGTAGTAGCGACGATCAATGCGACTATTCGGAATAGCGGCGACGTGAACGGCGCCGAGGTCGCCCAGTTATACGTGGGCATCCCGAATGCGCCTGCGAAACAGCTTCGCGGTTTCGAGAAGCCGACGTTGAATACGTCGGTTACGACCACGGTCGGGTTCGAACTTACGAGACGCGATCTTAGCATCTGGGATGTGGTGGCACAGAAGTGGCGCTTGCAGGCGGGCGAATATGGCGTTTTTGTGGGAAGAAGCAGCAGGGATTTGCCGTTGAAAGGGACGTTAACGATTTGATGATTTGTGCTTATGGAAAAGGGAAAAGGGATATGACTGGTAAAGGTACCTAGGTAGGTAATGATAAGGATATGAATAGGGTATGGCTAGGGTATGGATATGCTGCATGAGACTGACTGTACATGACGACTAGGGGGGATAAGGAGAATGCAGCTAGGTAACGGCTGTTAATGCGATGAGATGATTGCATCTGCGCGTTGGAGCCATGAACCCGGTCCGTTGAATAAAGGATCGGTTGGAGTTGACTCCCTACGGATGTGGCTGTTAAAGTGGCAATGACTATTACTTACCTCGGCAGATACTACATACTTCTACATGAGCCACTACGTTCAGACGATATTCGGAGTAATTACTTCTTCGCGTGTCACATACAGGGTGATCCTTGGTGTGAGAGATACAGAAATAAGGTTCTCTTATAAGTCTATGATGGGATGTTGAAGAAGTACGGCCTTAACTCCGACGGCCTCAGGTTAGACGGCAACTAGCGAAAGCCAATCTGATACGTGGTATCATCTGGGGTATCAACCGATGAGATAGAAAGTACGGCTTACTGAACTAGAAACATTAGCTTACGTCCTCGTTGAGCCTCATTGGCGCGTCGGGATATTTTCTACCTACTGACGTCTTCCTCACCCCCCTTCATGCCCCAATTCTCGAAAGCTATTCGATCCCAACTTCCAAGGTTCCATCCCATCCCTTCACATGCAGATAGCGGTAGCGGCAGCCCTTATATGCCGACGGCTCTTTTTTTTCCCCATGTGGAAAATTTCTATCATCAGCTGGGACGAATCAGAAGGGGGTTAGACGAACGCCTTCTCAGACGGAGCATATGGAGAGTGGGGCCGCGGTATATTGCGGTTGGAGCCAATCGAAATTGCTGATCGTCCGGATGACAGGTCCTAGCCCGTATCGGCTTGGCCCCTTTTTGTGACGCGGATGTAGGTCTCTCCTCGGTGGCTTTTCAGCCTCGTTCGTTGGATGTCTCACCGATATTTTGTTTTGTTTGCTTTTTGATATCCATGTTAGCTACCTAGGCAGCTAGGGAGGGTGGTATCTAGAACTCTTCTAGAAGAACCTGTAGTTTCCTATGGTCAATGATGGTTCGGTTCTGGTTGGTAGCTAGGTAGGTTGCTTGGATGTAACGATGGTGACGCTTGTCGTTAGACATAACCATCTTATATCCACCGTTACTTGTTCCACCCGCGGTAACAACCAGTGTCATCTGCAGCTGGTTTGTCATAAACGGCCCGCCTTTAGATGGCTATCTGCCAAGAACCTGGGCAAGATCTTCATATGTCCAAATCTGGGGATAGAAAGATTAGTGTCTTGACACTAGAAACAAAGTGAGTTCTGCTAGATACTGAATCGTCGTCAACCGAGGCGTCGTGGCGTCGTATATATCGAACTCCTCGGAGTTGGAAGCTTCATGTGAATAATAAATGGCCAAGGAGAGAGATAAAAAGTTGGAAGATCTTTCCATACTTCAGTTGTTGAGTTGATTTATCTCATTATTTACCTACACCACCATTTCTTGTTTCTCGCCGTCCCTCGCACTTGTACACCTTGTACTACCACTACCCATCGTCTCATCGACCAATCCCTGTCCAATGTTTCCCCCCTTCCCGGTTCGAGCTGTCGATCGTCGATCGTCGAGTCCAGGCCAATAATCTACCGCCAGTCTAAAAAGCCAGACGTTAGTAAAAACGGCCGACGGAGGTTCCTTAACTTTAACACTCCCCTGGGTGAACCTCCAAGCTGGGAACGAAAACCATCATCAACGCTCTAGGAAGAAAAGGGTCCCGTTCCGCGGAAGTTCTCGGCGTCGGGATCATCAAGATTACATCATTATTAGCTTGGTAAGGCTGCGGCGTTCCGAGACACACTTTACGCTCTGGCATCTAATACATACGTCTAAGACACATTGTCTCTCTCCCGAGCTTTCCAGCTAGAACAGTCCGCCTTACCCAGGAACTCTACCTGCACGTGAGGACATGACATCTCCGATCCCTGGGATCGGTGGCAGCCAAGACTATCAGACCTCTCTTACCGGTCTCGGTTTAGCCGGGAATATTTCACGATCTTCCCGCCGCCTTACCATATTCCGTACCTTTTAGCAAGATACGTCAGCTAGCCATGTCGGTAAACATGACGACGGCGAGACGGGTTTCCAACAACGAGATCTCGCCGGTGTCAGAGACGACGCCGGACTCGTCGCCCGGTCCCTCTCCGAAACGACATTGCATCCAGGCCCAGGGTCCTCCCCCGTACAGCGCAATCGATGCCGCCGCGGCCATAGGAGGCCTGGCCGCTCGCGCGTGCGAGAAATGCCGCGCTTCTAAGCGCAAGTGTGACAAGAAGTTGCCCTTCTGCGACCGGTGTAAGAGGTGCGATCTACCTTACCCTTCCCTTCCCATCCCGCCTTAACAGCTTGGCTCGGGTCCCTGCAGCGGGTAGTTTATGATCCGGACATCGTTGCATTAGAGCCTGCCTCTCCAAGGATCACCTACCTCGGCCACAATCACCTACACGCAGGAAGAATCCAATGGAAGCTAACCAAAGCGGCAGGCTGAACGCCAAGTGCCAATACGTGCACGACATCTCCAGCACCGTGAGCCCGCACGGCACCCAATTCGTCATCTACCAGCCGCGCCCACTAACCCACGACCCGCTCCTCCGCGCGCCCGAGCCCCTCGACGGCATCTCCGCCGCGCAGCTACTAGCTCTGGTATCAACGGGCGCGTGTCCGGGACACCCGCAAGTAGACTGGCGCGCCGCCGTGACCAACTACTTCTTCTGCGTGCACCCGTGGTTCGCAGTAGTGCACCCCGCCGTCTTCGAGCGGCAAATCGCCGGGCTCGTCGCCGCTGTGGATTCCCCTCCCTCGGTCACCGGGGAAACGCCGTCCTCGATCCCGAACTCGCGCTCGAATTCCACTTCGACGACCCATCGCGACTCCGTCACAGGGTCGAATCTAAACGCCGCGTTGGCCTGCCAGCACACGACAACGACGATGGAGTGGCCGTCGAAGACGGTCGCGCTGCTGGTTCTGGCGATGTATCTGAACACGCGGATGCGACTGACGGACGTCGGCGAGCAGCCCATCTTCGACGAGACGTACCGGACCGTAAAGCGGCTGCTCTCCCCGCTCCTCGTAGCATGTGTCGGCGACCCGCGGCCGAGCGTGGAGCTAGTGCAGGCCGGGGCGCTGCTGGCGCTGTACGAGTACGGACACGGGGAGATCGTGGCGGCGTACAGGACGCTCAGCCAGACGGTTGTCACGGCGCGGGTTATGGATATAAAGCCTGGCCAGATCGCGGATACGGCGGGGGACGATGTGTTGATGCTGAGTGTGGACGAGGAGCTGACGGGGTGTCTTTGGTGGGCGATGTTTATCCTCGAGCAGTAAGACCTTTCTTGATCCCAACTCCCAACTCCTCTTGCTGGATCGTTGTACGGTACGGTATGGTATGTATAGACCACGTACTCACGAACCCACAGATCCATCCACCAAGACGAAGACGCAAAAGACCTGCCCTTCCTCCTCGAAACCCCGACGCGGAATACCCTTCTCCCAGAAACACCCCCCATGACCCCTCCCCCCGACGGCTGCAACTTCCCGCTCTCCCCCCCAACCACCACCACCACAACAACAACCTCCTCCTCAACCCTCTCCTCAACCCGGCACCTCTCAACCAGCGTCCTCGTAAGCCGCGAAAAATTCGGCGGCTTTCAACTCTCGGCCAAAACAGCCACGCTCTTCCACCGCGCGATCCGCATCGACAAAGAGCGCGCGGAACGGCCTGGGAAAATGCCTTTGGTGGCCGCGTACGCGGATCTGGATAGGGAGATTAGGGAGACGACGCTCACGCTGCTGAATGATACGCTGGATTGGGAGGGTGCGTTGGATTGCTTTGCGATGCTGGTTAGTGCGCTGTTTATTTTGTATTTGCCGTATTTGGCGGTTTTGGAGGGTGGGTGTGGTGCTGCTGGGGGTGCTGGTGGAGTTGGTGGAATTGGTGTTGAGGGGGTAGGGGGGATAGGGGTTGGCGCGGTAGGGGCGGGGGTGGGGATGCAGGTACCCCTTTTAGCGCCGCCGTCGTTGCTGCATTCGTTTTCGTCCGAGTCCTCGAATTCCTCGGCTTCGTTTAGTGCGAATTCGTCGGCTGTGGGGCCGGAGATGGGGGTTGTGGTTGATGGGTTTGCGAGTTCGCAGCCTGGGTCGCGGTCCGGGTCGGGAGTTAGTGTTGGGTCGGCTAATCCGGCGTCGGTGATGCTGCAGTCGAATCAGGAGCTCAGTACCGCGCTCGCGGCGATCCGCTTCGCGTGCAAGATGTCCACGGATATCTCGTGCAAGATCAACGCGGACTACGGCGCCCAGCCGAAGTCGCCCGCCCAGCTATGCGCGCCGGCCGGGGCGACGTGCTATATGGTCATCCTCGCGTTCGCGAGCTTAGGCAAGATTTTCCCCGAGGAGAGGGCCGAGTGTCAGAAGGATATCGCGGAGAAGTTTGAGAGCTTGACGCTGTTTAGTTTTCGCTGGGGGATTGCTGGTTAGTATTTTTTTTATTTCTTCCTGGTTTCCCCCCTCTGTCGGTATTTTTGGAGGTAGAGGGTTTGAGACATTCTCACATCATCATTTTTCTCTCCCCGACCCTCAATTTTTTTGATATAGACCCCATTGATGCAATTGGCGTGCTAGAATAGTGCAGGAATATGCTAACTGGAATCACAGAGAAAATGATGTCCCAACTCGAGAAGAAGATGTGCGTGGATCGAAGACATTACCTCAAGGATTCGACAATAAGACCGCCGTCATATGCAGTCGCCTTCGATTTCGGACAGCGGTGACATCACGCCTTCCCTAGAAGGGACTTTTCATAATTGGGGTTAGGTGTGTGATATTGTATGATGCAAGGAAGATTGACAACGGAGTATAACGTTCATTTCCCTATATTTATTAGGTGCCAGGTCTAGACAGAGAACTATGGTTCTTCGCAGAATGGCTAGGTATATTTCTTTCGTTAGGTGGGAGATAATCCTGAGGAACAGAGGAGGCTGTTCCTGGAGGTATATGTATATTTTCGTAGGACTATCTCCTGCGCCCTTTTTTGGTCGGGTTGATCTTGGCATTGGGTATAAATTTGGTGTTTGGAAAGGGGTTGGTCATTTACACAACATATCCAACCAAAGTAGGTACACAGAACTACAACATCAAAGGTACGGATTGTACAATGTTAAAATGGTATTTGGAAAGATATAATAGGGGATTTTGACTTTAGGATTCTTCGCAGAATGGCGTTGTTGGAGGCCGATAGCTCTTTGGGGGTTCAAATTGATTTCAACTGATATATTCCGACATACTTTCCTCCGCATATTACATGAATATAGTGATTTCAGTATAATTCTTTTTCATCGTGAAAGTGAAGCACTGTTTGATCGCCCTGAGGCTCTTCCCCTAACCCCAGCCAAAATCTCAATACACGCAGTCCTTTCTCCTCGGAGATAAGATATACCATACTCCCATTAGTGATATTCCGCTGTCACCAATACACACTGTCATAAAGAGGCGTATGCAGAATATAAAAAGGGGTAATTTTCTCCTTGGCTTCATAAGAGAAATGCAACGCAGCTTACTATATCTCTGCCTCTCTTTTCCCTCTCCGGTTTTGCCAAGTCGCCAAGTAAGTCGTAAATGCCTCACGTCAGATGTAGACGACGTCACTCTACGTTCATAGCCCTCCAGCATTCCATCACAAAATAATGACAGAAAACCCCAGCCCAGTTCCCAAAGCGCGCTTCTTAATTATTCCCTCACATGTAACTCCTCTTAATAGCCATCACAGACTCACAGAAACCTCATCGGACAACTTTGATCTCGTCCTAAGACACGTGATATATAATGATGTTACATACTGCATACTCATATGATGTACAAACCGATCTCCATCCCATTCCTCCACCCATCCAGAGCAGTAACCATCCCATCGACCAGACTTGTTGAAAAAAAGCAAACGCGAACTCGAATTCTACGGGTTGGTATCGTATCATAACCATTCCAAACAAAACAAAACAAAAGAGGCCCGGATTCTCCAAAACAGCTCGGACAGGACAAAGTAAACCCCGTCTCGGCACCCGGCTGCCAGGATATCACACACTGACAGGTTCCGAGGCGCATCCGATAATCCTATCCCAATGCCCCGACCCCGGAGTGACCCCGGCATATGCACCTGACGTATATGTAAGGAACAAGGGATGTGGATGTGGTGGTAGTGCAGGCCATGGCATGCGGACCTCATACATATATGTATGCATACCTACCCACCTAGGGAAGCACGAGATATATATGCGGCCGAGCCTCTACCCAGACTTCCGGTAAAGCTAAGACGACCGTACTCAGGACGGCGTCATAACCCGTTACTCCCGACGACGAGCACAAGCAACATGCCGTTAAGTGCGCACACCGCTACGAACGCCGCCCACACAGCGATCGTGTACAAGAAGCCGACGGGGTACTTGCGGTATAGCATAGCCCCTAAGCCCATGCAGGCGCAGAACAGGCTGGCGACCGATCCGACCGTGACACCCGCGTCGACCTCGAGGCGCATCTTATGACGGCCCGTAGCGATTAAGATCCCCGAGATAGCTAGCAGTATGAAGGCCGTGACGAAGGCCAGGACCACGGTGCGTGTCAGTACCGTGTCATGGTATAGGGAGATATGGTAATCGGTGTTCTCTTCGGTGGCTGGCAAGGCGGAGTACTGGGACTTGTTCCTACGACCGATGCTTGAGTTTAGTGACGACGCGTATTCGTCCTCGGTCGCTTCGTTGTCGGTGGTGTGGGCAGTGGCCGAATGACCGGTGCTGAAGTAATCGACAGGTGATTGCCCACGGCCGGGAAGGAGCGATTGTCTCTCGGCCGAGCGCGGCGACCGTGACTTCAGCCAGTGTCGGACCTTATCTACCGGGGCCGTGAACATGGTCTTGACGTAGATGAACCCTGGGAAATCCGTCGTCGCGTTCGGGTCGATGTATAATGCGTACCCGCCGTCGTCGTAATCGCCCGCTTCGCTGCCGTGCTCGTATTCGTTCCAATACGTCATCGACGAGCCTCCTGGAGTGCTCACCGACGTAGGTTTTGGTTGTTGTGTTAGAGACGATCGGCGACTGTTATTGGGTTCGTAATGCGCTTTTTGTTTTTGTTTCTGGCGCTCGGCTTGGAGGGAGTCGATGTCGGGAGAGGCGGCCTCCAAAGTGGTGAGTAGCTCATGATGTTGTAGTCGAAGGGGAGTGATGTCGCGCCTCGTAAAGCTCTTAGGCGAACTCAGCACGTTCTCTTTGAAACGGCTACCTAACGTTGTCGAGCCGGTCCATTTCTATAAGGTTGGGTAAAGGTTAGTGCTGTGTCATAAGCAAGCGTAGGTTTGTTCCCGCATCGGCACACGAAAGTTAGGTGTGGAAGCATACCCTATATTTCTTAAGGATCTTTCGGAATGCTATTATTTGTGCGTTAACGAATCGGCTCAGCGCCTTAATATCGTCGTCGCATTCGTCGATTTGTAGAGCGTACTTGGCCAACCGTCGTTGTCGTTTTGGTGATACACCACCCGCATTGTTACATCGTACTATAAGCTGGTGTACAGAGTCCGAAAGGTGACCTGAACACATGTCAATTGAGTTTGTTGTGGCGTTGGTTAGACTTGGCAAAACATACGTAGGCGTCTGGAGATCTCGTCTGCTTTGCTCGTGACAAAGAGACCGACTCGGTTATGTTGATTACAGAGCTCGAGGTAGAAAGCATCTTCGAATCTTTTCAGAGCATAGTCTTGTTGTCCGGGAATTGCTATGGCAGTGGCTTGGTCTTTGGTCGTATGCGCCTTGATCTGGTGCTTTAGTGAGTTATAGTCGATATTGTGTAGACCCCAGCTTGGAACCGACTCTTCCTCAAAGTGTTCCCCGTATTTCATCGTCGTTTATTCCTACGACTTGAATTCTCCACCGCGGTCAAAACAGCCGCTGTGGCTTCTCTCTCTTTTTCTTAGTCAATCGGCAATTGGTCCAAGTCCCGGCCCTTCCTATGAGTGTGTAATACGAATCAAGCTTATTCGTATAAAAAGAGAGAGATTGGTTGATATCAATATCGGTATCAATGGGACCTTTTATCGGGTTTTATTCGTTTGTTTGGAAACGGGAAGGACGGTGATAAGAGTACTGGTGGTGTGGGGGGATCGAAACTTTAGTATGTCTTGAATTCTATGCAATAATAGGAATATGACGTTATGTGTCTTAATTATTCGGGCTGGGCTCGTACGAAGGAGGTAGTCGTTCCTTGGTGCTACCTGCCTTGGCTAGTGGGTACTCACCACGTAAGTACCTACAAGAATAATCCTTGTAAATGAAAAGGTGGATAGAGATAAGTCGGGATGTTTGAACTTGATAGGCCTGATAGACTTCGACGCAAACGTTTATCAAGCTCTCAGCTTTCAACTCTTTGCACTGACGGAATGTTGAAATATTGATCGTCACTTCTCGGGGCTTTAAGAGAAGTAATTGGGAATAGAAATAAATCAATTGGCCACCGGAAAATTCAAAGCGATAGTGGGTATATATCTAATAGTAGATTTTAGATAGAAGAGTCGAGAATTATTCAAAAGCGAATGTGATCGTGAAGATTAATTGAAGAAGGCGAAGAGAAGAAAACCAAGATCAAAGTGGTCTCATTATTTACAATAGCGCCGAACTATGCAGTTCTTATTTCTCATTACTATGCAGTGTCTATTTCTAGTCTACCGGGATTACCTTGAATGAAACGCCCCCGGAGAAAGAATCTCGAGATTTCGGACGGCTCTAAGGTTGCTCGTCCCGCTCGGCTTCCATCATTTCCTAATTCGTCCTATTCAATGTTCTCTATTATAAACAACCGAGACACACCTTGGCCAGTTTGAACTATTCCAAGCGTTAGGCTGTTCTTGATATCTTAGCGGCTTGTACGCATACCGGGAACTGTAGCGGTCTCGGCCCCTGCGCTGATCACATCAAGACTCACCTAAAGTCTAGGTAGAGTCTAGACACCAACGCTACCTCTAGATAGAGCAACGTATGTATCTATGCACTACCTAGGACTATGCGATACGAGTCGGATTGATGAATATCATCAGTTCCACCCTCACGTTGTTCTATCGCACCTTGGCACCCTTACGTCTTTGCGTCTCTGTTCTTGTCATCCCCCCAAGCTGCGGTGAAAGGTTACAGCTGAAATGGCTCACATGCAGAAAAAAGTGTGTAATTGATGTAATAGATGTAATTGTAACCATACTGGCGAGAATCAATTGGGTCGGGAAAAGACACAAAATGCTTATAATTGTTCCCACCTATGTAAATTCTCAGTGCATCTAACGAAGCAGCTACTCAGTCAGAACCCTAGAGAATTCGCAAGTTGATTCGTTACCCAAACAGACCCTGGTTTTAGTATAGCGGGACACACTCTTTTTGGGCTCTTTTGATTGGGGCAGAATGTTTAAACTCTTGTCCTACGCTACATATGCAACATGTACCATTACCTAACAGCCGGGTCTAACAGTACATAGATCCACGTAGGTATGAATTAACCTGCATAAGCAAGTATTATAATAGTTCGATTCATAATAAACGGAATCCGCTTCAGTATTTCGATTGAGATAGACTGCAGCAACGAGATTTAGCTCCCTCTTTCCTTGCAGGTAACTGCAGCTGCCGTGCTGCAGTTTCCCCTCCAATCAGAAACCTTTTATCCAACACGTGTGCTTTCACCGCTATGTAATAGGTCTAAGACATTTCAACTTTTCATCTTTTTCATTCTCGATACCTTCATGTTACCTAATACCACCCCTTTCACCCCTCCCGCCCCCTCCCCATCCGTGCCCTCTTCACCGTTAAGATCTCTTTACCAGGTAATTGGTCATGCGACATATTGCCTCTTCCTGTGTTGTCGTATTCATTTCATTTCATGGGCGGACAGTAAGAAGGAAGGCTCCATCGCAACTGCGCTACAACACTACGAACTGCAGCCTTTTTTTCGTGTCATCCGATATGGAGCATCGCGATCTAGAACCTTTGCCATGGAGATTACTCGGACCTGTCGGGTCTCGTGTCCACTTGCCCAAACCGACGCCACGACTATCTCGATGATGTAGGCGGAGTGGGTGGTTTCTCCAAACCTCCACCTAAGGTCCATGAAGATCGTACCGATGAGCGACGAGCGATGAGCGATGAGGCGTTGTGGTTGACATATTCATGAATGTGTGTACGTGTTACAACGAAGGAGGCTTGTATCAATCTTGATTATCCACGAACAGGGGATCGCCATGACTTCTATTACGACGTCGTCTCGGTTGTATACATGCGGGAAACTGCATGTTATCATATTTCAATTCGCTAGACTGCCGCCACAATATCTCGACTCACACAAACTATACAACTCGCATCATCTATCGTTGCGATTACGAGGTATGGAATATATGAATTTGTGTACTTACCTAGGCAGCTAGGTAAGTGAGGATGCTATTTGGAGCATACCACGCCGGTTAGACTTGCTATAAAGGTCTGAACGGGGAGCTATCCCGGTTGGACAAGGGTCATAGAAGCCGCGGTAAAAGTTCCATAACCGATTACTACCACCATTTATCTCATGTAAGACCGAGCCACAGCATACTAGCACATACGAATTATCGAATTTCAGCTTCCCCAATTCTCCGGTATTCGCTCTAGCAGTCTAGTTCCAGCTCGGGGAAGAGCCTTACGAGCCGTAGTCCAGATCTAATTACCAGACTACCTACAAAGAAGGTATGCCTATACTGACATCCACGCGATTTACAGGGTACATGCTGGCTGTATAGAGCCGCATCCGAGCCCTAGCTTCATTTTCCGGAATCCGGTTCTACTTAATACGCATTTCTATCATTAGTCATAATTTGTTTTTAAACCAGGGGTCTGGAAGCTTTCTAACAGCAGTGCTTTTACTCTTTCTCTTATTAGTCCATTAGTCCGAGAACAAGAGGCAACTCCCAGTTAGCTTGTCCGTCGCACTAGTAGGCTAGAAACTCTTGTCATTCTTATTTCTCCACAACTCGTCCGAGAGACAGGCAGCTACCTACTTGGCTGCTAGGTATGCTGGTATGTAAGACAGAGCGATTAAGATACCTAGGAAAATCCCAAGACGTCAGACCAGTTGCCGAGCGGGATCGGAACGGCTAAGCTGACATGCAGAACATGGCGCACACAACGATAGCTTGCGGGTAGGACATGTGGGATGTGATCAGTCACATCTTGTTACTCTCCCGATTGTCGTGCTCCATACGATTATTGCGTTCCCTAGTTACCTATCACATATTCTCCGCGTTACTATCATCAACCACGCAATATGAAACGATGGGGCTACAGCCTGCTCATTATTTTGCAACCTAATATACATATCGACAGACATTTGCTTTACGCTGTAGACACATGCCGGTCTAATCAGGCGCGGCTGTCGCTATATCAATCCCACCCATCATAGCGACCATTCAAAGCCACCCTAATACCCAAGCGGTTAAAAGATAGCAGAGTGAGGGTAGGGTGGGAATGGAGCGGGGGTTAAGAGGGACCCTGAAACAATATTCGTGTACATAAACCGAGCTAGGTAAGCCATTGTCTTGACTAATAATTCTTGCGCGGCATCCATTAGGGAAATTGCTCGCGTGCTTCTACTTGTGGATGGGAAATAATTTCACGGCAGCTTCTCGATCCCACCTCCGCATAACATTCCAAATGATTGCGTAGGTGGCAGATAAAAGACAATGCTCTCTTACGCACAATCGTAACTACCGTCGTCTCATGACCCTCCGACGAAATCGAGTCGGGTTGTATATTCCTCGTAAAAGAAGTTTAGGTGGGTTGATGAAATCAATACCTACCTATCTATCTAGGAGAATGGAAAATGAGATTCGTGATCGAATAGTTGAGGATGGTTACGCTCTGGCGAAGATTGGAAAGTGTATCCGCCGGGTCAGATACAGATGATATTACGCGGCGCTTCCCTCGCGTTCGTCTTCATCAGGCAGGTAGATAAACTGTGGGATCATGGACGATAGGTTATGCCTTGGGACCCATAACCGTTCTGATATCCATACATATCGTATAGGTATATTTTACTCAGATAAAAGAAGGGAAGTTGTCTTTGTTAAAACAACCATCCTTCTGGCAGCCAATGGACTATCAATAATAATTAATACCATTCATGGCGGAGCGGAAGTCTACCTACCTACCGATCCAAGTAGATATGCAATATTGAGCGTGAATTAAGTGCTGGCAAGCAAAATGTCCTAATAGCCTTAGAAGATTGGAATAAGCTTTCGTGATGCAATGAATGGACAGAATAGGATAGAGAACATATAGGTACCTATGCATATCCCTTGCTGATAGCCGCATAGATCTACTTACGAGATGGTAGTTCCAGTCTATTAACCTCGTAATTCATACTTCGTTAAGCATCCCGACGGTCTCTACCCCTCTACGAATTACATACCTATATACAACACGATATCTATGTTTCAAGACAACGAAACACGATGACCTCACTGGAAACCCTTCACTCTTTTCTCGCAAGATCCGCTTAACCTCAGCTCAACCCAACCAACCCACCCCCTACTTATCCCCTCCCACAAACTTAAACCCAAGCCCGCCCTCCCGTCTAACCAACACCGCCCCATCCTCTCCCCCCTCACCCTTCCCCCCCTCCCCAGGCTCGCGGAAGCGTATCCTCCCCGCATTGATATCCGGATACACATCGAACCGTCTCTGCGTCGAAAGCGGGATATTCCTCCTCGTATCCCTGATGATATCCCCATCCAGCACCCAACTAACAATCCCCTCCTCCTCCCCAGCCTCATCCAACACCTCCGCCATCGGATCCACAATCATCGTGTGTCCGTACGCCGGATACGCCGCCTTCACGTCTCGCGCCGGACTGCACAGCGCCACGTACAGCTGGTTATCCATGGCTCTGGCCCGTCCTAGCAGTGACCAGTGAAGCGGCCCTGTCGTCGTGTTGAACGCCCCCGGGTAGATCAGCGCGAAACACCCCTGTCGCGCGGCGATCGTCGCGAGTTCCGGGAACCGCACGTCGTAGCAGATGGCCACGGCGATCTTGCCGTACCCCGGGAGCTCGATGATGCTTACTTTGTTCCCTGGGAACAGCACGTCGCTTTCCTTGAACTTGATCTTCCCCGGGATGTCGATGTCAAACAAATGCACCTTTCGATGGGTGCCTAGCAGTGCTCCATCCGGCCCGAAGGTCAGGCTCGTGTTATAGTATTTTTTCGTCGCGGGGTCGGGGTCGGCTTCGGGGATCGAGCCGCCGACGAGGAAGACGCCTGCTTCGGCGGCCATGGACGACAGGGCGTGGTATGAGGGGGATTGCTCTGCGGAGGGCGGGTGCGGGAGCAGGGTCTCGGCGTAGGAGGGGAAGAAGTCGCATCCGTAGGGCGAGTTGAAGCATTCGGGCAGCACGACGAGCTTTGCGCCTTCGCGGGCTGCTTCGAGGACTAGGTCCCGCGCGTGCGACAGGTTCGCGGCTTTGTCGGTGTTGGAGGCGAGTTGGATGCAGGCGAGCCTGAGGGGCTGCGCGAGCACGCGGGCGTTGGATGTTGCCATTGTTCTTGCTATTTGTGGGAGAATACCGTTTGTGTGGAGGAGAGGCTGGGTCCGGGTCCGGGGCCGTGATGCGGTTGCGAAGGTGCGGGTGAAGGCTCCTAGGGTCCTTGCGAAGCTTCTCATAGTTGATTGGTTGTTATCGCATTCTTGGTATTGGCTTGACCTCGGGGTAGAGGAGGGATGGGGGATGCGATAAGAGCTTTCTCCTAGTCTTAAGTAAGCCTGCGAGATCGGGTCCGCAGAGTTGGAGGTTGTGTAACCCGGTGCGGGGCAATTGCTCCGGTTGGTGCATGTGGGGGATCCGTGGAGGGGTATTGTTATATCGGATAAGGTCTTGATACATAAACGGATTTATGTCTTTGATACCATTTCTTCTTGTTACTATATTCATAACGGAGAAGCATGTCTGGGAGTCCAACATCGACAGTCTTGTCGGTGCATATAAGTCGATATGGCAATGATCACACTCGACACCGCAAGCATGTACGATCCCATTCCGAAGCCTCCCGACACGTCGTCGTGGTTGACGGACCACCAGAGAGATATCCCAAGACTGGCAATTAACAATGCTATTGCGGCTGCCGATAGGTAAAAGCATGTATACGTTCGTTTCTCTCCTTCATAAGCGCTCGCCGTGGCACCGGGGTAATAATCGCTTAGCTCAAACTCTTCTTGAGAGAATTGCTGATCGGGCGGGAATAACATTTGTGATTCAGTCGGTGATGAAAGTATCTCATCGTCATCGTGGGGATCGTCGAAGTGAGTGAACAATCCTCTGTTAGGTTGTCTTTCGTGCCGGGATAATTCTAAGTCGGTATCATCATCTGCCTCGTCTAGCTCGTCGCCATCTAACAGCCAATTTGTCTCCCCCAAACTGTTCGTTTTTGAAATACTCTTAGAAACTGATGAGTCTTTTGTGAATCGCATGATGCCTGCCTTCAATTTTGAAATTTGATTTGGTAGCCCTTACAGTTTTTGGCTCTCGCGATTGGTGGTGATCTAGACGCCTGGTGGATGAGAGAGGCCGAAATGTAACTGGAAGACGATAAAAACTTAAGCTAGTTGGTTCCACCACGAAGATTTATGCGTTAATGGTTACTTCAATCGAGTTGAATTGTTCTCTCTAGTGGGTGCATTTATGAATAGTATCCGGTGATCATAAAGCGAATACAATTATTTTACATGGAGTAAAAATATAGTAGAAAAGAATGAGTTTCGAGGAATAATTCCAGAATCTGAGAAGCTGTACGGCGTTGCGGAATAATACCTAGGACTCGCCTTAATCTGAAATGGTCTTTTGCTACAGGCTGCCTCAGCTATTGGAAGCCTTACCTATCGTGTATATAGAAAGCGCACCATACTAGAGCAAGGCATACTTAGGGCCAACCAATAATGAACCAAGATCGGTGAGATTATCACAGCTTGTCTGATCGTGGATTCCTAAATCGTTACTATTGGGGGTGGCTGAGCCTTTAGTCATATCAACAGCGAATAACTTCGTGTTCCCGCCAGTTATTACCAATCACAGCTTCGCCCGAGCAATTCTGCCAATTGCTCTAAATACTTCTTATCCACCTCATCAAATCCGTTAAGATCGGCGCAGTCGATATCGATAATAGCAACCAATTTCCTCGTCTTTTCTCCGTCGGTCCCGGTCTCTATCGTAATAGGAACTACGATCTCACTCTTGCTATCCCCATCGCATGCGATATGGCCAGGGAACTGCTCGACATCCGGAATTAACTGTGTTGTCTGAGTCTGCGCCGCTGTACCGCAAACCCCTTTACCGAAAGCGATAGTCTGACATGCTACTTTGCCTTGGAACGGACCAAGGATGAGTTGCAGTTTTGATGATGTTGCCCGCGGGTCGAGTGTGTAAAATCCTATGATGAGATTGTAAATCTAGGCTTTGCATCGAGGCGCATTACTAACCTGCCCAATTCACCTGGCTACTCGGATGTGGTAATGACTTATAGGCATGCCATAATAGCGATGCTGCATTGGCGAGATTGCTTTATAAGCACCATTAGTCGATTTGATCTTTTTTTTCAGCCTAGAAGTCGCCCTGGTTCTCTAGAAAGGTCCGGGAACGTACCACACCTAAGAGGCATAAGTATGAGTTTGACGCTCAACGTCAAGGACATAAACGTACCCAGTTTCTTTGACCATCAAGGAGACCTTCGGCTTGTATTAATACTTGCGTATAAGCCTGTTCTTTCGTCACCCCTTCCGCAAAGTTCGACGCATCAGCGTGTACCTGCCCAGGTGATAATATGAGTTAGATGTGAAATTTCTAAGCTGGATTTTAGTTTCCGAACCATTTTGCAGCTGTCCGGTCCCCGTCCTGAGTTCTGAACGAACTTTCAAATTTTCAAGGGATATGATAGTAAGATATACTTCGGATAATCGTCTAATTTATGTATAAGTAAAATATATGGTCGATTATAGTATAATTAATAGAGTTATAAGAGTGCAGATTGTGATTCGTGAGGGAAAAACGGATTTCATCTCGAGCGAGCACGCGATCGTTAGTTAATAGGGATCCACTTCAAGCCCGTGGTAAGCCCTATCGGCTGCCGAAACCTTACCCATATTTTCGGGACTCGAGAGACTTGGAAGTGTTACCGATGGAACACGGAGGAGTCGGTCTTTCTTCTGTTATTCCCGTACTTTCCGTCCGAGATCATCCGTATAGCAGGTCTATTGGTTGATTCATCCTCTCGTTGAAGAATGCCCCCAGAGTTTAGAGAATGAGACTAAGATTCGGAGAATTTGGTTCTAACACTAGGAATAATATGCTAAGTGGACTACTTTCTAACTTACGTATTAAAAACAACTCCTCATTCTGCGCCAACTAGGTCGAGGTAAAATCGAGATAATGATTCTACGCAAAAGAGAATCGGAACCCATCAGAATCTCTACAATATCCGGGGAAGACAGGGTGTCCGCCTAGCTAGAGTCCTCATTGGCCGAGTAACGCGGCGGGCGGCATGAAACCCCCTGAAATCTAGATTGTACACCCATTGCCTTTAGATCTTGGGGTCCAGATTAGGTAGCTGGAAAGCTCTCGGAACCAGATGTCCCGGATATCGTCACGAACCTATTATTCATGACAGATCTGCAGATATGGACCTCTTCTTTTTCTCTTATGCATGCAATGCTATCTTTGTCGATCTAGATTCAAACTTTCCAGAGTGAATATGCGTTGTCCTGAAATATTCTTACGAGTGGTAATCTAGAGAGATCTCATCTAAGGTATCATAAGAATGGGACAAACACACCAGCGGCTAGGATGACGTCGATACTCCGAACGCCCCAGCGCGTTTCAACCTCAAGTGCTCGCCTACGACAAGTCGTCATCATATCCGTCATCTGCCTAGCTCTCTACTGCTTCCTTCTCGTACCAGATCACAGTCTCGACTCATCACGATCCACCATCGTAGATACCTTTCCCCATTCTCACCCTCACCACCCGTCTAATCCCAATTCCAACCTCAACACCAACTCCAAGTCAAGCCCAGCATGGATATCAAAACACCCCCCTTCCCTCCTTAACAACCGACTCCTCAGCACCTCCCAATGCGCCGCCGCCTTCCCAGGCCTAACCCACGAAATCGGCCTCCAAGTCTCCAAGGGCCCCTTCACACTCTCCCGACGTCCGCACGACCTCGGCCCCCTCATAGCCCGGATCCGGAACAACCAACTCTTCATCCTCTCCTACGCGCGAAAATCCGACCTCTCAAAAGAGATGCTACAGCACCGCTCCGCAACCCTCCACCAAATCGCCACAGCCCTCCTAACCGCGCCCCCAGACGAACCGCTCCCCGACACAATAATCGCACTAAACCACGAAGACGACCCAATCTCCCCCTCACTATCCTACTCACGTCCCGCCGACCCAGCCTTCAACGGCCCCTCAAAGCGATACTTCGCCATGCCGCACTTCAGCCAATACTCCTGGCCCTCGCCCACAATCCACTCCCTCCCTTACGCCATCCAGCGCATCCACACCCTCGAATCCAGCCTCCCCTGGTCCCAAAAGCCGTCCCGCGCAATCTGGCGCGGAACAACCTGGTTCAACAACCCACGCGCCGGGCCCCTGCGGCAAACCCTCGTCTCCAGCAGTTCCGGCAAACCCTGGGCGGACATCGAAGCGCTGCACGCGAACCACAGCAACGCTTTGCCGATCTGGGATTTCTGCCGGTACCGCTACGTGATCCACACGGAAGGCGTAACCTACTCCGGGCGCTTCCAATACCACCAACTGTGCAACTCAGTAATCCTCACGCCTCCGATAGCATGGATGCAGCACCTAACGCACCTCTCGAAACCCGTCTTCAGCAGCTCCCTCCCGGGCGTAACACGCACACCTCCCTCCCACCCCCAATCCCAGAAACCAGCAGCGTACCCCGCGCCCTGGGTGCAAGCCGCATGGCCACGCTCGCACGACCCGGAGCGGGACGCGAACATAGTATTCGTGTCGCCAGACTGGACGGACTTAGAATCGACCATCGAGTGGTTGGAGCGCCACCCGCGGGTAGCGGAGGGGATAGCGCGGCGGCAGCGGGAGCTGTTCGATGGCGGGGGGTACTTCAGCGGCGCGGCGGAAACGTGTTACTGGCGGGCGCTGATCCGGGGGTGGAGTCGGGTGGTGAGGGTTGACGAGAGGGAGTTTGCGGGTTTGGAGGAGATGGCCTGGGAGGAGTTTAGTTTGAAAGAGATCCATAAGTAGGGAAGTAAGGAGGGATAGGATTGAGTTGGGGAAAGGAATTTGCGTTGATCGCGAGATATTGGATGAGTCACCTAAGAAAAAAAACGTGGGGTTGAGACATCGAATCTGGAAGATTTCAGAATTAGAACTTTTACTGGAAGATCATTATTATGGTACACCTTGTGACTATTATATTATATACACACAGCAGCCCACCTCGTTTCATTACATGCTCCTTGCGCTCAGGCTCGCGAACGCGTCTGGGCTGTGCCGACCGTTATTCCAAGCCATCTCCATCCCGAGCGTCATGCTTTCCCGACTCCTTGCGCCCGAAGAAGCAGAATTAAGGTTGTTGTGCGGCGCAAACGGGCTCGGAGCTGCGGGTGCCGGTGTATGTGCGGCTTGAGTTGCTGCACTGTTCATAAAAGGGTTATTGGTTCCTGACAAAGGTGATGGAACGTTTTGTTGCGGATGCGCCTGTGGATGTGCTGACGTAGGAAAAGGGTTCGTCTCAGTACTGGGTATGCTCTGATCCTGGCTTTGCTGCTTGGTCGGAGCTAGTTGAGGGTAGTTATATAGAGCCATGATAGAAGCTGTGTCTGCTCTCTGAGGCTGTTGGTAAGCCGGCTGAGGTTGACTCGCAACCTGTACCAGTGGTTGTGGATCGTACCATTGCTGCTGGGTTGGGTGGAGCTGAGGCTGGGGTTGCGGTTGCGGTTGAGATTGTACCGCCGGGGTAGGAGATTGTGCGTACTGATTCGTCGCGAAGAATGGGTTACTCGCATACGGCGAATGCGGCGAGTTATAGAAGTTTTGCTGCGACTGTTCGGGGATTTGGTTCAGAGTTGGCGACGCGATTCTAGTCGGCGATCTGGTGAAGGGATTGGTAGCAAATGACCCTTGGTTTTGAGTTTGAAACGGCGAGGTGTTCAATGAAAGAGTCGGGTCTGGGGTTCTAGGGGCTTGTAGGAAGGGGTTGTAAGTTTGTGGTGATTGAGTTGGAGCAGCCGGCTGAGGGTATGTTTGGTGACTATTAAAGGGGAACGATGTGTAGCTCTGGCCTTGTGGGATCGGAGGAGTCATCGATTGCGAATAGAACGACTGCGATGCTGGCTGAGGAGTCGGTACTCCGCCAGTATGGTGAGGGAAGAGTGCTTGTTGCTGTGTTGGTACGAGTGATAGGTTTTGTAGGCTCTGGTTTAAATTGAACTCGGCTTGCTGGCTTGGCATCCCAAATGGGTTCGAGTTTGAAGCGTAAAAGGGGTTTCTGTTCTGTAGAGTTCCTGTTGATTGTGAGGACTGAGGCGGTGCTGGCTGTATGTCCCATGGGTTGTTTGACATAGTACTGGCCGGACTCGGTGCAGCAGGCGGGCTGGATTTAGATAGCCCAATTGGAGGTCGTGGAGACGTGGGTGTAGGTTGGGGAGTCAAAGACCTAGAGGAACCGGGCAAGGAACCATCCCGAGATGGCAGAGGCAATGAAGGTCCACCACCTTCCCCAAGCCGCACCAGTGCCTCCACTGTCTTTTCAAGATTACCATTCACGCCCTTTAGAATCATAGCATTACGTTTGTCGTCCACGAACCCCATATCCCTAAGCTGCGTCAACTTTTGTGCCGTAGCCTCCGGACTATCTTGATGTACACTGGCCCCGAAAACCTTAGACGCCTTGTTGCTTTGTTGGTTGCGTTGGGTGTCATGGGAACCGAAAGCACTCTCTCGCGCACGCGTATCCTTCTTAGATCGGAAGGAGAAGAAACGACTGCCTGTCTTAGGTGGTAAGGGCGGCGGAGTACCTTCGTCAGAACTTCCGGTATTATGCTTTTTCGTGCCATTCACAGCTGTTGTTGTTTGTACATACTTAGCCCTTATGAATCGTTCCATGGCAGAGTCGGCTTCGTCAGCATCGATGGGCATCGGGGGTTTCTTGTTTTGAGAATTGTAAATCTTGTTAGACGCAACGTTTCCCACCCGTTTCATGCTCTATAAGCACCGTTAGCCACAACCAACTCCCTTCTAACACGTTGTGACGCCAGATGATTCGTACCTCAACCTGTTCATTCGACCAACTATCCATGCTAAGCGACTTAACCTTGGAGATATGCGTGCCCAATTTGCGATGGATAGCAGCGCATCGCATGCAAAGGAACACACCCAACTACAAGAATTTTAGTTTCAAGTTCGTATTAATTAATTCGGGGATAAGTGGTCGTCGCGATGATTTGAGAGCGGTCATGTTAAGGGTCTATTAATTAAGCACGTACATTCCATGATGCCCAAGCTTAAAGGTGCAACGTCAGCGATAGGTCCCAATAGTCTTAGGAACAAAACAAAGCAACAAGCTCCATGAGCAACACTTACCTGGGTTTCTCGCTTGACAATCGGCACAAAAATTGTTTCCCGGTACATCATGTACGAGATCTTGCAATACCTTCTCGTTGCGCGCCTGTTGGCGCTTGCTCATAATCCCAGACATTTTGGCGCTTCCTAGTATAAGTCGGTAATTGATGCTCTCGTGAGCATCAGTTGAGGATAACGAAGGTAGATTCGGTTACACTGGCGCCGCGGCTGAAAATTGGAAAAAAGTCGGGCTTACGATACAACCAACTAGGAAAATCGCGTGGAGGCTGGGAGACGAATGGACGAATGGACGAATGGACGAATAGACGAATGCACGACTGAGGCCAAAGGAGCCAAAAGAGGGTATGTCGCTGTTTGGTTATAGGTCAGGGGGGGTTAGTCCTCGATTTGGATTAGGGCTTCATCAGCATCCCATCGGCTGGTCAATTCATTATGATTTGTGAAAAAAAAGAAGACTACAAGCGAGAAGTAAGGGAATGGAGTCCAAAGTAGTACGTTCGCTAAGGGCGAACGACCTTGTCAAAGCCAAACTCATTCAAACTCCAAGACGTGAAAAGAGAAAATAATGAAAATAGCGAGAGGAAGTTGGAGAGGAGGAAAAAAAATAATTGTCTCCTAATGCTAATGCTAAAGTCATTCTCTACTCCGAACGGACTTGGAAGAAAGGATCGACGGGGCTCACAGACTCAGGTCTGGATCGCAATGACTTTTGGAAAGAAGAACGACTAGGAGCTCCATAAAAAGAAAGGAGAACATTGGAGACTTGGCTATACAAAGGTACTTAAACCTGCCCCGAGCTTTAATCTTGCAAGGTTTCTAGGTTTTACAAGGTTTAGCTCGCCTGCTTTCTGACTGCTTTGACTCGGTCCCTAAACCTCGTTGAGCTTAGTACCGGTTAACACCTAAATACGCCTAACAGTTCCTGGCCGTTCCTAGCAGTCCCAGCCCACCGGCCGCCTAATAATTCAAGCTTATTTAGGTGCTGTTGTGCTATTATTAACATTGAAGTCCTCTAACTATCCTATCGATAACCGCGATAACCGTAAAGTTCAAGTTTGACAGAACCTTGGAAGTTTGGTAGAGTTAGATTTGTTGCATACATGCAACTCTTGTGTGCTTCAACTTCGTAAACTTCTCAGGTTTATCTGCATAATGCATATCATTGATCATCTTTCCTGTGATGTGCGAGTTTAACGGTGAAGGTTTATTTTTACCTCTGTTTCTGATGATATCGTTGTGGCTTTCTCTTTTTATTTCCAAGTTTGTTACATCTCAACACCATCAAAACAAACCCAGTCATTTCATTAAGCCTTCGAATAAAGCTATTGTTATTCGCCCTTTCATAGGTAGACTTTCTCTTAACAAATTTGATATCATTTAGAACATATTATTTTATTTCGTTGAGATCCATGGATGGATATATATTTCTATGGCTTCAAATTCTTATGTTGTCGGTACCTAGCAGCCAGTGGTTGGAAGATTACCTACGGTATTTTGAGGTTTTAGGTATCTCTTCCCGCCATCAGCCTCACTCAACCCAACTTACCGTGACAATTCAGCAAATATAATTAGGTAGCATCTGACATTTAAGTCGCTATCGATGAATCTTCCCACAACCCAGGTAGTATTATTGCTACCCTCTATCGGCGGTATGGCGAATCCAGACTCGTGTACGTTAACGAACCTAGCATTCTGAAAGCAGGCTGAGAGACTCGTGGCCAACTGCAAGGTCGGTATCGGGACAATCTAGAATAACCTGTCGCGAAAAGCAGGCTGAACGCCAGCCATCTATAGTGTTTACACGTTAAGATTTTTTATAGGGTGTTAGAACCACCTGCGTGTGTGTTCGCCCTCCTACCGACCTGATTAAAATATATAAAAAATAAAATAAAAAAGGATGATGAGTACGGCCACCAGAGTGTCCCGCTCGTCTTGTGGAAACTAACCTTCTCCCAAGTTTGATAGCTACAACATTACCAAACTAGTGTTAATCTACTACATTTTATCTCTTCATCTTAACTATGAAGTCGCCTTCAGTTCCGGTATCAAGCCTATGCGCCTGGTTGATACTCACCAATCTGTGTGAATCTTCCAGTTTTAAGCCGAACTGCACTTTACCAACTACCGATACCAATTATGTCTCTGGGTCCACTATTCGCAGTACTCTAGGTATCCTCTGGAACTGTACCTCGGTCATCATCCTCTGCACATGGAATATTCAACATCTTAACGTCCCTGCATTCCGCCGAGCCGACGGTATCAAGAAAGTATGGATCGCCATCGTAGCACTTACTACGAGAGTCAAATGGATGGTCTTCACGATTTTCGTTCCGGAATATTTCGTGGGTAAAGCACTGAGTGAGCTCTGCGCTGCTTATTACACATCTATTGAGATGAAGGATCAAGAATATATGGCTGGTAAAGAATGGGGAATTGTTCATTCTTATTTGGCAAATATGGGATATTTCGTTCTCGACACTCAACAACTTGAATTCGATGCTACGCCTTCCACATCCCCTGACGACCAATCGTCGATGCACTCCACGTCAGAGCCTAAAGAACACCCTCAAAGACATGAAGTGCTTCCTAGTCAAGATGATACCCTGGAGCCTCAAGTGGTCGATACGCCTTCCTTGAATCATTCGCCCCATGAAGCTCGAATCAATAGAATGGCACAAAAGCCGACGATGACACGTTCAGTTAAAATTAATATCCATCGCCTCAAGTACCGCTACTGGGCACTGTCTTCTTCGCAATGGCAATATTTGTTCGAAAATGAAATTGCCGCCGTACCAAATATACCGTCTATATATCTAGAGAGGCTTGACAAAGGGGGGATGCTAGTCAAATTGCTTGCTGTGGGCCAGGTTAGCTACCTAGTCATTCAGCTTATCTCCCGCAAAATACAGGACCTCCCTTCTTCACAGCTCGAGATAGGAACACTTGCATTCTCAGTATCGAGCCTCATTACGTATGGTTTATATTGGAAACATCCGCAGGGTGTTGATGTTATACATATCATCCCAACAACGGGTAAAAGGCTAGATGGTTGGGATATAGCTGAGTTGGCTCAACTCGGACCTAAATCAATGTGGAACAAACTGAGGACGAAGAGCGATTTTGACCCGGAGCTCGGTCCAAGTCCAATCCCAAATGACAGCAGCCATTACGAAGAGCATATTTGGACATTTGGGACGATTTTCAGCGGAATCCCCTTTGGCGGTCTTCATTGCCTCGCATGGAGATTTCAATTTCCGACTACGGTAGAAGCTGTTCTCTGGAGGGTCTGCTCGGTTGTTACGACTTGTCTACCTCTGGTCGCGATGATCCCCCTTTTAATATGGCTAGGATTCATCGTTATGGAACATGAGGGCCTCACTAAAGATAGCCTCAGATTAGATGGAAAGTTTGGGACTTTCCGGCTGACTACCGCTTACATCGTTCTGATGCTTTTACTCATATATTTCTTAGCGAGGCTTTTTCTCCTGTGTGAAATGATACGGTGCCTATTTTACCTCCCACCTGAAGCATTCATTGACACTTGGTCCAACGCTTTTCCACACTGGGGTTGAGTCAGGGACGAATCAACGTACATTATCTTTTATTGCATTCAGGTTATTTGTTAGGCGACGTTGGGTTCCCTCTTTACGATACACTTCGAATCTTGAGCAAATACAATCTTATCTCAGGTACCTCTAAGTCATTATAAAGTCCTATTTAATACCACCCATGGCAAATATGTTGTAAATTTCCACTCTGAGATAATATCATCTTGTTACTGTTTTATTCCCACTAACATAAATGAATTAGTAAATCAATTTAGATCTATAAAGTAATCGAAACTGACGAAACATTACAAGATTGACGGCCCGCGCCCTTTGGACTACAACACCCAAAGGCAATATCTTGCGATCGATACGTAGAAAAAAAATGGTGACACAATTCCAACAAAACTGTTGAGCATAAAAAGTCCTAGGCCTAAAATTCAATTCCGTCGTTGGAGTATTACATAAGAGAAATTACCCCTATTTAAACTACAACAAATTTTCATCGCATTTTCACCTCTTCCTCACCTCACCTTTCCCCTCAATTACAAACCAAGCTGTCCATAAAATCACTATCTGGTACCTCTAACCCACCCCCCAAAATGGACACAGAAACCCTCCTCCAAAAATCCTACACCCAGATCCGCGCCGCCGCTAGCGTTCCCCCAGGCACCCAAGCCCGCACCCTCCCCCTCTCCAGCGCCATACACACTGCACGAACCTCACTCAACCCCCTCCCCACAACCCCCCTCGGCCCTCTCCCCACCCTAAACCACCTAACCAACACCATCGCGCCCGCGCTCCCCGGGCACAACCGAAGCGGGCGCTACTTCGGCTTCGTAACCGGGTCCACCCTGCCGATCGCCGAAGCAGCAGATAATCTCGCCACAGCCTTCGACACAAGCGTGCAAGTGCACTTACCGGAACAGAGTATCGCGACCGAAGTCGAGGACGTAGCGTTACGATTGCTACTCCGACTTCTCCACCTAAGCCCAGAGTCAGGCTTAGAGAAAGCAGGAGAAGATGCGGGGATAGAGTGGGAAGGCAGGACATTCACGACGGGAGCGACGGCGAGTAATATCCTCGGCCTGGCGTGCGGGCGGGAGGAGGTAGTGCGGATGAGGTTGCCGGATGGGAGCGAGGGAACGGTGGGGGAGGTAGGGATTCTAGGGGCGTGTGCGGAGGCGGGGGTTAGGGAGATTCGGGTTTTGACTAGTATGGGACATAGCTCTTTATCGAAAGCGGCGTCTGTGGTGGGGCTTGGGCGGCGCGCGGTGAAGGAGTTGCCGTATAGTGAGGCGGAGCCGTGGAGGTTGGATTTGGAGGCTGTGGAGCGGGAGTTGAAGCGCGCGGAAGAGGGGGTTGCGTGTATTGTGGCGATTAGCGCCGGTGAGGTTAACACGGGCCGGTTTGCTACGAGTAGTTTGGGGGAGATGAGGAGGTTGAGGGAGTTGGCGGATCAGTATAAGGCTTGGATACATGTCGATGGCGCATTTGGAATCTTCGCCCGTGCTCTACCAGATACGGAGGAATTTGCCAAGTTACGAGAATCTACGGCGGGTCTTGAGCTTGCGGATAGTATTACCGTTGACGGACATAAATTACTTAATGTCGTAAGTCATAACCCCTATTCCTCATTCATCCGTTTATTCTGATCGAAAGCCTAGCCCTATGACACCGGCATATTCTTCACCCGGCGCTCCTCAACCCTCCATGCCGTCTTCCAAAACCCAAACGCGGTATACCTTACACCCTCCGGATCCGGCCCCACCATTCCCAGCCCGCTTAACATCGGCATCGAGAACTCGCGACGCTTCCGCGCGCTGCCTGTGTACGCCGTTCTCCTCAGCGAAGGGCAACCCGGGATTGCCGAGATGCTCGCGCGTATGGTGCGGTTAGCCCGGGGCGTAGCCCACGCCCTCGTATCCCCAGACGAAAAGTTGAATCTAAGAGACGACTACGAACTCCTACCTAACTCGAGCGCAGCGGAGAGCACACACGTGATAGTCCTATTCCGTGCGCGAGACGAGGGGTTGAACAACGTACTAGTGAAAAAGATCCAGGACTCGGGTGAATGGTACGTGAGCGGGACTAAGTGGAAGGGGGAGTCCGCGTGTCGGATCGCAGTGTCGAGCTGGAGGGTTAATGTTGAGGAGGATCTGGAGTTTGTGAAGAGTAGGCTGGCTAGTATAGCTAAGGAATGGAAAGAGAGCGGCAGGTAAAGGTCTCGAGAGGTAAGAGGTAGTGGTTAGGATATAGACATATTTCGGCTGGGCAAAAGGGTAAAATTAGGTGCATAAAAGTACTCATAAGTTGAATGCAAGGAAATCCCCTTAGAGATGCCGGTCCACATAATTGTATTAGTCGTGCTGACGAAGCTAGTCTCTCATCTAAGCCGTTGAGTTATTCGAACTCAGAAAGATCTTGGGTAATGAATGAGGGCCGTTTCTTCTTCGCGTATAAAAACATGGCTAACCTGGTAGATGAGGTATGCCTCCTGGAAGAGATGCGGCGTGATATGCCTATCAATTGAACTACCTCATAGTGAGAATTTTCAACTGAGGTTATGTCGTGGGCATCTTCTCAGGATCGAAACCCGACTCGCTTCATCGTAGCATATTCGTCGATTGTATGGTGGTATCTTAGTCGCTGGAAATAATCGACTTGTTCAATAAGAAGACACCGAACGTGTATTCGAAGCCTTTCTTTCCTTCCCATAATACATTTCCCACAAGTCCATAACCTAGAGCATCATCGCCTCCCTCATCCAAACTTCCGACTCCCACCCTTCTTCTTCGCAGCCTCGTCCTTATCCGCACCCTTTAACCTCCCCTTCCCAATCAACTCCAGGTGTCCCGCCCTCTCACCGAGTAGTTTCTCCGTCTTAGCAACCATACCCGCCGCGAACTTCTTCTGCATCTTATCCGCGGCAGAGCCCTTCTTCGCTTTCGTCACGCGCGTGCCTTTCTTCGAAGGTTGGGGCTTGGCTTTCCTTCCCGCGGACGCGGGGGCGGCGGAGGCTTTCCTGGGTTTGATAGCGCCTTGAGCCATGGCTCTTTCTGCCTTAATCTACCTAAGTAGATTGGCACTCGGACCGGTTGGATAGGACGGTAGGATGGTTCGTCGGGTGATGGATGACTTAGCCGACCGAGTTGGCTTCTGGATTCTGGTTCGGACGTCTGCGCTTCCGTTCTATTCTGCTCGGTCGCTCCCCAACAAATATTCGGATTCAGGTTCTCCCAAATTTAGACAATCGGTAGCCGGTGACCAAGACACGTATCGTACGACGAAATCTCTAAACCGTCTTCGCCTAACCCAACAACCTAATTCGAACCTCTCCTAATTTAGGAAGACTCAGTTCTAAACCCGGAGTTCCTCGTCGTCGTCGAAAGGCGTACGTTGGCGGTGGCAGTGCTCATCCGGGAACCGTTCCGAGGAGTGTTATTTTCTGCGAAAGAAAAGTCTGCCGCTGGTGTCGCACTGCAGCAGATAAAAAAAAAAAGGTCACCTACTAGTGCCCCACCCGCAGAAACCTTAAAAAGATTTCTATAATAGCGGGAAAGCGGGGTCTAGCTCCCGTTGCGCTAAGCCTCGTTGCCCCACCACAGTCCACAGCTCAAGGTCCCCGCCCGGTGAACAACAAGCTGCAAGCCGCCGGAAGCCCGGATAGCTAAGCTGCGGCAGGTACAAGGGGGCTGTGAAGTAGGTGATAACGTGGATCTTGTGTAAGATATGTGCATGAATGAGTATGAGTGATTCTAGATCCAAATATATCTATTTGTTATTCTCATACCTAACTTATGGTGCAAATGAGCTACACGATGGATCATCTAAATTCTACGCACGTAAGTGTAAATACTGATCTAATTAAGACTCGACATGAGATGTACCTGTATTCCAACTAATCGGAGTTAAGGCTGTATGTCTCGGCACATTTGTAGTCCGGATATTGAATAATACTTCTCAGCCTGCATTGAGAAATGCCAAGCGTATATGTTCACACCATGAGACAAGTGACAAGATGCCGGTGAAATGTTTACAGCTAAAAAAAAAAGGAAAAAGAAATAGTTACGTAAAATATGATTCTTAATCGCTTCAATAGGCTCGTAACAATCTGTAGGTAATTTGATAAATTCTGTTGATTGATTTTTTCCCGAGTCTACCATTTTGTAGCCCCGTCTAAGTATAATACACTATCCTCACACTTTAGCTTCAAGGCAAGCTATTCTATATATACAAACTGACATGCAGCAAAAATGCAGCGAGTGCGTCCTGCGAGTAACAGTTGGGTATCGCATCACCATTCCTTCCGACCCTGTCCTTTAAACCTTTAAACCTTTGAACACCCCGTTAACTCCGAATCAACTAACCTTATTTTCCCATACCAAAATGTTGGCCAAGTCTCTAGACGCTATAGATTAAAAAAAAGCTTATATGAATATCCGTGAATGCGATATATATTTGTACAATGCCACCGGATGATAATCGTCAATGGGACAGAAAAGAAAGTAGGTTGACTAATGTGGCAAATGGGGTATATATGATGCAATATGATCAATGATGAGTAATGCGCGATGTCGATAAATGAATGGGTTGGAAGAAGGAGATGAGAAAAGAGTGTGCTTCGTATGCGTAATCCAAAATTAAAGTGCGATTATCGCTTCACTGTACGTTTAGGTACAGGTCATCGCCGTGTCTTGTCGGAGTTAGTTTTGGCTGCCATGTTGGCGTGTGGGGTAAGGAGCCTTTAGCTGAAGAGAGGTTTGCGGTATCTGGAGTAAGTTGGTCCCTATGCATCTTCCATCGGTCCTTCTTATTACCTGGAACAAGCGCCAGTGCAGCCGCTTTGCCATCCCCGACTCGCTTAGCCAAGAGCGCGCTGGTACCTGAAGGCGCTGAATCTTTGTTTTTGAAGCTCAAAGGAGAAACTGCACGTGCCACATGGGGACGTCCTTCTCCGTTACTAGATCGCGACGACAACGGAGATGGTGTTGGGAATTTCTCGTTTGAAAGGTTAGGCGAAAATCCTGAGCCGGACGTTTGCATTGGCGGTGTCCGAAGCCTCTCGGAAGCTGGGGCCTCGACGCTGGGGGGCTTTGGTGAAAAGCGCGATAGAGGGCTCTGGATAAGCGGCCGGCCTACATCAATCCGCGGCCTTGGCAAATCAGCCTCAACGTGTGTATGTGATGAACTTGACGTTAGAGACCTCTGCGAATGCTTAGTATTTAAGGGTCGTGGATAAGCTGAGCCAGCATCCTCATCAAGAAGAGCAGCGCCTTTCAATGTTGGGCTAGGTTGGCCAGGAGGTGAAGTTGCGAAGCTCGGTACCTTTGGTAAATCGACATGTAAATTGGTTCGATTGAGTCGTTCCGACATTTTTGGATGTTTAACTGGAATTCTTCTAGGCGATTCTGCGACAGTCGAGAGATGGTCGAAAGGAATTTCTTCGTCAAGTGGGCTAGACGAACAACTGTTGATAGTTGTAGCAGATTCATGGGTCATCATCGTGTCTGACCGAGTAAGTTGAGCTGTGCTGTTCTTCCGAGATTTATTGTTATTCCTTGCGCGACCTAAAAACCGGGAACTACGGCGAACGGCGCTGGCCTGTGAATACACACTTGATGAGCGGTTGAGTGGCCTATCATTTGGAGCTTGAGCCAAAAATGCTGGTTGAGGTCTCATGTGCAGTGCAGAAGCAGCCGAAATTGCCGCTGCCATTTTTATAGCTTGTTCCTCCTTTATCTCTTGTGGTGATTTTGTCATCGGCGTGTACGTATCCAGTTCTGCCACTTCCGTAAGTTGTATTAACTGGGTCTGCGAATTATTCTTATTTAACACCCAATTTCCTCGCCTGTCATCAAAATAAAGCGGATTTCCTGACTGAGGTCCATTTTCTGGTATTGATGGTCGTTGCCATGCCTGATCCCCTTCTACGACCTCGGTATCTATATCAGCAAATGCGGTATTGGTCGTCATGATGCTCGTCCTATCAGTACGTTGCGTCCGCGAAGAAGCCATCCGTGTGACTGCAGCCCGTGGCCGTGATAATGGCTCCGGTGGAGGAGGAGGTCGAACTGGAGGTATTTTTATATTTAATGACGGTTTGGCTGGAAGTAGTCGTGAACGTGGTCTGCGAGCCGGGATCTCCGGCGATCCCGCGGGAGTTGTATTTTGAGAACGAGTAACCGCGAGGCTTGTGTATTCCTCGCTAGGATTGGGCGTATGAAAGGGGTTACTGGGTGAAATAGGATTTGGGGTAGGACTAGGAAATCGTGATGGTGGTGGCGCAAGATATGGACGGGGATCTGAGTTGCTAGTGGAAAATCTGCTGAAAGGCGCCGATATAACCATAGGACCAGTGTTCTTAGAACTTGATGTCCCTGGCTTATTTTTGTCGTCCCCTGTGTGGAGAAGTCCATCTTCAAGGTCTGGAAAATTTCGTTTGCGAAAATGTCTGGCGACGAGGATTGCGATGAAAGTAATCAGGATGGCCCCAGTAACGCCAACAATGATACCAGCAACCTGAGCACCGTTAAGAGTAGGCGACGGGGCAGGTGTAGATGAGGGAGCTGCGGGGTTTGTTGTAGCTGCCATTGAAATTGTACTGGATGCTGTCGGTGCAAGAATAGATGTTACTGTTCCGGTCTCTGTCCCTGTTGGTGATAAGATGATCGATGCTGAGCCTCCAGTTGGACTATCAGCAATGGTGGCTGTCAGAACAGAATGTGTATTAGGCAATGAGTTTGTGGTCTGATTACACATAAGATAGGCATCATGCTTCACGGAACCTAGCATTATATTAGTCAATGCCCTGGCAGACATACCGAGGCTTAGGGTTCATATACTCACCACCGGTGACATTTTCATTACACACTCCTCGTTGCACTTCTGCACTGATACATTGTAATGCTCCCTCTCCAAGCGTATATCCTGAACTTGACTTCGCTGTACATAGACATTCCAATGTTGGCTTCGATGCACATCCTGACGATGGAAAGTTGGCCTGTATGAAAGATTCCAAGCAGGGTTGGGCGCAAATCGGAACAAAATTTTGGATATCGTCACCGAGCTCGACGGCGGCGGTAAAGCCGACTAGTATCGTCGTCCATACTAATATATAACGGGCTAAAGAGTCGAAAGCCATCCTTCTCGAATATGTCTTGAGGATCTGTCAGTATAGGATATTCTCATAGCCGACCCCAGTTCTGTTTTAGTTTTATGGGGAGACACATTGCATCCTTTGATCTTCAGAGACTACTCATGAAATCATAGATCTCGAGGCCTCCCCGGTAGAACCAAAAAGAAGAGCAATGACGATAAAGTGTTTCAAGATAACACTTTTGTGGCCTCGACCTGGGTTATGCGATGTTATAAGGCCGACTGGACTAACCTATGAGAGAAGAAAAGGCTTAATAAGAAAGGACCAGCATTACAACATGTTGGTTCTGCACAGCCTACCAAGGAAGTGAAGGACGCCTAATCCAGGAAATTATATAATAGCAAAAGGGTAGGAAATGGAGAAGTACACGAAGGAAGGCAAGGATTAAGGAATTAAGGAAAAAAAGGAGCCTGTTAGAGAAGGTGATAACAAGCTAACAAGAGAATAGGAATGGTGATATGAAGGGGGCCGAGACTGGTCAGAAGAATAAGACCGTCCTGGGCCTCACCATGTATATGACCTTGTCTATGATGAACGATCGAAAGTGTAGTATCCATGCCGATGACGCTACCGGCGATTAAGCCACGTTATGAGCGACTAGGATTGGACGCCATTGACAAGTAATAGACACGAATGATACCTAAAACCTATCGAATGAGTAGCACTGATGGTTAACGTTCGAGGTACGAAAATACATCAGCAAGCACGCAGGCAGTTGAACCACAGCCATGGACCATGAAAGGCGGCCATGGCAATGCTTGCATGTTGACTTGCTTGCAGCTTGCTGGTTGCAGAAAGGTACCATGTTGTTCGCATGCGAAGTCGGGTTAATTACAGATACCATATATCCGGAATGGAGGTGAATGGCCGTGAGTCTATTGGTATTTTGGTACGATAGCTCGAAGTAGGAGCGTCAAGTGAGTAAATCAAATCCTGTGTAGGTGTAGGTTCAATAATTGCGAGTGCGAGTAGGATCGGGCTAAAGCAAGAAAGGATCAGCGAGAATAGTAATCCTCATTGGCTGACGTATTCCTTATTCGGAGGATAGATGTAGTTAGCTGTAGTTAGTTGTGCTAAAAAGGATGGCCCAGAACGTCCAGCGGCTGACTGGCCAGGTTTGCTGCTTGAGGAGACTGGAACCGACCTGGAGTGACAGGGTTGTATAAAGTTGTCGGCAAATATAGATCTGATGCTTATCTGCAGAATCACCTTAATAGCACCTTAGCAGCTTAGGGTCTTAGGCTGCACAGGTGCTATGTGCTGGGGTATTGGTAGGCTGAGATTTGTGAGGGTGTAGGGGTGTGCCACTTTATTTGCGCGCGCTTAAGAAATTTAGGTGGTCGGAATCTCACTGGCTGAAGGTGGGAGAGTTGTAACTTCTCTGGCGTCTCGCTTTCTCCTTCTCAACATGCGGGCGCTCGTCGTACCTTAACGGCGCGTACAGTAGTGCCTTACCTACCCGTACTGCCCGTACTATTGCCCGTACCTACTTCCCCCGTAGACTGTAGTACCTAAGTATCTGACGGTTCTTTCTACTTTATGTAATGCATCGCCAAGGTCGCACCTGCACGATGCAAACTGCAAACTCATCGCCACCACATCTCGATTGATGTATATGCGTATATGACTTATATATGCACTCGCGTCATGTATATACAATATACCTGCATACACCTATGATCTCCACATCGTGTGCATCTTGGCGTGGTTATCTTGGTTCAAAGCCTCGAACTCCGCATGCATACCAAAATGTCGGCATCAATCATAAAATCGAGGCAGTGTCGTATCGCTGCCGTCCAACCTCAACAACATCGGACAGCATCGGTATCCTTCTTAATTCGCAACCAAGGGATATCTTGAATTGGCCTCGTTGTTTCGGAATAACTGTCATCTCCTTGGACATGCGTTGCCGAACCCGGTGTATACAAATCACAAGGCGTTCCCTCGTGGCACGACTGCTCCTTTCGGATGCCCTTGCCGTTGACTGTTTTCCTCTTACATAAAGTTGACCTTTACCAAGGCCTCGTCAAATGGTCATTAGAGAGTCTAAAGGTCATCAAGGAGAACGTTGCAATCATCCCAATATCGCCGACTTGGCATACGCCCCTCGACTCCTCGAGAGGATTTATCTATAATCGATAGTTACCGACCAGTTCTCAGGTAGAACAAGCTTCCAGATTGCTAGCGCTCGTGCTGATGATACATACATCCAAGCGTGGTTGATTACAGGAGCAACCTGGTCTCGTGGCTACCTTCAATGGTGCTTAGCAGCTCCTAAATACCCGGGCTAATATGATATTCCGATATTCGCTTCCACATTCGCATCATATCCTTGATTTGAGAATCTTGGATCTTGATAATATTTAGACTTTGGATCCTCTTTTGCTTCCATGGCAATATTAGTCTCTCGTAAGACTTGTTTCGAAACGTGTTATGCCTGATTAAGGCGTAGCAAACACCCCAAAAGATCTTGGAAATAGGAAGGTCACATGAAAGGATCATTCTAGCGAGGTTCTCGTAGAAACAAATCAGATGAAATTCTGTTGGTAGGTATCTCGTCGTTTCTCATTAACTACCTCCACCCTTTTCCCCGTGAAAACGTTGTTTATTTTCGTTTCCGAGCAAGAATAAAGTGCCAACGGCTTGGTTTAGTAAAATCGCATCGCATCCCGTGATATGGCCTGCCATCACCAATATCTTCGCACGTGTAATTTAGCGTGCGAACCCTAGCTCCCCCCATCCACGAGAACCTTGTTCAGATAAAGTCATCATGTAGCCTTTTCCATAGCGTCTCCGCTGGGGACAAAATCGGCTTGGGCCCTACTCGATTTGATAACTTTCTGAACCTGTTGCTCCGTTTCATCCCAATCGTCGGGCTTTAGTGCCACCAGGTCAATCTCTAGATCCTGTGCAATAGCTCTGAGAGCGTCGAAGCTCTTCTTGTCGGAGATAAAAGTAATACTGACACCAACACGACCGAATCGACCAGTTCGTCCAATACGGTGGAGATAAGTTTCCGTGTCGTGCATGGCGTCTCCCATCCCCTTCATTGGAATGTCGTAGTTGATAACCATAGACACCGTAGACACGTCTATTCCACGAGCAAGGACATTGGTAGTGATCAAAACCTTGGACTTTCCACTACGGAAGTCTTCCAATAGCGTATCTCTCTCATTTCCTTCGTAAGCTCCATGCAGAACAGAGACTTTATGACCATCGTTTGTCATCCTCTGCTGAATTTGAGTGGCGCTATCTCGGGTCTAACAATATTAGCGTGTTAACGTCGTATCTACGTAGGTTTATTCAATCGGGAATTTACCTTGACGAAGATAATGGATGATCCGATGTTCATCAAGCCATAGAGCTTGCAGAGAATGTCGTACTTGTCTGACTCCGAGGGGCAATCCATATACATCTGCGAAATGCCCTTAACTGTGAGTTCCTGCTTCCTCAGTTTAATCATGTTGGCATTTGGCGCGAATACGGTTGCGTATTTCATAACCTTATCGGGAAAGGTGGCGGAGAATAGAAGAATTTGGATGTCCTTAGGTAGCATGTTCTTGACTCGGGTGCATTGATCACCTAGGCCTTGCTGATCCAGCATGTTGTCGGCCTCATCAATAACCAGAACTCGCAGCTGGGATATATCGAATTGGCGCCTCCGGATTAGGTCCATGACGGTTCCTGGCGTACCAACAACGACACTCTTGTCGACGCGACCTTCCCGAGGGATGGAGCCGGGAATAGCGGCTGCCACCGCTAGGTTAACCAGGAATTGGCCGATTGAAATAACCACACTCTGAATCTGGCGGGCCAATTCACGACTCGGGGCGAGGAGAAGCGCCTGGGGCTGTTCGGGCTTAGAATGGTCAACACGAGACAAGACTGTAGTGACGAAAGCTGCTGTCTTTCCGGTTCCTGACTGAGATTGGGCAATCATGTTCTGAGGTGGGTTGGAAAGCATCAACGGAAGCGCCTTTTCTTGGACCTTCGACGGCTTCGAGAAGCGCAAGGCCGACAATGCTCGGAGAACTTCACTAGGCCTATCAAGCAAAAAATTAACATATATGAATCCTCTACCCTTAATGCATTACTCACAATCCAAGTTCTTCGAAGGTATGCGCGGATCCAAGGGGGTTTTCGGTATCTTTCTGAAGATCGCTGAGCTGGACCTCGACATCGTAGGAATTCTCTTGAAGCCGGGATTCATTATCGGCGGGGGCGGGGGCGGGCTCGGCCATGGTGAATTAATGCGATTTAGAACGCAGCGAGATACGAATCCTTTGTTTGGTTGTTAGGTGGATTAGGAGGTCGAGATAATGATCGCGCGATCGAGATATAAAATCGAAATTGGTAAGACGGAAAGACCGAAGTTCACGATGTTTTAGTTCGCCGCCTAATAGGTGGGAATGGTTTTTTAAGACGATGTGAGAACAGAAGTATAAATGCGTCAAGATAGTTCGAGGCAGGAATGCCTAAGAGGCAATAGACGTGCCTAACGTCTGTTTAGAGAGGACGTAACTTTCCTACTACCGAGTAGGGATGTAGTTGGTGGTTTGTGACGTGACCTATGTCCTACAAACTGCAGTGCATCTGGTGATGATGACGATGATGTAGGTGTCAAGAATTGTTTCCATGGAGCTTTTTCGAAGCTGTCAATATTTGGTGGGGCCATGGTTTGTTAGTGGGGTAAATTCGACGAGGGGCAACTTCTTGAGGCTTCCTTCCCCTGAATGAGGCCAGCTGCAATTTCCAGCTTTATGAGTGGAACGGTCCGGCATGCTTAATAATACTATGGTCTAAGAAAGTGCCTATCCTACATAACGTATTACATAAGTCATCGACATCAAGACATTCAGATCACCATCGTACATTGTACCTTAGGTAAATTATCTCATACATAAAATAGAAATACTGCCTAGTAGGACTTAGTTGTCACGAGGCGGGGTTACGCCTGAGTACAACTAATGAAGGAGAGTACCGAACAGCCGGGCATTAATGCCCAGGTGGCAGGTGGCAGGTGGCCACTTAAGCGCAAAGCATAAAGTGTTAAAGTTGTAAAGTGGATTTAGTAAAGTGGGCTGTGCTGTGCTAATGTCGCTCTGCATTTCGCAACCCTTTGCATCATTCTCCTAAACCTAGCACTTACACCTACATTTACACCTACACCTACAATAACAATAGCTCTTGTGTCTTATTCATGACATGGAATTGTTATTTGAAACGATTTGCGCAAATCACTCATCCTACATATCAAAAACCTACCAGAAATCTGTCGCTTTTGTACCCGTATGCTTAAGGTCATTATCGGTTCTTTGTAATGGCTGAGGTGGAAATTGCACCGACCTTTGGTGCTGAGTTAAAGGTGTGTATTATCCATTTACCGCAAGTCTTACTCTACTCTTCCAACTACTACGTTACGTAGGCACTCGAATCGCCTTCGGATAGTCTCACTAAATAGTATCGTTCATTTGTTGTAGGATGGCTTTAAACCCGCTAGCGCCTGGGTAGCTAACGGTGTTGCCTGGCTTGACGATATACAAAATTTCTACCGAGAACGCGCTGTTATCGAGAAGGAGCACAGCGCAAGACTCAATGCCTTAGCTAAAAAGTATTTCGAGAAAAAAAATAAAAAGACGACTAGCTTGAGTGTTGGCGACACGCCTGCTATGACCCCGGGCTCTCTCGAAAATGCTTCTCTAACTATATGGACTACTCATCTTACAACACTCGAATCGCTAGCAACCGAGCACGAGAATTACGCGAACGAACTTGTCCAAAAAGTTGCCGAGCCCATGAAGCAATATGCTACTAAATTCGAGGAACTGCGCAAACGTCATGTCGAATATGCTACTAAACTAGAGGCCGAAAGAGATTCTTCCTATGCCGACCTTCGTAAAACCAAGACCAAATACGATGCTGTGTGTCAAGAGGTGGAGAGTAAGCGAAAGAAGACGGAGTCCTCTTTTGACAAGGCGAAGGCTCAAAGTCACTACCAACAGCAGCTACAGGACATGAATAATGTCAAGAACACCTACTTGATAGCTATCAACGTGACCAATAAGCAGAAAGAAAAATATTACCACGAATACGTCCCTGAAGTGTTAGACAGCTTGCAAGACCTCTCGGAATTCAGGACTATGAAATTGAATGCCTTATGGTCTACTGCGGCGAACCTGGAGATTACAATGCTGCAGCAGAGTAATTCCCTGGTCGACCACTTAGCTCAGGAGGTCACGCGAAACCAGCCACATTTAGATTCTATGATGTACATCCGACATAACATGGGCGCTTGGCAAGAACCAACTGACAAGATGTTCGAACCAAGTCCTGTATGGCACGACGATGACCTTATGGTTACTGATGAGATGGCCAAAGTTTTCTTACGCAATGTGCTTAATAAATCAAAGAGCCAACTAGGAGAACTTCGGCGAGAAGTAGACAAGAAGAGGAGGGAAATCGACGGTGTCAAGCGTGTTAAGCAAAGGATACGCGAAGGAAAAGAGAATAAGGACGAAGTACTGGTCGTGACGCAGATTTTTTCTATGCAGGAAGATTTGCATCAAGTTGATCGGAAGCGCCTCACCGCCGAGGTCGAAACTTCGACCATTACATCAGCTGTGGGAGATGTCACTCTTGGAGCTAAAAATCACAATTTCAAATCACAGACGTTCAAGATACCGACGAATTGCGACCTTTGTGGCGAAAGGATATGGGGTTTATCTGCAAAGGGCTTCGATTGCAGAGATTGTGGCTACACGTGCCATAGTAAATGCGAAATGAAAGTTCCTGCGGAATGTCCCGGTGAGCTATCCAAAGATGAGCGCAAGAAATACAAGGCGGAACGGCAAGCGGCAGCAGGAGCTCTGCTGAAACCTCCTTCCGGCCCGCCAGAGCATGTCGCAGAACTGCCAACTTTGAGCCGATCAAATACTATGAATTCTTTGAGCTCTGGATATGCAGCTAGCGCAAATCGGTCAATAAGCGGCTCGGTCGTAAGCCCGCGCTCTCCCGCTGAAGATGCACCACCTGAACCTGGCCCTCGTCCTGCTGTTAAAAAGAGTCGTCTTGTCGCTCCACCACCCGCCGCGTATATCAGTGAACTGCCTGGTAGCTCGGTCCCGGGCCTAGGCTCGGCCCCAGCTGCTAAGGCTGCCGAGCAAAAGGGCAAGATGCTCTACGCATTTGAAGCAAGCGGTGGCGATGAGGTCTCTGTTCCTGAAGGGCGAGAGATAGTTATTCTTGAGCCTGATGGTAAGTTTTATATTCCCCGTTTTAATTAATATCTACTTATACTATCATAGACGGGTCGGGATGGGTAAAGGTTCGAATTGGTTACAAAGAAGGAATAGTGCCTGCAAGCTACCTTGAGGTTTTCCCGAAGGCTATGGTTCCTCAAGACACAGGTTCTTCGTTGAACGAGCGGCCCGCATCCACTTATTCAAATTCGGGTTCGTCAGTAGGCACAGCTGGTGCTACCATCAAAAAGAAAGGACCAGCAGTCGCACCCCGTCGTGGTGCTAAGAAGTTGAAGTATGTTATCGCGATGTACGATTACGCAGCACAGAGCGACGCCGAACACAGTATGGCAGAGGGCGAACGATTTGTATTGATTAAGGAAGATCCGGGAGACGGGTGGGCCGAAGTAGAAAAAGGGGGTGCGACAAAGAGTGTGCCTGCAAGTTACGTACGGAGCGCATAATCTCAGCGAAAAAACTAGCTATCTAGGTACCTTACGTTTCACTACCCGCATTAGCATCACTGGAGGTTCATGGATGATGAAGTATATGAAATAGCATTGGATAGACGGCGACATACATATACATGTAACGAGCGATGTTGATAAGTCAGAAGGTCGGGAATACAACGTACTATACGAATACGCCGTCATTTTGCAACGGTTAAAACTATCTAGGTGAAATAAATGCCCGGTGGACCGTACTACCGGTTTGATCTAGGTGGTTTATTTCCCCGGTTACATGGATGGCAGAGTGTACTCAGCCTCATCTAAGACCAGTCCCCTGAAGAACCAATAGCAGATGGGCTAACAAACTTAGCACAGCTACGATGCTTCGGGCCTAATTGAAATACCATACATTTGTTTATCACTGATGCTGTTTGAATACCTGGTATGGATATTTATCGAGGATCTAAGTTGTGGTAAGGTAGCGAATCTAATTGCTGTAAAACCGGGGTTGAGATCAAGGATCACCACCATTTCGTGGGGACCCCTCGACAAGCTAGAGACGCTTTTTCTTCCGTTGAAGGGCTTCTAATTATCGTTGAAATATGCTTAATGTATGGGGAATGGTAGGGTACCCAGGTAGTATCCCATTCGCTCATCTAGGGTGACGCGTCACGGATCGACCATATTGGGATATGAGAGGATTGACTGACGCGGCGGATCCTGGTTTCGGTGCCACGAGCAAAATGGATATCGGTTGCCTGAGCTAGCCCTCTATGTATCAAATCCCTATTCTAAATTTGACTTCATAGAAACCTTGGAATATAATGTACTGAACGGCTACGGTGAACAGGGGTCGTGGTTTATGCCGAACCGTGATACGCCCTCATGACTTCACGGGTGAGATCCTTGGCGGATAAGGCTTTTGGGAATTTATCTTGAAAAAAAAAATATTGCCACTACTAGAAGGTAAGCACAACAGACGGCAAGATCTGGGACTCATCTTAAACAACATAGGTATACCTAATAAAGGCTACTTCAACTTAGGCATTGTTAGGTGAAAGTAAACTAGCGGAAGCACATAAGAACATGGGGACCGTTGTGGCGATCTGGGTGAACTTGCCACGGAGGCTCCGCTATATTAAATCGCTGCTGTCGGCCGGCCCACTACGTATGCCATGACGCTACTTCGTCCGGGACTCTTTCATAGACTAGGAAGGCTGCCGGGTCACGACCAATATGCTGGTAACTCCAAGGTCCAGCTATGTAGGCATCTTTCCCAGAGTGTCGTGTTATGAGGCTGAGCCAGGGTACCGGGTCAATTAATTCACGTAGCTGCGTAGGTCAATACCACAATCTTGAATATTATGGATATATGTTATAAGTATTCGAAGCCTTTTCCTGTGTGCTGAGGTTTTCTGGCCCGTGGGGATTTCACACATCAAACTTGACATTCGTTTTTTTCGTATATTCCCTCGTTTTCGCAGTTCGAATTCAAAAACTCGGAAGATGAAGAGGTCTTGTGGCCTGTCAGCAGTCGCCGCTTTGGCGACGGCTTCGAACACGACGACCTCGTCTATCTCCGATGTCTGCACGGTATCTAACGTGCAAGCTGCCCTCCCAGCCAACGGAACTTTGCTTGGAATCGACTTGATCCCCTCGACGGTCTCGGCTAGTATTGTCTATAATGCAACAACTGGTTCCAGCGCGGGTGGTTCAACGACGGGTAGCTCTACCTCGTATACTTACTGCAATGTGACAGTTCAATACACCCACACCGGCAAGAATGACACCGTTGTCGTCAAGTATGCCTTCCCGGAACCTTCCGACTTCAAGAACAGATTCTACGTTGCCGGTGGAGGCGGTTTCTCGCTATCTAGCGATGCCACCGGTGGTCTCTCCTACGGTGCCGTCGGTGGTGCTACCGATGCTGGATACGACGCATTCAGCAACAGTTACGATGAGGTGGTCCTTTATGGCAATGGCTCTATCAACGTAAGCAACATCTTGAATTCTCCCTCTCCTCCTTTTTGGCTCGTTTGGGGAGTGAAAATTTCGCTCCTGATACATACCTAAAATCCCCGGAACTCTTCCTCTAAGATGAAACTGCTAATTAAAGAATATTACAGTGGGATGCGACGTACATGTTCTCGTACCAAGCTCTAGGCGAGATGACTCAAGTCGGTAAGCCTCTGACCCGAGCCTTCTACGGCCTGACCGACGACGCCAAGGTGTACACCTACTTCGAGGGTTGCTCAGACGGTGGCCGCGAGGGTATGTCCCAGGTCCAGCGCTACGGCACCGAGTACGACGGGGCCATCACCGGTGCCCCCGCATTCCGCTTCGCACACCAACAAGTCCTACACGTGTTCTCGTCTGCGGTCGAGAAGACGCTCGATTACCTGCCCCCACCATGCGAGATGGAGAAGATCGTTAACGCGACGATCGCTGCCTGCGACCCGCTCGATGGCCGCACCGATGGGGTCGTCTCGCGGACCGACCTGTGCATGCTGAACTTCGATCTCTCTTCCATAGTCGGCGAGTCATACTACTGTGCGGCTGAGAACAGCACCTCCCTCGGCTTCGGCTTCAACAAAAAGCGGTCCACGACCCTCCATCCCATGAACATGCGCACCCACAAACGCCAGGCCCAAGGTAGCACCACCAGTTACCAGCCGGCTCAGAATGGCACCGTGACAGCCGAGGGCGTCGCCGTCGCCAAGGCCATCTACGGGGGCCTGCACAACAGCGCCGGTGAACGCGCCTATCTCTCCTGGCAAATCGCTTCCGAGCTTGGCGACGCCGCGACCACCTACAACAGCGACACCGGTGCCTGGGAGCTATCCATCCCCAGTACAGGCGGCGAGTACGTAACGAAGTTCATCCAACTCCTAGATCTTGACAACCTCTCCGACCTCGACGGCGTAACCTACGACACCCTCGTCGACTGGATCAACACCGGCTTCGTGCGGTACCTCGACAGTCTCCAAACCACGCTGCCGGACCTAACCCCGTTCCAATCCTCAGGCGGCAAACTGCTGCACTACCACGGAGAATCCGACAGCTCGATCCCCGCCGCCTCCTCAGTGCACTACCACCAATCCGTGCGATCAATCATGTACAGCAATCTCACCGACACCGAAGCACAGACCGCCATGGCCGACTGGTACCAATTCTACCTCGTCCCCGGCGCAGGGCACTGCGGCGCGAACTCGCTGCAGCCCGGTCCGTACCCGCAGAACAACATGGCCGTCATGATCGACTGGGTCGAGAACGGCGTGCAGCCGACTCGGCTAAACGCTACTGTGTCCTCCGGCGCGAACGAGGGCGAGACGCAGATGTTGTGCCAGTGGCCCGAACGCCCGCTTTGGTCCGGCAATACGACGGATTTTGAGTGCGTTAAGGATAGCGCTTCGGTTGAGAGCTGGACGTACACTTTTCCGGCGTTTAAGATGCCTGTGTACTAGATGATCGACGGTCATCTGAGAAACGGTAGATGTGTCTGGTAAACAAGAGGAAAAATTGCTTAGGTAAACAAAAACGAGGATGGCATTTTCTGGTGTAATTGCATATGGGTATGTTGGATGGACTTCATCGTCGGCTAAGGGGCATTTTGCTGTGGAGATACCAATAATATGAAAACTTCGATATTTTTCGTTCTTACATTCGTTTACTAGCAATGAGAGCTAGTCATATTTTTATGATTCCCCCAACTATATGTGTTGTCTGGGTTGGTGACATTTGTGTGATTTCCGTGATCTGTTTGATGACTCAGGACCTTGATTACGTATTTAAGCCCGGAGCTCCGGTGGTGACACGGATTTCATAAGCAATTTGCTTATTCATATCTTATGTAAGCAGCAATTTACCCTCGTTGACCTCGGAGTCCTACATTTTATCATTGGAGCAAAATGTAAGTAGAAATTGAACCGATGGATATACCAGGGACCGTTGAGGATAAAGCTTCACAACCAAGTTCCTAAGCGATTTAAATGAGAAAGAGTGGACATCGAGCTAAAAAGGGGTTAAATTCAAGGTTTGCAGCGTCATCCTTACCTAAGCATCGCTGACTAAGGAGAAAGCATCCTCCCAGCCAATCAAATAACACCAAACTCATTACGTTATAGAGCATTAGTCATCTTATCCGAGCTAAATGCGGAGGTCGCTCACTAAGACCAAATCCCTCACTACTAAGTAGCACCTAGATATTGTCCAACTTCCACATCCTCTCTCACAATATCTCATAAATTCCCAGCATCTCAACACCGTCAAAATGGTCTACACAATAGTCGTGCACCTGCGCTCCAAGCCCGGCGCGGAAAACATCGCCAAAGTCCACGCCAAGCTCAACGAAGCCTCCGCTGTGTACTCCAAGGACAAGGAGACCATATCCTGGTTCGTCAGTAAGTCAAACTCAGCCTCCATCCCCTCCAAAAATATCCAAAATCACAGAGTAATGTCCTAACTTCCCCAGTGCAATCCGTCCACGACCCCCAAGACTTCACAATCGTAGAACGGTACGAGAACGAAGGGAGCCAGAAGTACCACCTGGAGAACCCTTACTGGCAGACCTTCGACCCGTTCGTGAAGCCGCTGCTAGAGAAGCCCATGGACCTGCGGCGCTTCGAGGAGCTCGTCCCGGTTTCCGGCGAGGAGGCATTGCTGAAGTAAGGGGATCGTCGCTTACCTAATAAGGTGGCGTCTGAGGGCTTGATGAGTAAAAAGTGAAAAGCAAAGACTCGGGAGTGCATTCTATAGATGAGTTTGCTGAGTAAGCTATGGTAGTGGGATATGTACTGTAGAAGGCTCGAAAATTAGGTAGAGATTAGTATCGTCCCTGATAATTTACGCCTGTGATGATATATTCTGCTTGACTCTTAAGTTCATTCTTATTCTCATTTCCATTTCATTTATATAGTTACTATTTAAATACCGAATAAGCTTATTCCTCAGTTACCAATATCCAATACCTACTACACCGTCCAAAACCAGCAGCCACACCATCATGACCTCGACTTCGGCATCTTCCTCTCCTCCATCTCCTCCAGATCCTTCTTCTTATGGAAATGCGGCGCCACCTCATTAAGCCACTTCGGCACGATCGGCATGCAGTTCCTCATATACTCCTTATTAGTCAAGACAAGCTCATAATACAACACCATTTTCTCGGGCGGGTCTGACTTCATCAGCACGGAGCTGGGGTGGATCCACACGGTGGTGTTGTTCTTGACCGTGCGGTAGCTGTCTCCGCTGCGCTGCAATTTCGCCGCATTGGGGAAGAAACCCGCTGTGAGTGCTTTCTTAATTGGGTCGATGTTGGCTGCTCCGCACGAGCTCGGTGCAACTTCTACACGCTCGCATAGTTTGGCTAGCTGGTCGCGGACATCGCGCGCGCGCGTGAGTGAGCGCTGTTGGAGGAAGTTCTCGCGGGACCAAATAGGTGAGAAGTCGCTGTCGACCCACTGATTCCAGATATTTAGGAGCGTCAGGTGGTCACCGCCTTCCTTAACAGTAAAGCGATTGCGGGCGCTGTCTGCGTGTATCTTCTTGTCTTTTGGCCGGAAGAATAATGCTGACGCCTCACTTAACATTGACACTATTGATAATACCTCATCGACGCACTTGAATTTATCTGCGGCAAGGACAGCCTTGGCAAGCATCGGATCTGTGGGGAACTCAGCCATCTGCCTTCCAACCTTGGTAAGTTCACCTTTATGATTGAGGGCTTGAAGAGCAAAAAGTTGGTTCAACGCTCCGATTAGAGATTCGGTTGGGGGCGGGTCCATGAATTCAAACTCAAGGAGTTGATTAATGCCAAGAGATTTTAACAATAGAACGACGCTGTTGAGGTTAGTTCTTTGTATTTCTGGCGTTGTAGATTCGTCCATCTCGTTCTCGTAGGCATACTTGGTGTATAGACGAAAGCATTTACCAGGAGCGACACGACCGGCACGTCCCATACGTTGGTTTGCGGACGCTCGCGAACACGGGACGACAACTAGATTTGACATGCCCGTTGCTGGGTTGAAGACGTTCTCCTTCACGTACCCGGGGTCGATCACGTAGATAATGCCATCGATTGTCAAACTCGTCTCGGCGATGTTGGTAGCTAACACCACCTTTCGAGAGCCCTTGGGAGTAGGCTCGAAGATCTTGCTCTGGAGATCCGAGGGAAGGTTGGCGTAAATGGGACAGACAATTAACTCCTTCACTCGATTTCCGAGCTTTCTTGCAGTGTCGGTAAGTTGCTGTTCTGCAGCTTCGATTTCATCTTGACCTGTTAAGAATACTAATATATCACCCGTGCCTTGGGTGGAATGGATTTGGAAAACAGTCGTGATGGCAGCTGTCAAGTAGTTGGCTTCTGGAGCTGGAGTGTAGTAGACATCGACATCAAACTTTCGTCCCGGAATGTTGAAGATCGGACAATCGTCGAAGTACTGAGAAAACTTCTCAGCATTCATCGTAGCTGAAGAAATAAGGAGTTTTAAATCCGGTCGTTCCCTAGCTAAATCCTTAACTAAGGCAAGCAGGATATCGGTATGTACGGTCCGTTCGTGGGCCTCGTCGATCATCAAGGCTGAATAGCCCGAAAGATCTGGTTCCGTCATGAATTCTCGGAGTAACATACCGTCTGTCATGTATTTTATGACAGTTTTGTCGCTAGTTGCATCTTCAAACCGAATTGAATAACCGACCTCTTGTCCACATTTAACACCCATTTCTTCCGCAACACGAGCTGCTACGCTCATCGCGGCAACTCTTCGAGGTTGCGTACATCCAACCTTGAGGCCGCCTTTTGTGTAGCCGGCCTCATGAAGATATTGGGGTAGCTGAGTAGTCTTTCCACTACCAGTTTCACCGACAAGAACAAGAATTTGATGTGTCTCGAGGGCCTTGATAAAGTCATCCCGGTATACATAGATCGGTAGACTTTTTCGGGTCTCCTGGATAGATAAAGCCTTGTGTTCCGCAGCATCAAGTTGCGCTTGTAGAAACCTCTCTTCTTGTGTCAACGCCTTCCTATCACCAGTCATCGTTGTGACCTGGGTCCACTGAATGTACTGATCCGGGTCAAGGACAGGAGCATATTGTTCATCGTATTCTCTTTCTGCCCTATTTATTTGGGCTTTTGCCTTTTGAGTCTGCTCCCTCTCCCACTCCTCATGCTCAGTGGTAAACTTCTCTTGACCATATTCGTCTCTCTCTACGTATCGTTTGTACAGCGCATCCTCCTTTCGTTTTTTGTCTATTTTCCCCTTTTCCGTGATATAGTCTTCCGGCATATAGTATCCATCACGATGGTCGTCGATTCGTAATCGTTCCTCGGCTAATCGTAGAATTTCTCGATTCTTGGCAAACTCAGCTCTTTCTCGTTCAGACAACCGTACCCCACTCCTTAACTCTTCAGTCTCTTCCGCAACTTGTTTTCGTAGTAATGCCAGTTTTTCCGTTTCCCTCTTTTTCAGGTAAGCTTGTCTCGAGTGTTGGCGGAAGTCCGACATAGCAGCTTTATTCGTAGCGAGTTCCTCAGCTAGACGTTGTCGTTCCTTCTCTGCTTTACCTTCGGATTTTGACTTGCCTCCATCTCTCTCCTTTAGTCGCTTCGCAAAGGCCTCTCTCTCAGCAATATCGCGCTCAGTATCCGATTCGGCGCCACGGTCCTCCTCATCGCGTTCAGCATGACTTAACTTCACGCGTTTACGTTCCGATTCTTTAAATTCCGGTTCTTCATCACGTCCGTCATCGGAAGGCTCAGGTTCACTTCCTGGCTCTTCATCACCCCATCTGTCATCAAAGTCATCCTGGCCGCGCTTTCGTATCGCCTTCGATTTCGGACCATGTGTATCTCGGCGAGGAGAACGACTGCGACTTCGGGCACGATGTGACTTATGATGTGAATCATGACGAGAGCTGGATTTCTTATCTTCTTCGCGACGTCGATGTTTGGACTTCTTCTCGACCTTTTGTGGACCTACTTCGTCCGTGTCCATAGGGACGAAGGCATATCGTTTGCCGGTCATAGTGGGTTTTCGCGGTTGCCGCGGTTGCCTACCAGGTAGCTAATGAATGACCAAGATTGCTATGACGATAGCTAGAAGGATTCTAGGACCTGTTACTGAGAACTTAAGGAAATAAGTTAGAATTTGAATCCATCTAGGGGTAACGGTAAAGTCGTTGAATCGTAATGTTGGTGATGAGGATGGTGACTCGTGTCGCGGTTGAAGCTTGAAGGTCTGCGTGGTTGCTATGTATTTTTTAGAGTCATTGGGTCAAGTGGAGTCATCGAATCGTTGAACCCAATTAAATCACTAACCGTTGCCAAGAATTACAGGTACCCCCACTGTATAAGGTTAGCAGGGCTTATCTTATCTGAGTGGGTCATTTTCTCAACTCAGTGGCTTTTTACCACGTTGACACGCTGGTATTTTTCGAGGGTTGACGCTACAAGAAATTAGCTGCGTCAACGGATCTTTAGATTCCTTCTAAACCATTTCTAAACCATCCAAATAAAGTTCCCACACCATATATCCCAAAACACCACGTTGGCCAATTCTCAAGTCCCCATGTTGGTCAATTTACATCTATGGGAGAATTCTCGTTCATTGGTGTTACCATCTCACCCATAAGATCACCTATATCTTAATCTCATATGAATAGGTTCTTTCTCGACCAGCTTTAGAATAAGACACCTGTTCATTATTCAGGATCGGAGGTTGAATATCCAAGCTTGCGCAAGCCGCCATTTTTTGGCACGATGCTTTTACGATGGGCAACCTTTGGGTTGTTCTTTCTTCTAGTGCAGCTTGCTTTCTGCGCCGAAGATTTCTACAAGGTCCGTCTCATCTGGTCGCCGAAGCTCTAACGATTTATCGCTAACTGTCCTACTATTAGATCTTGGGAGTAAATCGTGATGCGACGGACAAGCAAATCAAGTCGGCATATAAACAGCTAAGCAAAAAATATCACCCAGACAAGAACCCGTAAATCTGCCCCACCATTACTACTTGCAAACCAGCACCAGCTAATGCGTCTTAATCCAGAGGTGACCCAACAGCCAAGGACAAATTTGTCGAAGTCTCCGAAGCCTACGAGGCACTGGCAGATCCAGAATCCAGACAGATATATGATAAGTACGGGCATGAAGGACTGAAGCAGCGCGGTCAAGGCGGCGGACACCACCATGACCCCTTCGACCTATTCAGTCGATTCTTCGGCGGCGGAGGCCACTATCAACGAGGCCAGCCGCGCGGCCACGATATAGAGGTCAAGGTCGGTATCAGCCTGCGCGACTTCTACAATGGCCGCGACACCGAGTTCCAGTGGGAGAAGCAGCAGATTTGCGAGGAATGCGACGGATCTGGTTCGGCCGACGGCGAAGTTGATACCTGCGGCCACTGTGGCGGTCGCGGAGTCCGAATTATCAAGCACCAGCTAGCACCTGGCATGTTCCAGCAAATCCAGACTACTTGCGACGCCTGCGGTGGTCGCGGCAAGACCATCAAGCACAAGTGCCCGGTCTGTGGTGGAAACAGGGTTATTCGCAAGCAGACCACCGTGTCCTTAAAGGTTGAGCGCGGTGTCGCGCGCGACGCGAAGATCGTCTATGAGAACGAGGCCGATGCTAGCCCCGACTGGATCGCCGGTGATCTCGTCGTCAATTTAGTCGAAAAGGAGCCTGACTTCGCGGAGAACCCCGATCTAGTGGACGGAACATTCTTCCGCCGCAGAGGCAACGACCTCTTCTGGCGCGAGGTGCTATCTCTCCGAGAGGCCTGGATGGGCGATTGGACCCGTAACATCACACATCTAGACGGCCACGTCGTGAGGCTAGGGCGCAAACGCGGTGATGTCGTACAATCCGGACACGTCGAGACGGTCGAGGGTGAGGGAATGCCGATATGGAGTGAGGACGGGGACTCGGTATATCATCAGTACCAGTTCGGCAAGTTATACGTCGAGTACGTCGTGATAATCCCGGACCAGATGGAATCCGGAATGGAGAAGGAGTTCTGGTCCGTATGGCAGAAATGGCGGGGGAAGCTCGGCATTGATCTACAAAAAGACAGTGGCAGACCGGAGGTGTCCGGTCCCGGAGCTAAGGAGGTTAAAGATGAGTTGTAATGATACCTGACCCCTTATACCATAGACATAGAGATGCAATAGATGCATGCAATGTGTAAACGATAACCTGGGAGATTTCGCACGGTGTGTGATAGACGGCTTACTGACAAATAATGGATTGGAAACATGTGCTCAAGCTACGAAGTCAGCTTAGGGGAGCCAATCATCTTGGACCGAACTAAAGCTGAATATGGGGATGAATTGAGCTATCCCTGTCAAGACGTCTGGATCGCGTATATAGTGAGTCAACCCTACTTTTTTTTCCTAGGTGCGACTAACGGCTAGGTAGAGATATAAATACGACCCGACACCCGCCCCGATTCCGAGCCTTGCCCCCTCCCCCAATCCCCCATCCTCTTCCCTCCTTCCCTCTTCCCACCCCCTTTTCCCTTCTCCCCCCTTTTCACCAACCCACCACCACCACACACCATGTCCACCTCATCCCCCCCCCAACCCACTCTCCTCACCCACCTATCCTTCCTCAAAGAATCCATCCTCGGCCTCCTAAGTCCCTGGGGCTTCCTCTCCCTCTCGGCCTCCTTCCTCCCCCGCACAATCCTCTCCCTGATCCAACAGCAACGCTACTCCGTCCTCTTCTCCCCAGCCCGTTTACAGGAGGCCTGGTTCACTGAATTCTGGACCGGCCTCGCCGGGCCCAATATCCGCCTCAACGCAGGCGAGCGCGTGGTCCCTCTGCTCCGCGGGTATGCCTCGCGCGGACAGGTGACGGAGACCCAGGTCGGGCCCGCGATCGCGGGGACCGTGATTGAGGTCGGCGCCGGCGCGGGGCTGTGGGTTGATGTGTACCGGCAAGTCGCAGACGTGCGGGCCCCAGACGCAGACGAGGGCGTTGAAGGGGTGACGAAACGCAAGAATGTAAATAATGGTAACGGTGAGGGCAAAGGCGTAATCACGCGCATCTACGGCGTAGAGCCGAACCCGAACCAGCACCCCCACCTACATCGCGCGATCGCCGCGGCCAAGCTCGAGGACGTGTACCAGATCGTGCCCGTGGGGATCGAGGATCTGGACAACGGGGCTATGTGGGACGGACGCGTGGAGAAGGGGAGCGTGGATTGCATTGTTTCGATCCTGTGTCTGTGCAGCATCCCGGAGCCGGAGAAGAATATCCGCGAGCTGTACTCGTATTTGAAGAAGGGTGGGCGGTGGTATGTTTTCGAGCATGTCCGCTGCGAGCATGGCTTGTTTATGCAGTTTTACCAACGTGAGTTTTCCCTTCCCCTTTTATGTTTTTTCTATCGGTTAGGTAGTAAGGTGCGGCGGTGAGAAGGTGATGGGAACGAAAAGAGGATTAAATATACTGTACTAACGTTCGCTTCGACAGGTTTACTCAATGTGTTCTGGCCGCACTTCATTGGCGGGTGTCTCCTGTGCCGACCGACGGAGAAGACGATTCGGGAAGCAGGTCCCTGGGACAGCATTGACGTCGGGCAGCCTGCGACAGAGCCATGGTACCAAGTCGTTCCCCACGTGTTGGGCGTGTTTACAAAATAGAATACCATAGCTGCAAGAATACCAAATGGCGCAATGGAGCAATTTACTTGGGCGTCAGAGCATTTCTTAGTTTACTACTCTACGATGGAACGGTTTCATATACACATATCTACCTGTTAGTAGCATTTGATGCACTTTTTTCGGATAGGTTCAATTTTATATCAAAACTTATTTTTTTTTTATCTTTTGCCATAGACTAGGTAGGTGACTAGTGTACAATTATAACAACTGCCTTATTCCCTCATCCCATTGCTAGTCAAACTGTTCCATCTTATAAACCCCTGTGTCCCTCCTGAGCAGATGTCACGTTATTCCTATGGTTATGACCGTGTTTCTGGTCGCCATGTTCAACCACAGGTTCGCCGATGTGTTGTCGCAAAGTAGAGGGAGGTACCTGAGCAGCGTCCGTAGGATCTTTGGCAGAATAGTTCCCACTTCCGGAAGTTGTTAACTAATTTTTCATTCCGATACGAAAAGCAGGCGAAAGCAATGTTGCGAAGCGGTCAATGCGTACTTACGACTGGTAAGTCTTGTTGCCGCCGAATGTCTTGGAATTGTCCAGGTCCGAGTCAACTCGTGGGTCTAATTTGTTCATCATGTCGCTCTTGTGAGGACCGGCGGTGCCGGGAGCGGGACCCGGGCCGGAATTTGCTGCATGCGTTCCGGTTACCCCTTGGCCGTGAGTACCGGTTGCTCCCGTGCTATACCCGTGCGTTCCGACAGTGCCATATGTGCCGGTATTGCCATGTGTGCCGGTAGTGCCATGTGTGCCGGCAATACCGTGTGTACCAGTAGCACCGTGGGTGCCGGTAGTGTTATGGGTACCAGTAGTGCCGTGGGTGCCGTGGGTGCCAGCAGTACCATGATTCCCATGAGTGCCGTGAATACCGGTAGAACCAGTAGTTCCGGTAGTATCATTTGTGCCGTACCCAGTACCTCCCGTGGAGCTATTGAAGTGGTTGCCTGTAGTTCCCGTAGTTCCCGTGGTGCTCCCAGGAGTGTAACCGGCACCCGTCGTTCCGGCAGTGCCAGAGCTGCCGTATGTGTTTCCGACAGTACGGCTGGCATCTCGGTCGCTGTCTACGCCTGTATCTGAGTTAGTGATGACATCAAGACCAATGCAAGAGGGAGACATACGAGGATCGACGGCGTTGGCTAGACGAGAGTTGTGTGGGCCAGAAACTCCTTCGGGTCCACTACCACCGTAGTCACCAGCGGCGTTGCCTGCATAGTGACCGGATCGGTCAGAGTCAATTCTGGGATCAACCTTGTTGGCTATGTCTGATCTATGAGGCCCTGAGGTTGTCTGCCCCGTGGTGCCTGTGTAGCCTGTAGTGCCCGTAGTGCCAGTTGTACCCGTAGTTCCGTGGGTGTAGTTACCACCAGATGTGTGTGTTTGAGAGCCGCCAATGGTCGAGCCTGGCGCAGCGCGGTGGTCGCGGTCGCTGTCGACTCTCGGATCGGCGGCATTTCCAACACGGCTGGTGTGAGGTCCGTGAGTGCCTTCAGAGGCACCATGAGTGGTGGAAGAGTTATGGTTGCCGGATACGGCATCCTTGACCTTGTTGATGACACTAGACATATTGGAAAGTAATTGCGAGTATGATATTGAATGAAGTAAAGCTGCTAGTGTTAATTATTGAGATTGACTCTTAGGTTGTTGTTTCTGAGTTTTGAGTATAGTAGTTTGATGATGATGAATGAAAGGAAAACATGAAGCTTGAGCTGAGGTATGTCAACTTCTTATATGACATGAACCAGGCAGTGCTTGCTCGTTATTCTAATGTGCCATGTTACTTCCTCAGTTTAACATAGAATGTCATCATCGATAATCTCGATCAAAAGCCGTAGCTTCTTGTGTGTCCCGAGCTGTATGTAGATACACCTTCAATGAGTTAGTTAAAGGATTATACCCAATCATTACAAATTGCGAAGCTAGACAGTTGGATGAAAGCCTCTCTTACTTCATCCGTCGTCATCACCCCTGATTTAGGAAGTGCCATCCTGGACAGACTGCTCGAAGAAACTTACCGGAAGATCTAATCCGGGTAGAGCAAACTCAAAAGTACCTAGCGTTCAGACCATCTGTGGCTACCCGTCATGTAGCGGCCCCGACTCATCTACCTCGGGGCTTTTACTTGCATGTACATCCGTATATACGGATGTTTGCACCTACCTTCATGTACCTGCCTAGGGTCTTGTGGCTCACCTGTCGGCGTCATAGTAGAGGACAAAGTACCTGGAATTGTGGCGGTCATCTCCAAACAGTTACCGGTAGACAGGTAATATGACGATATATGGAGAGTTAGAAGAGTCCGTCCATTTCGTCTAATGTGCTCAGTAGACGAAAATAACCCGATTGGTTTGGCAATTTTAGCATTCAGCTTTTGGTCCGCATTCTACTATGTGAACCTAACTGCCTGACTGCCGACATCCGGGGGGTCTCGTCATTCACGTTGTTAAGAGAAGGAAGTTGTTGCGTAGATTCTTTCCCTTTGGCCTGTACAAGGTATTACTGGTTGAAATTGTGGCTGGTGATACTTTTGAAGTTACACAATGTGGCGTCACCTCGATCGTTTAGCCTCATTTGCCCCACCGATGCTGTCATAGACTCCTGGGAGTATGTAGCTGCCAAGTTATCAACTTCTTCTCTTTTCTTTGTGCAATTCTCGTCAAATTAGATTTCTATATGGACGCCTTTGTTTCAACTGCAGCCGATCGCGAGCAAAGATCTAGGCAGGCTGTCATATTGTGGTAATACTTACATCGATGTACTCAAAGTATTTTCTGGGTCGACGGGGTGCCACGTAATCTACGATTGATCTTTCGTTATTGCTAGACACCCGACCTAGGCAAAAATAATAAAATCCACAAAAATACTAAAATCAAGGGAATCGGTTTGGCGATTTGCCTCAGCTAGGTTGGTACCTACATTAGATCTGATTACCAGGGGAATTTCATATCTAATGTCGTCACATTTCTAAAAATTCTTTCTGTGAGCAAATACTTTAGCAGGGATTACCTCTTCCAGTTAATAATTGCTTATGTAATACGCTAGCTTAGTAAGGTGCACGTAAACTTTGAAGTGTAAGACGCGATGTCCAAATTGATTCTTTCCACTTCATCAACCTCATTAACTGACGCCTTCAAGTGCTTTCACGAATCACCTCAAATCAATCTCATTAGATGATTATCGATGGGGGAAAATGCCCAACCCCTAAAATGTGCAGCTCAATCAGCTGGGGTCAGCAGATAGGTGCCTACCTCCTAGGTATTCAAATTGCCTTGCAATGCGCCCTACAATTTGCCCTGCCAGCCTTATCCCGCGGGAGCCTTATTATGCGGTGGCCACCATTTTAAGTCGACAATAATATGCAGGCATCACCAACACGCAGATGCATGTCTAACAATGCCCCTTTCCACCTAGGGAACTTGGGTGTGAAGACACTATGGATCCACTCTCAATAACCGCTAGCATCATCGCCCTTGTGCAAGCAACCGTGGGAATTACGAAAGGCGTCAATTTCATTCGTTCGTTAGGCCAGATACCACTTGAGTTTAGCGGGCTGGTAAACGAGCTTTCAACGTTGCAGGCCGTAGCTCAACAGGTTCAGACAGTGCTACGAGAATTCGAAAGCCCATCATCGATAACGAATTCAGATCCTCGCCTACAAGCACTCGATCCTGGTCTCCTCGTTTCTTTAAAAGACGAGTTGGCTCAGACCACCAAGGATCTAAATGCCATATGCGGTCGGCTGAAGACGCCTAAGAAACGGAGCGCAAAGCGGTGGTGTAACGATGAAGAAGACATTTCGAAGTGGAGATGGCAAAAGGAAAAACACAATATTGTGAGACTTCAACAGAAAGCCAGACAGGCCCGGCAGAATCTAAGTTTATGCTTTACAGCATTTATCACTTCTCAGACGTACATACCCAACCTGCCAACATGTCCAGTAGCATGGCAGCACCGAACTAACAGCATCCAGACACCGGCAAACTAAACTCAGCATCAACATACAAGAATTATTGTGTACCTCAACGCAGAGCATTTCTTTGCTTCAAAAACAATCTAATTTGGCGCGGGAGGAAAACCTAGCACTCCACAAAGAGCTCCAAGGCTCTATTGCTCAGCTTAACCAAGGCCTAGCTGGAGCCATCCCCACACCCACAGCCACAGCCAATCCCATCAAAGTTGAGACCCAGCCCAAGACACCTAGTTCAATACCGATGGTGTACTTCAACGCTTCTCTTGTACCAATTTGTTCGCTCGCTTGCAGGTGTAGTTGCCATCAAACTAAGCGTTTGCAGTCACCGGTGTGGCTTAGTTCCTTGATTGGCCATCTCTTCCTGGAGTACAATGTAACACCTCTCGTTCAGCACGTTGAATGCGATGCAACCGCATGTAAAGCAAAGGCCCCGTCATCTCTACGACTATATTATGCCTTCCCTCGATGGCTTTTAGCACGTTCGATCGAGCTCGCTATTTCTTGGTCCAGCCTCACTGGGTCTGGTTCATCTCTTCATCTCCGGATTCCTAGGGTCATAAATACTCATAACATATGGCGAGCTATAGAGTATGACGACATGAACTGGGTCCGAATTAATATGGCGAATAAGAACATACTCCCTACAGATGTCGCCACGTGGGGAGGGTCGCTTGCTATGGTAAGGGAAGGTTTCAATCCTACATACGACGAAGTTAACTCTAATTTATAGATGGCTATGTTCTATTGCCGATCTGAAATGGCCAATTATTTTATTCAACAAGGTTGCGACTTCTATTCGAAGGATGTGTTTGGTCGGTGAGTTGAACATTATTATATCTGAACATTCCGGGTTTCACAAGTAGCTGACTCAAAGTAGATCGGTCTCATCAGTTGTCAAAGAATACACGATTCAATATATGAATAATCCTCGTGTCGATCAGCGCATACTTAAAGAATTGTCGTCACTTTCACCCATAAATTCAAGAGGATATCGAGTTGCTTTACCTAACGAAAACGAGTTATCATCTACTCTTCGTTTATTAGAACCGGCCGATTTGAACCGCCTGGATGATTGTGGGTATGCGCATTTACACTGGGCCGTACAAAGAGGGGATAGAAGCGCAGTACAGTCATTATTAGCTGCAGGAGCAGCGCCAAACTGTCTGAGTGTAAGCGGATTGACGCCTCTTGTTCTGGCCGTACGAATGAGCAACGTTGGTATCGCCGAATTGCTTCTAAATAATGGAGCAGATGTTAATTTCTATAATAAGAAACACTTACTAACGGCAATTACTGATGCGTTCGGAAAACCTGAGATGTTGCGATTACTCCTGGACCGCGGGGCGTACATTACTTCTTCACGTAGAGACTTCGTGACTGAAACCCCACTCGACATAGCGGCAGAAGACTACTACAATTGGGATAATGCTCCGGACCATCAAATCAGAGAACTTCGAACTTCGTGGGCGGAGTCTTTGTCCTGTCTTATCAGCGCCGGCCTTGATATCAATAACCAAGAGAATCTCGAGCGAACAGCTCCTATCATGATGACGCTTTTGAACCAGAATGTGATTCTTCTCGGCTTACTTATCAACGCGGGCGCAAGGCTGGATGTTGTTGACTGTTACCAGAATAACATATTGCATTGGGCGGCAACATCAAACCTTGCATCCATCGAGGCTCTCCGTCGCGCCAATATCAATTCCATAGACCCGGATATGCCTAATAAATTTGGAAACTCCCCTATGCTGTTGGTTACGCAGCGGATGTACAAGCCCGATGAGGAGTTTGGACCCGGAGAGCAGCCTCTCACTGCTGATGGGTTTTGGGCGTTTAAACAACTTGTTGACGAGATTCGTGAGCGGTATGCGGAGAAGAGGCGTCTAGACTCGGTGGATACTAGGCTAGATAGTATCTCAATTGGTACCGCCTCTGTTAGTATCAGCAGTGTTAATGGGTGTTGGGGCGGTAGCCAGACGTATACGCTAGGTAGCAGAGAAGGAGGTGTGATACGTGCTAGATCTGATGAAAGCGGATGCGAGGAGTTCTTTGACCCCTGAAACCATCGAGGCAGCCGACTACGATACCCTCATTAAGATTTCTTGGACAACGGTATCGCCGTCACCTTGGAATGTTCCCCAACATCATTCATTGTGACCAAGTCTACCTAGTGAGCGGGCATTAGGAAATTATTAGAATTATATTTCATTAATTGGGGTATCTTTGTTGCTTCAATACATGCTCAATTCCGACGCCAAGTAACAGTTGAAAACACCAAAACAAGCCAACCGAACCTCAACCCCCAAGCTCAGAATCATCATGCGTAGGACCCAAGAGAATCTCAGAGTCCGGTAAGTGACATTACGTTAACAATTAGGTTAAGTAGAGTCGTAGTACAGCGTTGAAATATCATCAAGAGTACCTAAGTATCGATTCCTTTCGAGGCTTAGACGCGAGTTCTGTACCAAGTGCGGCGACGGTAGGCGCGGGATTCCTTCTCGCGAACCCAGAATACGCCGACGATTGCTGAGACGAGCCAGCAGATAGCAGACAGGAACGAGAAGGCGATGACGGCCTTCCACTTTCCGCACTGGTCGCCGTTCCGGAAGGAGACATTGCCCCAATCAAAGACGTATCCGCATGTGCCGTTAAGGAACTATCCACGCTATTAGCATCTATCATAGCTGTATATGTGGGTAACATTGAGATAACTTACGTTAACTAGTAGACCAAAGGCGGCGAACCAACAGAGAGAGATAACGAGATCAACGGGCCAGTGAGTGAAGCTACCGGCGAATGGGAAGAGCCAGACGAGGGCAAGGAAGATGGCGAGGGCAGCTATCACTTCCGTGTAGATAAAACGGCCTTGATCCCAGCTGCTAGTGTTGTGGACATCGTGAAGATATTTGCCGTTAATTCCGGCGACGATGGCACCGAACCCCAGCTCCGCGAGGCGGAGGACCATGGAGAAGAGATCAGTTAGAATCATGTTGGTTATATAATTCTTTATTGTAGGTCTGTTTAGGAATATGCAAGAGGATGTGGTAAGTTATTAGAGATGGATGGTCTAATAATCGGGAGAGGTTAGAGAGCAAAGAGATGGGATTTTGTACATTTCCCTTCGGGCGACTAATCAGGTATTTATCGACATCTCGAACTGGCCAGTCTTATTCACGGCTCGAGCTATGACGCCTCTCGGACTTACACACCTCATAACGAGGCCAAACAGCAAACCATTTAGCTTAGGTGGGCTGGTGGGCTTAGTAGGTTGACCCCGAACAGGCCGAATAAAGTCAGTAATCACATTGGCCACAGATCGCCACTACAAATCAGGATTCTGGTGTCCCGTTATTTACGGCTTGTAATGGCGTAGCTGGAGATCGGTCAATCACCCCAGTATCGGCATAGAAAGACGCTTCGAGATCTTGTAAGGCGTGTCAATCAATGTGCGAGCCAATGCGATGAGCCGAGTGGTATCATGTGGACCACGACTAGGCGTTTAATGGCCCAGTTCGTTCGAGAAGTACGTGGAATGCCGGGACCAACCAGATCACCGGCTTGTGTGCCTTGACCGCGTGTTGTGTTGTCAGGCCTCATTGCATTGACAACATTGATGAGGTCATTAAAACTTTGCACTAATTTATCCATGCAGCCATGCTACTAAAAAGCCCTGAATACCTGATGATTACATAAACGCTTGGGGCTTAGTCTAATACGTGGATGATCCACCGCGGGGCAGTCACGGAGAATTACTTATGTAAAGTAGCTGAATTTACGTAGGAAATGAATCTTAAGATATTAATGTTTAAATTAACGTTTTATAATATATAATATAAAATTATATAATGCGTATAATATATAATATTAATATTATATAATAATTTTATTATACGTATAACGAAACGGAAAAATTTTTTAATTTTATATATATTTTATATATATAAAAATTATTTATATATTATATATAATTTTATTTTAAAATAATTTTAAATGTTTTAATTAATTATTTTAATTATTAAAAAAATTATTTAATTTATAAATAAATAAATATAAATTTAAAATAATTTTAATAAAATTTTAATTATTTTAATAATTATATATAAATTTTATATTTTATATAATTAATTTAATCGTTAATTAAATTTAAAAAAAATTTAAAAAATATATTAAATCGTAGTATAATATTTTATTTTTTTAATATAAATTTTACGTTATTATGTTAATTAATTATTTATCGATAAACTTTTTATAAAAGTTTATTAAAATTTTTTATTTTAAACTTTTTTATTTTTTTTAATATTTATATTATTATATATATTTTTTATATTTATAATTATTTATAATTAATAATTTATTATAATAATGTTTTACTTTTAAAATTTACGAAAACGTATTTAAAAATTTCACGATTTATAATTTATATTTTTATAATATAAAATTACCACGTTTTAATTTAATATTTACTTTTATTTTTTTAATATATATAAATTAACGTAAATAAACGTTAATTTATTAATTTTTATTTAATTTAATTAGTTTTTTCGAATATTTTAAATATAATTTTAAATTTAAAAAATATATTTAAAAAAAATTAAATTAAAAATTATATTTAATAATTTTTTTATATATAAAGTTAATTTATTACCCGTTATTTTTATAATTAATTAATATTATTTAAATAATTACGTTTTATAAAATATATTATAAATTAAATTAAATATATTTTTTTTTATTTTAAACGAATAAAACTCGTTAATTAATTATTTTTAAAAATTTTAATTTTTTTTTATTAATTTTATTAAAAATAATCGTATTTTTTTTAATTAAATAATAAATATTTTATTATTTTTATTATTAAAATTAAACGTTTAAATAATTTAATTAACATTCGTTATTTATTTCGTTATTTAATTATAATATATTTAAAATAAAATAATTTAATTAATTTATTTTAATTTAATAATATAATTTAAATTTAATTAAATATTATAAATTAATTTTTATTTTTAAATTAAACTTTTTAAAAATAAATTATTTATTTTTAATATACGTTAAATTATTATAATAAATTTAATTATACGAATTAAAATAAAAAGTTAATTTTATTAAAAATTATTCGATATTATTTTTATAATTTTATATAAATCGTTATTATTTTAATTAATTTAAAAATCGTTAAATACGATAAATAAAAAAATAAAATTATTAAAAAAAACTTAATTATTTTAATAAAAAATAAAATATTATTATTATAAATTTTATTATATAATTATATTATATAATAATTATTAACTTTTAAAATTTAATTAAATTAAATCGTATAAAAATTTACGTTTATAATAAAATTTTAATATTATTTAATTTTTTTAATTTAAAATATTAATAAAATATTTTTTTAAATACGTCGATTAAAATAATAATAAATTAATAAATTTTTTTTTAAAATTTTAAATTTAATATATTTTTAATTAATAATTATAAATTATAAAATTCGTAAAAAACGTTTATAACGCGTTTTAATTTAAAAATATTATTAATTTAATAATAAATAATTTACATTATTTTACACGTATTTATATTAATTTTATTTATTAATAATAATTTATTATTTATAATTTTTCGTAAAAAAAATAATATAATATTAAATTAATTATTAATAATTAATTAAATAAATTTAACGTTTATAATTTTTTAATAAAAAAATAAATTAATAAAAAATTAAATAAAAATATTAAAAACTTTTTTTTTAATAAAAATTTTAAATTTATTAAATATAACGTTAATTAAATTTAATTTTATAATTAATTTTATAACGTAAATTAAATATTCGTTATATATTATATTAAATAATTTATTCGTAAAATTTCGAAAAATAAAAAATTTAAATATATTATTTAAATTAAAAAAAAAATCGTAAATTTCATTTATTTCGTATTTAATAAAAAGTTTATTATTATAATAAATAATTTTAATTATATTTAATTAAAAATTTTATATTAATTATATTTTTTTAAATATTTTATTAATTAATAAAATTTAAATTTAAAAAATAATTTAATATAATAATATTTATAACGAACTTTTAATTAAAAAAAAACGCTTCGTTTAATAAAATTAAAATAACGATAAATTTTAATATTTTTAAAAAATATCGTAATTTAATTAATAAATAATAATAATAAATAAATCGAAAAAAATAAAAAAAAAAAAAATAAAATTAATATATTTATTATTATATAACTTATTTTTAAAATTAATAAATTATAAAATAATTATAAAAATTATTATAAAAAAAACTTAAATTAATTAAAATATCGTAAATATTTAAAAAAAAAAAAAATTTTATATTAAATTAATAAAAATTTTTTACCTCGATATTATATTATACCGTTTATTATACCACTTTAATATAAATATAATAATATAATATAAAATATATAATATTATACCGTATAATACCCTCATTATACATATAATGCAAAACCCTAGCTCGGATCTGTTACCGATTAAGTACTTTGTACACATCAAATGCTGGAAGGTTCACTGTGCGTTGATTATGTAATCGTGGTATTCAGGTAAAAAGAGAAGAACCAAACTTAACTAAATCCAATCCATTACTATCCCCACTACCATCACCACCATCACCATCGACTGCTCCTGTCAACCCTGAAGAAACTATCATCGAAACATCAAACACACAAACATCACCAGACTCCTTATACATGTTGCAAATCCTACCCCGTTCGACCAATGAAACCGATATCCCCGAAGAATACAACTTCAACGTCTACCTGACATATGGAACAATCGCATGAATACGCTACAGCCCAAAGTGATCTTACCTTAGACATAGATCGTATATCGCAACTACGTGCCTCCGACAAATGGCAACGTACAATTTTAAAAACCAGGGCCTCGGTATTAACATCGTCGCTAGACACAAAAACATCGACAATCGACCCTTTCTCGAATGGCCTGCTACATGAAATGCCGGATCACGAAACAAACACGCCAGTCAAGAGGATAAGGAAATAGCAACCGATAGCTCTAAGAGCTTGACCAGAATGGTACGCCTATCAAGCGAAAAAATAGATGAAGATAGGTAAGCGCGAAATAATAATAAGTATCGAACTGTCAAAAATACCCTGCCTAGGCCAACGCAGGCGATAGAGCCTGTGATATTCCTTACCAGTCGAGGCTCTCGATTCTATCGTTGGGCAATTTCATGGCCACCAATAGTTTGTCCAATTGCAATCTGCAATTTATAATTCTTCTAGTAGGATGAAGAGGGAATTCCTCAAACCTACCAGGTACTCAAGAAGAAGAAAACCCCACATCTTTCCTATCCTAAGCCCCACATTCGATTCAATGAAAGCATTTAGGGGGCTTCTCGTCATACACTTCTATTATCCAGGGAGCACATATTCTACGAAATAACCTAACAGGTATGCACGGCTCCGACAATTCAGTTCTCGAAACTTAATGCGACTTTGTCACGACTCGTTATGAACCCCTAGCGCAATCGCAAAGTAGAGGCTATCTGTGGTGTGAATGCTCAGTACTAAGACCTAGAGGCCGCGAAGCTCATAACCATCATGGCCGTTTCCGACAAGGTAGATCAGCGCCACTATGGAGATAAAGGAATCCACGTCACCCATACCACAAGAAGGGCGAGGAGATTTCTCTATCCAGCTATATTGAGATGTCCATGCTGAACTAGTAGTCTGACTCTCAGATCTCCTGAGTCGAGTCAAATACCATGGTGTACGTGAAGATAGGTAGAGGCCTCATCTCCATCGCTGCCATATCGCTACGACTGCTACGAGGAATGGCCATGGTAAGGTATGTAGAGACAGGAGAAACACGGACTGCTTCTCAATTGAAAATTATTGTTTTGATTACGCATGAGGGTATGGTTTAAACTTACCTAGGTTGAAAACGCTATATGAAAGTTTTTCAGCTTGTTATTACGACTTTTCCCTGCTGTGGCATTACTATAGTTCTTAACATCCAAGCGCCAAATCTTAATTCTGAGAACTTGATAGCCGATGAGCCTTATATTTGGCATTACGCTTTATGTCTTTTGGGAATGGCTGAAGATGTCTCCAGGCTTATGATAATGATTAGTCATCTTCAAGTGCTTTAACATTGCGGATTCAATCATGGTGTTTCTGAATACCTAGGTAAACAATTTTTTACTACCTACCTTTTCATCTTGCCTTAGCATTAATTGAGTTCATATTTATTTACCTTATTACTGCCATATTCTGTTTTTTATATTCGACTTTTGAAAGAATGCTGTGTCGTATTACCTAGTATATTTGATTCGGTTGGATTATGTAATAGCTTACCTAATATCTGTCACATTTACATACGTTGGTTTCGATTCTTCGAAATTTATTAAAAATGGGCGTGGCTTTTCTAATTCCGACTTCAATGTAACCGTTTAAATTAACAAAGCTACCTCAGTTAATATACTTAATCAATATCCCAACCTGGAAGTCAGGTATCCAGGTGTATTATTCTGCTTAACCCTATATTAGGGGTAAGGGTTAGGTAGGGTAAGGGTTAATGTGGGGTTAGGGTTACACATTGGTTTATATAACACAGATAATTCTTGAGACGTTTTTGTTAACATGCCGATGTCCTCATTGTCTTCAGTAGGGGATATGGTTAGATTATACGCCCCGGGTTTATGAGTCCATGGTATAAACCTAGACTCTGCACCCCTTGGCGAGAGTTATGACTACCCCTGATATTCAAACGCATAATCCCAAGTTTGGCCTTTTTCATTACGATAGCATACGATAACTTTAGAAGCTATCCGTGAGCTTATTCGAAGTGCTATGAGACCCAGCCGAACGATACATTAACTCTGGGAGAACAATCAAGTGTAGGAACCTTGAAATTTCGGTGAGGGGGATATCCTTCCCTTCGGTTAAGGGGCGAGGTCGATTAAAGAATGCCGAAGAAACTTGCCAATTGTAAATGCTGCTTTCCAAGGGGTTAATCTATTAATTAATTGAGTGCTTACGGCCAATTGAGTCTTCAGCCCGCCCAATTCCCACTGTGGTGTTTGCTTTCCTCAATAATTTCTCTTGGACTCGTGTATATTCCGGTATGTAAATGATAGTCACCTACGATAAGCACAGACGATAGCCTTGGCGAGCAATGGTAGGGCCTGTTTATGCTGGACTTCCAGCCAGCGTAGGAAGTAGATTATTAGGGAATTGCGAAGTACATAGGCCTGTTACCACGCTAGTAAGTGAACATGCGTAAGTGGCAAATGTCTTCTTATACCCTGGATCAAAGATTCAAGTGCTGTACACCCTCTAGTTCAGCCACTGAAAGTTTGCCACTCTTGTTTTCCATAGGGATGTCCTTTCCCACCGAAGGATAGGGGTTCAGGGGTCAACATCTTTGAGTTCAGCCAACTAAACTCGGGATCGGCCGAATTTCCACCGGATTCAACACGTATTATATGCAATATAACTAGCAGTGAATAAGATTCCTATTCCTTTACCGATGTAACCGACAACATCGAGTATCCTTGCCAATACCATCTAGTTCATATATGATGACAGCATATATGAGTAGGTGCAGAAATCCGTAAGTAGGCGAGTCGTCGAACCGGGTTTTATTGGGAGCTGTTGTTTATATCCAACGAGCGCTACATGCGCTTTTGGAATAACCTATTTCGCTGACGCATCTGCGGCGTATAAGAATTTGATCAACAAAGACGCACGGCGGCCACGATGTTACAACAATGAAAGTGCCATTTCGGGGAGTCGGTCATACTCACACAACCTACCGTTAGAGGCCAGACAAACCAAAATGTAGGATGGGGAAGTACGGGGAGTCGTATTGTACCACGCAAGATTGAGAATTTGGGCAATGAATGCTTTTATCATGATTGGATTTCTTCCTCGTCCTGATTTTACGCCAACCTGAAACGGGAAATCTTCCTTTAGGTTTCAGCTGCTAATGTGTGACTGTTGGACGAACTACGCCAAGCTAAAAATGGTTGAGTTGAAGCACCCCGAAATAGTCGAAAGCCTCGTATGGCGACGAAAGACGAAGCGCTATTAGCCTAGGTAGGAAGTTAATAAGTAGTGCAACTTCCTAATCAAGGTCGGATGACGCGGGTAACGTGAGCTGGTTCGGAAGCTGAAATATAGGCGGGATGGTAGTAATATTGGCTCTAGGCGTCTGAATCGCAAATAAATGACGACTCTAGAAGAAATCCAGTAGTTACTCGTCCCTTAGTGCCCGCTGACCTCTGTCGAGGCTTTCTGACGGCCAAATGTGCATACCCTGTTTATTGAAAATCCCATTGGCAGACGACGATGGTGAGAAAAAAACGCCACAAACGTAAGAAGGAAGCACGGAAATCCCTTGATAGGATATCCGAATCACAAATATAGGAATACTCGGGCGCGGATGCGTGACGCAGTTTCGTGAAAAGTAAGAAGCACGAGTTCGGTACCGGCAGGGGGGTCGCTGCAATGTGACCAGATACAGCACTGACTGTAAAAGATTGAGCAATAAGAGCCAATCCCGGTATTCAAGCTGTGGATATTCGATGCTTTGTACTCAAAGAAGTGGGTGGTGCCTATTCGTCGTGGTGGAAAAATGGGGCGTGTAAGTGAGGCGAACCATTACATCCCTTGTGTATATATGCACCTACCAGACCACAGTCGCATTCGGGACGAAGGTATGGCAGGCCAGACAACTTAAATACACGGCTATTAAAGCCTCTCCTGCACATCAAGAGCGGTGTGAGAATAAAACATAGTAGAATCCTCCGCAGGAATTGCGCTGGTGCCGAATATTCGGCATTACGCTTGCGCGGCGCGACTGCTGTTGGGCTTCTCGCATAAATACTTCTCTCGACCGGTTTCGTGCTGACCTTGCCGGTTTCTCTAGAGCGATTCCCCTTTCGACCCAGCACACATTCGAAAGATGGCATCCCCTCCCATGAACAAATACTGGATTCCGCATCTAGATATCCACAAGAGAGTCATTACTCAGGAGCTCCAGTACTATTTAGGGCCAGACGCCACCGTCAGACCGTACACCCGAGAAGTACGATGACCACGACGATACTCTGCGGGCAGTCCATTGACCAATTTGCTTCTAGGGAGAAGATGGGTTTCTCATCACGACGCCCGGTGCGTGCTTGACGGACGTAAGCCATGTCCGCTTACCACGTGTTAACGCCGCCGATTAACCTGCGCGCAGGAACAAATCGACGACATATGTCTTAAGTCAAAGGATATGTGGGAGAAGCAAGCGGCGGCTCGCTCGCAATTGAATCCCGAGAAGCCGTTGAAACGGCCATTACACCAACCGGTTTTAATATCGAAGGGGTCTGGAGAAGGATCGAAGCGCCGAGGAAAAGATCGAAGAAGCCACATCTCTCGGCGGCCGTACGACGACAAGAAAGGAGGCGAGTCATCTCGGAAGTGACGTTTAGCAAAGACTCGCGAACTGTCTGGGGATGTAGCAGATCGCCGATGTAACGCAACCGAATGTGTGCCTGTCAGACAGAGGCGGGAACACAGGGCAAAGGGAGTCGAGAGACGCACGTCCTACAGCCAAGGGGGCCTTGGGCGGCTCCAAGGTTGGTCGAGGTTGGTCGGGAATGGATTGTCTGAGATTGATAGCTGCAGGTGGAAATCGTCCTCCAGCGAGGGATTGCCATCTGGCATTGCTGAAGCCTCTGTGGATCCGCAAGATTGAAACACGATAGTTCAATGGTTGTCTGCATGAGCGCTCAACCTGCCGCAACAAGCCAAAGAAGCTTAAGCTCTTTTTGGCGAGACCTAATCCCAATTGGCTTATTCCAAGCATCTCACCCTGCGGTTCTGTGCATGTCATGCAGAAGTCGTGCAGGTAATATGGTCCAAGACATCTAGAGTCGAGACAATTAGGTAGATATAAGGCTTTGATATAGCTCCTTTTGTTTATTCGGCCTAGCTACCAATCAAAGAAGTTGTGCCGTCTAGCCAACGAACGACCTTTGGGAGAGATCTTAAGGTCGCGGCCAGCCGAGAGCGGAGCTTTTATGAACCAAGGTCGTACCGGGAATCGATCGGAGCTTATCTCTGGAAGAGTAACCGCCTTTCACAGACCATAGTTTTTTTTTTCATTCTGCTGAGTTGGCATACAACCGGGGTAACTGCGGTAGCTCTTGGCAATGGTCGCGAATGCTTGCGAATGCTTTCGAGTACTTGCAGCCCATAACCCATCATCGATAACCTCAACCAGGCCACCACCTCGTGTGTTTGCATTGTGTTTGCATCGTATTTGCATCAGAAGATATCCTGTGGTGAATATTATCATCGACGATGTACCTAGTAATGGTACCAAATGACGAATAGTCGCTACTAGTGATTCGTTGTCCAGACGAATCTGATTATAATCATGTTTTTTATAGCTTAGTCTGACCTAAGCCAAATTGTATGGTTACCTTTTCTTTCTGAACATGCGCAACTTTTAAAATCGTCAAGTGGACGTCGGCAGGCCCCCAATGGCATGCATCACACGTTGTTTGGTTCCTATCCGGTGATCTCCCTTGGATCACTCCACCAGCCCTGCGGATGAGGATTGAGAAGGGTATGTTCGATCGGCTACTCTATTGGAAGCGAATGCCTTCTCGTATGATGAGATATCCAGATCCTCGGCGGTCCAAAGAACGAGAGCCTGGACATGGACGCTTGATGAGCACCGTGGCTCCTTTGATTTAGTCATAAGGATTTGGAAAGATGTGACATATCCTATTACGTGAACCCATTGCCCTATTTCTAATTGTTCGGATTTGAGAGTCTCGAGTAGAAGCTTGACATCGACATAGGCAGGCATTTTATTTCCCTTGTATTCGTGCTCAAGAGTCAGAGAAGCCGAGTGAGTATTATAATATGTTACGCTGATAATACTATTAGCGCGTGTATCGAGTAGGAAAGTCGAGGAAGATGAATCGTCCCCGGCGTTAATTTCAAGAAGCCGTCATCGTAGCAAAGAATAGTATTTGCCAGGCACGAGAATTACAGAGATAGTCGAGTTGATCTGGAAATAAGATGAGTAAAGATGCAGTCTTACCATCCTAAAAATCTAACCTTCTCACCGCGGTGCCTGTGTAGATCCCCGAGGAGGCATCGCACCGAGGGAGGAGGTCCGTTAGACATCATGTAAGAACACTAGATCTCAAAATGAAGAAACCATTAACCAACAATAAAGTAAGGTATCTGGCTTTCAATAATCGAAAATACCATAGATGGTTTTCGTAAAGTAACAGGCCGCAATTGGCAATGCTCACAGTTTGATATTAGTGAGTGGGATGAGATGTAATAGGGTACTATTGGGCAAAATGGGCAAATGGGTTTAGGAACCTTTAAATTCTAAGGTTTGTCTTTGTTCTAAGGTTTCTGGTTAGTGTCAACCTTGGAAGTCAGTGCGCACCTGGGTTCTAGAATAATAGGTGTCAGTGGCAGTGGGCGAATAAGGTGACTAATCAAGGTTAAACTTCGGAGATAAGATAGATCAGGCGGACAGCGGATAGCGGAAAGACCCACTATCTTTTTTGGGTAGGCGGCGGGCAGGCACCTTGCACCTTTACACCTTGTCGCCCTTGTCGCTTGCGGCGTCATCTAATCATCCATCCGTCCACTTACTACTTCAACTATTTACCACTGATCTACCTAAATTTGACCTCCGACTTATACTTTATCTATCTGCCTAAACGACAACAATCTCGTGATCAACTAGGCACCCCTTTACGGTCTCAATCCCGATTATCTCTTCTCGATTCCCGGTTCCTTGTGCTTTGGATAAGCATTCGGCACGTCTGTATTCTCAGACACGCTAGAAAAAGCGACGTCATCTCCCTAATCACCACCCTATCGTCGATTATATCCCGCGACCGATATCACTCCTACTATCCCATCGAGCCTCTCTTTCTCTATTCGAGATTCGCGAATCCCCAACGCTAGATCAAGCTCGGCTTCGATAAATACTCCTCGATCCCCCGATCACCATGTCCGGCGTTTGGGGTTGGTTCGGCGGCGGCGCTGCCCAGAAGAAGAAGGACAGCCCCAAAAATGCTATCCTCGGCCTAAGAGCGCAGTTAGATATGCTACAGAAGCGCGAAAAACATCTCATGGCACAAATGGATGAGCAAGATGCTATCGCACGGAAGAACGTCAACACAAATAAAAACGGTGAGTCGTCAATCATGTGAAGGTTGTCAAATGGTCCGAGCTGATATGTGCTCTGATAGCCGCGAAGGCTGCGCTGAGGAGGAAGAAGGGACACGAACACAGCCTCGAGCAGACTATATCGCAAATCGGAACCCTCGAGCAGCAAATTAATGCTATCGAGTCTGCAAATATTAACCGAGAGACCTTGGCTGCGATGGAAAGAGCGGGCGAGGCAATGAAGCAGATCCACGGCAAACTAACGCCCGAGAAAGTCGACGAAACCATGTACGTCCCTCATCGAGAAAATCATATAAACCAAAGTATGTCATGTGATTTACTAATATGTAATAATAGGGACAAATTACGAGAGCAAAACGCACTCAGCGAAGAAATTGTTGCGGCGATTACGAGCAACCAAATTGGAGAGCCTGTGGACGAGGAAGATCTGAACGATGAGCTCGAGGCAATGCAACAGGAACAGCTCGACAAGAAGATGCTCGAGTCGGGAAGTGTACCCGTTTCTGACGCGATTCACAGGATGCCTGCCGTTGGGAACCAGGAGAGTAAGTTGAATTCATCCTCCGTAATGAGCTTCGTCCTTGATATACTAATACCAAAACAGTCCCAGCCAACAAACAGGCTGCTATCGAGGAAGACGACGAAGAAGCGGAACTTCGGAAATTACAAGCGGAGATGGCCATGTGATAGCTCGGCTAATCAAGTTATCACCTTACTTCTACGCTGACCACGACAGCAACATCAGATTCGAGAAAGGATTTCGGTAGTGGGACTCTAGAATGGACGATTGCATGGGGAACGGTGGTATTGACACATTTGAGCTGCGGTGGGAGTTTGGATCAAGCTGCTCTGGTCTGGACGGGGATGTAAGAGACGCATAGCAGCCCCCTTCGAGTCATATTTCCCCATTCCTAATTACGGCGTCGGCGTTTTGAGACCTGGTGATTCATTGGTGGCAACTCATTTCCAGCATGTCCAGTTGACGGATGAAAGATGTTCTAGTCTACCTACATAAACTAACTTATTGACAATATCACTGCTGCAAGGCCAATCTGAGATTAGTGACCAATATATAAGACCATCGGCGAATATCGCGATCGGCCCGGGGGAAATGGAACGGTAGCGGCCTATACTACTACTCTACCGAAGCATATTGAATCAAAAGAGAGATCCTATGCATACAATATATGAATACTCGAGCACCTTCAATCATAATATATCAGATAAGCTTCATCACAAGTCTTATGGCCGCAATTGGTAGCCCCTTTTCTCGTCTGTTTAAAAGATTTACAACCAGATAAAACCAGCTGACCGCGCAATTGTTTATATCTAACAGTGATCAACCGTCCTTGAATAATATCGTTAACGATTAACCACGCTTCCTCTGGTACATAGTCGATCAGCTTGCTTTTAAAGTATAGTTGAACTTCAAGCATAACTAGCCACATATCAGACGAATATCATAGCCATGTCCTTCCAGTAGACCCATCTATTGAGCAAACAAGATCATTTGAGTAAGATGCTGCATTGCCAGAATCGCCTTTCATAGGGACAATACATTCCATTTGGCCCTATAAAGGTACGATCCCTCAGAATTGCGCCGATTCAGGATGTCGCAGCTGTCATCGCCCTCACACAGGTGATAGTCCCGCCGAAATACGTGTCGTCGATATTAATTGTAATCAAGGGAAAGTCCTTTACAAAACATATCATATGTCTTGTGTTTGGATTCGACCTGAAGTTGTCCGTCTCCTGTGGCACGTATCTTTGTGAGTGCTCTCACATTATAGTACCTTGAATATCGCATCGCACTAGGTTATATGTGATTTCTAAGTTACCACGAGAGATAAGATTCGAGTCCAACCCCGGAACTGCTCTTTAAATCAATTATGGTTTCACGCTTTCATGATTGAACTTCTGTGACGGGCTGGCTCTATCACTTGTAATATCTTCAAGTTGTCCAACTTGCAAATTCTTATCCTTTGGAGGTTTGGCTCAAATGGTGGGTGATAAGCCATCAAACTTACACTCAATTCTTTCTCTCGACAACTCTAAGCGTAATTTTATACCTACCTATTATCCGTAGTTTCATTAGGTATCCTCCAGCAAAGACAATAATCGAGTTCGAACCATTCAGACTGCTATTTTGACCAGCCAGTTCACATCTGGGGAGGACGTACATACCTACTCATAGTATCTAGTGGTATATACATCGACTTGACGCACGGTGGCGTATAGAACATTTAAAGTGGCCCATGACAGAGGGGAGCAGAGCTAGATGCCAGCTCGATGAAGGAAAGAAGGAAGAAATAGGTACTACTGTGTGGTCAAGGGCTTGAATGGTGATTTCTTCATGTTAAGTCTTGGCCATTTCCACTAAGATTCTTCGGTTGGGTTTCTATTATATCTACGTGATAATTACTATGCTTGACATAATAGGTAGTTTAAGTGGCGGTATGTAATACAGCCCTAACTACTATCTAGCTTCAGCTAGAACAGGTACCAGGCATGTATTCAACAAAGGCTCCTCTTTTCCAGAAGAATCAGCGAGTTATAATATAACCCAAGAAACCAATTCGCCAAAGGTAGGTAGATCACAAGGATGTTATTGGGTTACCGCTAAGATAAGTTATTTGAATTGCAGCTGGGCGAAACCATTCTTATGATTACCATGGTTGTTTACACTCTGTGATTCTCGGATGCAGGACTATGGTTTCCCACAAATATCATGAGTTTCGCTATTTGCTTTAATACGATTCCCTCAGGTTAGAGTATCCACAGATAAGTCGCAGAAATCAAACCGAAGATTCTGGAAGCCAATGCGAATTTCAATGTCTTTGAAACTTCACGATTTCGCGTTACACGACATGGGAAGGTGAAGAGTTGAATGTGGGAATAGATCTGCATCCACGTGCGCGTGGATACGCCTATCGTACCTTTCCCTAGTAACGGGTTTGCAAGAAACGTGGCATCACAGGATATCTTCACCTTGAATCCGAGCAGAAAGGTATGTAGTTAGCCATGGCAAATGATGAAATGTGGTTTATACAGGTAATGTAGGTAACCATGACGTCTCGTAATCTTTCCGGGTCCCCAATCTTTACTTCCGTACGCCTCGACGAGGGCTGGTGATAGGCGACAAGAAGTAGATGGCTTGATTCTGAGCATAAACTTCTGCTTCTCATACTCCTTGGGTTGAATATGCCGTCTATCTAATTGAACAAACTCGCGCCATCGCCTCGTTCCGTGTCTCGTCTGTTTGCTTATGCCAAGTCTTATCACTAGGCGCGTGCATTTGGGCTATTTGCATCAGGCGTTTCAAGATCGAGCCTTGTCGGACACCTACGTAAAATTTTCATGTTTGTTAAGATAAGGCAAAGGCAAATATGTGAGATGTTACTAACCAATAGGCTGGTTACACGGTTATGGAAGTTGCCGGATCGGGACCAATGTGAGGTTGGCCGTTCGGGGAGAGAACGATCTACGGGTACGGATAATACGGCCACGGCCCGATAACATCATTCGATGCACGTGATATGTTAGGGTCGTTTATCTTTATCGATAGGCTCTTTTTTCCCATTTCCCTTTAGATTCTCCGACCCGTCTCAATTCAATCCATCTTAATTATTTGTCAATCAACTTCAAAATTCGCCGGTATCTTTTACTCATCACCACGCTGCGTCTGTCAGCGTCTATTATGTCGTATTATTTCTTTTGACTCACCATGTCAGCGGGTGGGAAAGCCCTTCAATTAAATTGAGCAATTGAAAGTGTGAGGCAGATCTTGTCCAGTTGTCAATCCAATGAGAGATCAATCATTCCCGCCCACGCTCGCCCCACAAAGTGGTTGGCTATCATGGTGGGATCCAGAAAAATGAAGCCAACGAGGACGTCCACGTTGCACATAAGACCAAGCATCGGTAATCATGCATACTGTATTTGATCCTGCCGGTTGGACGGTGGGTAAAGCCGCCCGCGGCCAATTCAGGGACCATACCGTCCATTCAAAGATACTTGCCTCTCTGACTGTTTCATCCGCGAAATAATCGTTGGAGAGAGTAGGAGAAAGTGAGAGAAGAAGAGAGGGAGGGCGTGTTGAAGCCCAATGACCCGGACTCTAGTTATCATCTTTCAATATCCGCTCATAGCGGTGGCCAAGTGGTCTTGCATGATGCTGTCAAACCTCGTCCACCTCATCAACCTCCCCCCATTTCACCGGAACTTTTATGCGTGGGTCTGACCCATTTCCGTTCGTCTGCATCTTCTTGCGTCTGCTTGCAGTTCTCGTCCATTGTTGGGCCGCTACCAGCTTCCCTGTCAAGTCAGAGTTATTGCCTTTCACTTGGTACTGTATTATACCATGGGTCTACTCCAGCCTGCTCCAGTTTGTTGCTTCCGGTCTTTAGATCCAGATCTGTCTCGACCCTAGCCCAACCTCCCTCGCGACGTGGCGCCAATTTTGTGGTGTCCGTCGTCGGTAAACCCCTTGAGCACGATCATTGATCGCTGCAGCTTAAGATCTCGCTCCACTTTGACTTCTTCAAGCCGTGGGGTATGTCCCATCTAGGTAGTTCCTCTCGAGGTTGTAGCTACTAGGTAGTCAATATTACATGGACGTCTTACATTCGATCTCGGTCTCGTCAAACGTCATTCTATGGTTCCGAGCTCGCATTAAGAAAATTCTTCTACTACACACCATATGCCCGTCATCTACCCACTCAACTAGTTTCCTACCATCCATTGTCACCATCGTAGTCGTTTTCATAGGTAGAGCCCGCATTTGCTCCTCCTACCACCAAATCTCCGTCCATATTTCCCACACGAGATATCCAACAGCCAGAATTTGGAACCTCATCACCCAATTGTCTGGTGCGGCTTCTGCAAATACCCGCATTATACTCGTCACTTTGCATAGGAAACAATTGGGATAGTCTTTTAAATTACCAACGGGTCCTCATTCCTGTGGACCAACGGAAGATGGAGGACCAAAATGAGATTGCGTTTTGTCCCTCTAGGATCGATCCATATTCACATGTCCAAGTATCTAACTGGTCAGGAGTACAATATCTTCCAATTCAAAGCTCAGATAACGAGGCTGAAGATAAAGGTATATAAATCCATAATAAATTAACTGTTTGCGCTAATAGACCTCCTAGTCGGTGAAAGTGAGCCGGAAGAAGATGATGTGAATGAAAGCCAATTCGAATCAACTACACCTCAAATACCTCAAATACCTCAGATACCACAGTTACCCCGGACACCTCCGTCCGTGAAATCCCCGCAAGTAGTCAACCCGAAAAAGGCGAAAGGAAAAGGTGGGAAGCCCGAACCAGAAAAACCTGCGCCAGTGAAGGAGGTCGCCTCTCCACTCACGGGGAAAAAGAAGAAGAACGCTAAGAAGAAGGAGAAGAAGAAAGAGAAAGCCGCCAAGGATAAGGTTAACAATGCAGTGAAGGGCGATATGGAGCCGAACACCGAACCGTCAGAATCTCCAGCACCGGCGGCGGATGCTGCCCCGAAGGAGTCGCCGCCACCATCCGAGCCGACTAAAGCCGACAAACCGGAGGATACATCGCCGCCGCCAGACAATTCTGAACCCACTACAATTGAAAGCAAAAAGTCTGAGGAGGCTGATAACCGACAAAATCCAGCTGAGAGTGGAGAAAACAAGGTTGTTGGCGAAGGTGCCCCTCCAGCAGATGTCATTCCAGCCAACGAGTCTACACAACCAACCGCGCCACTCGGCGAAGAGGCGATTCATGAGAAGGACATTAAGAATGATGTCGAAGGGGATACCGAGACGGGCGCTCCTTCCACCGAGCAGCCTAAAACCAGCGCCAGCGAGTCTCCCTCCGGTGCCGACGCCGAGGCACTAACCCAAACAGAGGCACCTGAGCAAGTAGAACATCAACCAGCACCGGATTCCCACCCGGAACCTGATTCTCTAGTGAAAGAAAACCTACCAACAACTGTAGCTAATACATCAGAGTCCCACGCGGAGATACCAGCCGAACCATCTGTGGAAGTCACCCCCGAAGAACCGAAACCTGATCCGCAACAGACCTCAAGCAAGGCAGACCACAGCGAAGATCCAGAACCTAGCGCCACT